GAGAGGAAAGGAAGTAAAAAGAAATTAAAAGCGATAATAAAGAAGTTGGAGTAGTAAGGAAGAGGGTAAGGTTTATAGGCGAAGCTACTATTAAATTAGGGAGGGAGGATAAAAATATTATTATAAGAAATATAGGCGGGTAAATAGTAGTAATAAGGATATAGAAGGACGAAGAGTAATTACTATTATTAGAATAATAATTATTAGAAGCGTAAAAGGAGGACCTATTTATTATTAAGGGAGTATAGAAGAATAGCGAAGGGAGGAAACGGGCGAAGAATTAGAAAATAGGGGAAAACGGAACTCTATAGTATTAATATTAAATTTATATTCTAGAACGGATACGGGTTAAATTATTCTACGCTTACTATAATATAGTAATAACAGGATATCCGGGTTAGAAGAAGATATTAAAGTATATTAATTAATTCTATTATTAATTTATTATTACAATCGATATCGAATTATATATCCGCGAATATTTAATATATTAAAAAATTAAACTTTATAATTACTAATTATATAAATTATTAAAATTATTACTTATTCCTATTATCCTTTAGTAAAATATTTTATACAATTTTATTATTAGAATACTAAAATTATTTAACCCTATATTTAATTAGATTTATAATATAGTTCTTATTATTATCGACCGTTTTATTAAATACATTTTATATATCCCTATATAAAAGACAATTAATACCCAATAATTTATATTCCTTTTTTAGCGAAATATTTTTTAGTAATTTAGCCTCCTAGATTTAATTGTATTAAATAGAGGTAGTCTTTTTATAAATTAATTTTAGAAGATTTATTACAAATTCCTAAATATTCGTAGACGCTTTAATATAATTTAATATTTTTAAATAAATGGATAAATAGAGAGGTAAAATTAGAATTTGGAATTATACTTTCGAATCTTTTATAATATAAAGTAGGTCAATTAGGCCGAAAAAATTATATTAGCGTAGTAAACGTATAATAATTATTTCTATACTACTATTAGGAAATCCCTTTTGGAATTACTCTTTAAATATCATTCTTAGGGATTAATAGATTTAGAATAAGGGCGGAGGATAGTCCTTTTAATAATAATTATTAATTAAATTAATAAATTATTTTATAGGCGGTTAGAAATTGTAGCGGCCTTGGAGGTTGTTAATTAAAGGTATATAAAATAATATAATAAAATTTAGAAGTTAAAAGAGTTCGATATTGGAAGTTAAGTTCTATTTAATATAAAGTATATTAAATAACGCTACCTAAGCGTTAAGTTAGTAAATAAATTTTTAGGACTTTTTTAAATTATTAAGGTTATTGGGGAAAAGAAGATAGTATACCAATTTATACTCCCTATATATTATTAAATTTACTTAATATTCCTTATTATTTTACTAAAACCGTACTATAGGGATTCTATTACGGTAGCGCTACAAAGAGAAATTATAAATATTAAGGAGGATAATATTTAGTATAAAGTTGAGGCGATTATAAAGTATTATAGATCCGGCCGTTAATATTAATTCTAAGTTAAATAGAAGGGGTATTTAGATAATAAGAATTTATAGGTTTTATAAGAGGATATAAATTACTTAGACTTTCTTAAGGAATATAAAGTTAAGGAAATATAGCGGCGGCGTATTGGCGGCGGGCCGATTATTAGGTTAATAAGGGTTAGTTAGGTAGTGGGAGGAGAATGGTAATTATTTGGAGATATAGAATAAAAACATAAAATATAGATATAAATTGTAAAATAGAAATATAAAATATAGATATAAAATATAAAATGTAAATGTAAAACGTAGACGTAAAATGTAAAATGTAGACGTAAAATATAAATGTGAGATATAAAACGTAAATATAAGACGTAGACGCAAAATGTAAATATAAGACGTAGATATAAAATATAGATATAAAACGTAGAATAGAGATATAAAATATAAATATAAATTATAAAATGGAAATATAAATAGAAATATTAAATAGAATAAGAAAGGGGAAGGGAAGGTAGTTTAATTTAATATAGGATATTAATAAGGTACTAAGTAGAATATAGCCCGTATTTTCTATTATTATCCTAAACAAAAAAATCTTTAGTGGTATCCGCTATTATTAATATAGGATTAGAATTTATAATTTTAAGAAGAATATTCTTACGCGCTATTGCGCCTATTAATAATATTCGTAAATACTACTTTATATTATTTATTTATAGTCTTCCTTTATAAATTCTAATAATTCATTTAATTTCTTATTTATAAATACTAGCCTCCTATTAACCGTTTAACGCTAGGGACCCTAATTATAATTAAGGGAGGGGGTAATACGAATAGGAGAGTTCGGCGTTGAGATATTTATAAGAGAACTATTATTATTAATAATAGGATTACTAATAGGGGCTATTGGATTAATATTAGTATTAATATTATTGATATTATAGTAATTAAATTTCGAATAGCCTTTACAATTAAAATTCCTAGTTTGGAGTATATTAAGTAATATTATAGGGAGATTATTATTAATAAAACGCACTTATATTGTAATTTAAAATACTATTATAAATTAACGTAGCTACTATAAGAGGGGAATGGGTAGGGGGCTACTAGTATTAGTAAAGCGTATAATTTTAGTTATTATATTTTATATATTATTCTAGAGATTATAAATATTATAAGAGACTTCGAGTATATAATAGCGTAGCAATAGCGAATACTACGATCTCTTATTGAATTTTAGAAGGAGAAGACGTTAATATAAAAAAAAAAAAAAAAAAAAAAATAGGAGAAATAATAAGGGGAAAATAGCGTACTTTTAATCTAGTAAGTATATATATTGATTAGATAGAGTATTTTATATAAATTTAAAATTGGGGTACTAGTAAATGTTTAGGTTAAAGCGATATTATATTTTAAGTAGGCGAGGGGGTAAATATTATTAAAGGATAGGAAAGGAGTAGTTAATTAAAGGTTAATTACGGGTATAAAGCGAGAGGAAGGAGAGGATAGAATAAAAAGGAAGAAAATAGGGAGGAAAAGCGAATATATTAATTAAATTTATAAGGGAGATAGGGATTAATATATAAATATATAATAGAAATATATATATTTATAATAGGGATTAATTTAAATAAGGGGGTAAGCGAAGTAGTTATAGAATTAGAGGAAGGGGTAATAAATATAATTATAAAAATAAAAATAGGAGGAAGAAGAGAGGAAAAGTAAAGAAAGTAGGCGGAAGGAACGTTATATAAATAAAGGAGGAGGTTTTTATACGAATATAAATTAAAGTAAGTAAGTATAATTTAAAGTAGGCGAATATAAAATAATATAAGGTAAATAGAATATTAAATAATTATATAGGTAATAGGAGGGAGTAAATAGAAGGATAAGACGAGGGTAATAATTAAAAAGGGAAGGATAGAATAAATAAGTAGTAGTAGTAGTTATAAAAAGGTAGAAGAAAAAGGCGGAAAATAGGAAAGTATATAATTTGGATTATAGTAGGGAGAGCGGAAGAAATAATCAAAAATTATATTATTAAAATAGAAGGAATAATATAAAGAATAAAGTAAGGGTAATAGGAAGGTAATTAGGAAGGAATAATATAAATAAGGGAAATTTATAGAGGAAATAATATATAGAATTATAAAAGGCGGAGGAAAGAAATAAAAGTCCTAAAAATAGAATTTATAAGGAGGGGGATTATATTTAAATATTATAGTAAGTTGTAATAAGTGTGAATAATAGAGAATAACCTACGAGAGGAATTTTGGGTTTCGATTATATAAGTATTATATAGTAAGTGTAAATAATGAAAGGTACTTTACGAGAGTATTAAACTACATTGTAAGTACGGATAATAGAGAGTATTTAGGGAGAGGAATTACGGAGTATATTTATATTAATATCCTAAAATATTTATTAATATTTTTAAATTTAGTATAGTACTCCTTATTAGGTAAAATAAGGTTTATTATTTTGTACGTTTATAGAATAATAATTTTAATAATAGTTGGGAATTTAGCTAACTTTTTAAATTTAATAATAATTTTGTATTTATATTTAGAATTTATAAGAATAGATATTATAGTACTAATATACCGGTAGGCGGAATATTAGCTCTTTAAATTTAATATTAATTTTATATCTATATTGGAATTTACGAAAATAAATATTATAATACTAATATTTTAGCGGGCGGAACGTTAAATATTTAAATTTAATATTTATTTTATATCCGTATTTAAAATTTATGAAAATAGATATTATAATACCGATATTCTAGCGGGTAGTACGCCGGCACTTTAAATCTAATACCGGGTTCGTGCCCGTATTTAGAATTTATAAAAATAAATATTATAATACTAATATTTTAGCGGGCGGAATATTAAATATTTAAATTTAATACCGGTTTTGTATTTGTATTTAAAGTTTATAAGAATAAATATTATAATACTAATATTCTAGCAGGCAGTATACTAGTACTTTAAATCTAATACCGGGTTCGTACTTATATTTAAAATTTATAAGAATAAATATTATAGCGCCGATATACTAGTAGGCGGAACGCCAACTCTTTAAATCTAATATTAACTTTATAGCCGTATTTAGAATTTATAAGAATAGCTAATATAATATTAATACTCTAGTAGGCGGTTCGCTAGTAGTAGAGTAGCTACAATCCGGAATATAGTATTAATAACTATAGCGAATAATATTTAATAATGCTATAGTATTTAATATTTATTATAAAGGTTCTAAGGACGGAATTTATAAGGGGGGGAGTTGTATTAGGAAATTAAAAGTTTGTATATAGAAGTACTTTAACGGTTACTACGCCCTTTCGTTAATAGAAATATAGAATTATTTATAATAACGTTTATATTGGGTCGGATTCGTAGGAAGGATAATCTAATATTGCGCCGAGGCGTTAAATTAGTATAAGGCTTTATAATACTCGTTAACGGAGGAATAGAGTTTATACAAGTATAAAAGAGGTTTAACGGAACGTATCTTATTATAGTCGGTAGCTATCAATACATCTTTGGATTGACCCCTAATTTGCCGTCCCCCACGTGTGGCCACGACCGTAGTCACCTCAACCTACCTTTCGTCTACGTTCCTGACAAGAAACCTACTAAAGTAATGTAAGAATATGATAAAAGCCCTGCCTTGGATAAATATATCCTTTGCGAACACCACTCAAAATACTATCTACGAGAATCACCTGATCCCTTTATTCTCCCAGTTCACCAGTTGGGCTCCGAGATTCGAGAAAAGAACGGATGCTCTGTCAAGGTCGACTAGCAGCAGAAGCAGCAGAAGCAGCAACAAAAGTACAAACAATAATACCAACTGCGCCAGCTAAGCATCTGATCTAATCAGCTCAAGCCAACTCAAAACTCAAAACTCAAGCATATGACTGCTGGTAAGCACCTGCTTCATGCGCTTCTGGACCGTGTCAAACGGCATGAGGCTGCACGACTCGCTCTCCAAGTGGCTGATGATAGAAGCCAACGTCTTGAACTCGGAGGGGCAGTTGCGGTTCGGACAGTGGTAAAGGACAGTGTAGTCTATATAAATTGTAGGAAGATTAGCAGATCCCGTTCGCTAATGTTCAAATGAGTAAAGAGTTCAATGTAACTACACGGATGTAGGAAAGAGATGAAGGAAAAAAGAATCAAACTCACGAGCCGGCGAATTCAAATGTTTATTCAAATCCGCCCTAGTCCTGCACACTCTAGAGCATAAGCCACACGCCCAGGCGAAGCCGTTCCAGGCGCTGTCCGTGCATGTCCAGCGGTCCGGCTTCGACTCGCCGCCGTGCCAGCTAATGAGATTCTTGCAGATGAAGCCGCGCGGGTCCCTTTGGCGGACGATTTCAAAAATAGTATCACGGTTCAGAGACGGAGCGCTGCGGCAGCTGTTCGTCTCCAGGTGGGTGGTCAGACCGGCTACGGTAGTGAAGCAGTTGCGGCAGTAGGGACAGTCGATGTTTTGGCCGCGGTGGATGCGGGAGTTGAGGTGCTATGATAGAATAGGGGTTAGAGGTAGCTAAGGATGAGAGGGAGGGAGCGAGGGGGAAAATTATCTGGCTGGGGTTCGATGATAGATGTCTTCTTTGGGACGGAAAGTACTGGGGACCTCGGGAGCCACTTTGCTGCGCGGAACATCAAGGTACACTACCTACCTGCTTGATATTGTTGGTGTTTTGGAAAAACTTGTCGCAATCGGCGCAATAGTTGTGGTCCTCGACCTCATGCTCGATAAGACCCCGCTCGCTGCGATACTTGTTGTCGCAGACACGGCACTCATGGCCAACATGACCTTTGGCGTTCATGTGCTGCCAGCGAGCAGCATCGCTGTTGAAAATTGCGAGGCAAGTATCACAACCGTACCTCGCGTATTCGTGCGCAGCCTCATGGTCGTAGTAGTCATCCAGATGCTCTTTAAGACCATCCTCATCGTAGAACGACTGGTCGCATGTATGGCAGAGGTGAACCATGATGACGGTAGCTGGAGTAAAATACCGAGAAAATGGCTAATGATGTCGACAGTAGTTGATAACGAGATGGACGGGCGTGGCGTCCAGATCTTCTCTAGCCCCAGGCCTGTTCTTGATATCCAGCCGATGCGAGACCAGTTCCAAAAGGCAGGTTGGGTGAGACAAGCGATCCAGACAGAAAAGAGCGACAGGGAAGTCTTGATAAATAACATAGTTTACTGAAAGCGCAGGAACTGTGCGGGGACAGATCAACGCCATGATTTGAAGCTGTCATTCACTGGTAACACTCCTGCAGTTGGGGTTGACTGACATCGGACTGTGGGCCTCCCGCATCGACAGCTGCAGATGGGTACTGCAAACTAACAACAACAAAAAGTTGACATAAAATTCCTGCAATGCGATTTGCGATTTAATGTCCTGGGTTGTCCGATGGGAGTACCGTAGGTAAATGCGGAAGTATGGTCATGCTGTTTGAGCGTCTCGTCATTTTCATGTGATGTTGTTGCCAAATATCCTTTGTCCCCCTCTCCAGCGGGTATAAACTCCTTGCCCGGTTTATTTCTTTGTCTTCTTTTTCTTCTTCTTTTCTCCCCTTTGAGGCTCCATCGCTCCTCAAGCACATCACGCCTTCCCCTTCTCCAAAGCCGTAGCCAGCCCACTGCTCAGCAGTCGGCTCCAGTAGCCAACGGCCCAGAGACTCAGTAACCAATCAGCCGGTTACCATTGACCATGCCGTGGATATTTTTCTGCACCTGCTCAAACCGCATGGCGCCGCACTTTTCGCTCTCAAGGTGGTTGATGATAGCAGCCAACGTCTTAAAGTCCTGGCGACATGAACGGTTGGGGCAATGGTAGAGGTTTTGTTGATGAGCAGGCGAATTCAGATGCTGATTCAAACCATGGCTAGTGTTAAACCCCTTATGGCACAAGTAACACTCCCACCGGTACCCGTTCCAAGCCCGATCGGTGCAAGCGTACGTGTTTTGGGAGGTACCCTCCCAGCCGATGAGCTTCTTGGAGATGAGCCCACTGGGATCCTTGGACCGGACGAACTGGTAGATGGAGTCGCGGTTCAAAGACGGGGCGTTTCGGCAACTGCCGCTCTCCAGGTGGTGTGTCATACCCGTGGCGGTGGTGTAGCTGTTGGGGCAGAAGGGGCACTTGATTTCTTGGCCACGGTGGGTGCGGGAGTTGAGGTGCTATGTGACGTGATATCAATTAGTCCGAGTTTGGAGTTTGGCTTATTGGATTTCGGTTGCCGACCCCTTGATTGAAGACTTGCTGGGTTGGTCTGTCGTCATATACATACCTGCTTGATATTGTTAATGCTTTGGAAGAAGCGATCACACTCTCGGCAGAAGAAGTGAGCCTCAACTTCGTGCTTGGTGCGGGCATCTTCGGTGACGAAAAGGCGTCCACAATCATCACACTCGTAGCGAGAGTGACCCTTGATCCTCGCATGTTCTAAGAGCTTTGATTCCTTGCGGAAGGCTGAGGAGCAGACGTAGCACCCAAAACCAGCAGTGCCAGGACAGTGATCCTCCCACTCGCAGTGGTCGTAGAGATCATCCTCATCGTAGAAGCCCAAGGTGCAGTCTGCGCACCACCACACCTTGCGATACAGAGTCATGTCGGCAATATCGAGCGGATATGGTAGGCCGAGGGGAGAGAAGGGTATGGCGAAGTTTCTCGACGACGTGGCGATTCGGCAAGAGTGATTGTTTTCACGACGACTATGTCGAATTGGTATCAGGACCGTCGCTGGTGCCGATCTACCAAAGGGTCCAAAGCATGTACGCAGCGTCAAAAAGAAAACTGACGAGGTCCTTGATCTTTTTAAAGCACGATTGAACGGACTCTTTCGCGGGGAAGGTGAATGGGCATGGTGTTGCTTTCCTATGTATAAAAATTAAAGGGAAAGGTGTGTCATTCACTTTCAGAGGTCGTTTGTCAACACCGAAACCGGTGGGCCTCCCGCATGGGCAGCTGCAGGGGACGAATCGATGGGAGCAAGGACCTGAGAAAATGCTTCTTCGTTGGAGAAACTGAAAAAAAAGAATGGATGGTCGGGCCAACCCAGTTCGGAATACCACCACGAAAAATCAGGGTGGAGTCCTCTTTCCGCACGTTACAGATCACCTATACACTGGTTTCCGACGACGACTACATAACAACAAAGAGGAAGGAAATTCCTTGCATCGTGAACAGGCCCCGCACTCATCTGACCGTCACACCGCCGCCCCCCCCCCCCCCCCCCCCCCCCCCCCCCCGGCACGTCCATTCGCAGCCTACTACTGCTGAATACATTTAAATTTCATGCGCCAGCTCCCACGGTTCAGCCAATATTCGCCCAGTCAACCGAGAGACCTGACGAGTACTAGCCATTGAAATCCCGCTTTGCAATTCAACAACATAGACGTCCAGACAGGGTGGGGAGGTTCTGACGGGACCATTCTTGACTCCTAGAGATGTACCTCCGCAAGGTTGATTGGCGAATTTCATATGCAAAGGTCCGTCAATCCACGGTAGAACAATGTAAGCTCTTTGCGAGGTAGCGATGATAGAGCTCTAGTGATCGATCTCTTCCAATGTTCATACGTGACTGCCACGCGTTGAGCCAGTCACTCTTCCCTTCCTTTGCAATTATATACATGTACAGTGTTAACATATCCGTCGTTTCCAAGAGTTATTCGTACAAACCGTCCTGGCTATGTTCCAAGTCCAGGAGTGACGAAACACCAATACTTTCGGTGTCGACGTCCCAATTGGTATCTCCATCATAAACAATCTACCCATCCGATCCCGTCCCAGATTAATGATCGTTCAAACGGCATATTTCAGCAACATTGAAAGATAGAAAAGAAGACAAGAAACCCAAACCCAGCCAGCCCACCAAAGTCCTGTTAAAGAAACTCCTTTTTGTCATGCCACGAACCCATACCCACAGACCTAACAAACGACTTTCAAGCCTCCTTGACCGTTTTCCCCGATCCGCCCTCTACCGGCCTGATATCATCACTACCGACCCCGCTGGCGCTAAAGCTTCCCTTTTCCGGCACCATACCCGCGGGCGCGCCCTCTTTGGAAAGCGCCACACCGGTAGGCAAGCCCTCGACGGCCTGGTCATCGATATCTTCAAACTCATAAGGAATCACCAAGTTCAGGAACATGGTGAACAGCGCGGTGACAGCGAAGCCGGTTTCCATGATGAGCTCGATGGCGTCCAGGAAACCCTGAAGCGACTTGTTGTCGCCCTTGTAGGTGAAGAAGGTGGCAAAGTAGGTGGGCACGAGCGTGGCGCCGTAGCCGAGAGCCAGACCGGCGGTCAGCACGAAGCGGTTGCGGCGGTTGAAGGGCACGCCGCGGGTGATGATGGCGATACCCGAGACGGCGACGGAGGTGAAGAGGAAGGTGGTCATTCCACCGATGACGGAAGAGGGAATGGCGACGAGGGAGGCGGCGAATTTGGAGAAGACGCCCATGATGATGAGGAAGAAGCAGCAGCAGAAACCAGCGGTTCGGTTGGCACATCGGGTCAAGGCAATGACACCGTTGTTTTGAGCAAAAGTCGTCATGGGCGTGATGGTGCACAGAGCGGCGAGGATACCGTTGATGCCGTCCGCCAACACACCACCCTGGACACGGCTCTCGTAGATCTCACCCTCAACCTCCAGACGGGACACATCGCAGGTGGCAGTGATGTCACCGACAGCCTCGCAGGCGCAGACAAGGTAAACGGCTAGTAAGGGCAATACGAGTGGACCGTACACCGTGAGCTTGAAGGTATGTACCCACATAAAGGAGGCGACAGGAGCGGCGTCAATGCTGGAGCGGTCAAAGTAGCCGCAGGCAGCAGCGACGATGCAGCCGACGAGCAGACCGAGAATGACGCTCGTGGATTTCATGATGGGGGAACCGAACCGCTCACAGAAGATGATGGTGACAAAGACGAGGAAGCCCAGACCCAAGTACTCAGCCGAGCCCCAGGGAAGAGCGTGAGGGGCGCCAACGTTGGGGCACACCACGTACTCGGGAAGGGGGTTGGCGGCCGCGCAAGAGCCGGAACCGCCAGCCCAGTTCTGAAAGCCAGACTGGATGAGGCTGATGCCAATGAGCATAACGGTGGGACCAGTGACGATGGGCGGGAACATGCGCAGCATGTACTTGGGCGGCAGGAAGGAGAGCAGGACTTCGAGCAAGGCGCAGACAGCAGCTGTGCCGAGGATGGCTCCGTAGCCGTCGGGGCAGGGCAGGCGAGTGCCGTCTGCGGCGGTGGGGCACATGCCGTTGGCGTACATCTGGTTGAAGGTACCGGTGGCAACGGGGATGATGGCGAAGGAGATGCCGACGACGGAGATTAGGCCCGTTCCAATGTAGTAGGGCGTCTTTAGAATGCGGAATCGGGCTATTTGGATACAGGACAGCAGGCCAGAGACAATGAGGGCGCTCGAAACGAGGTATTGCGATTGCTCAGCGGTGAAGTTGGCACCACCTCCTCCAGCCAGAATGATGGGAGGAGTGATGATGCCAGCCAACATGGCGAGGGAATGCTGGAAACCGAGGATAAGGGCGAGGAGGACGGGCATCCTGTCGTTGAGGCCGAAGAAGACGGCGGGCTTGTTGATCTTCCTCATGAAGGGCAGGTTGGGCCTGAAGAGAAAGCCATAGTCGTAGTCGCCTAGCCATCCCTCCTTGGTGAGAAAGGTGTGGGTGAGGGTTCGTGTGAAGCCAGTCACTCGGTCGCCGATGGTCCTCTTTGGCATCGCATGAGGAGCGATGTGGGAGGGCCCCTGGTCCTCATCCATGGTTGCGGTTTGTTGTGATGAGGGTGTCAAAGTCTCAATGGGTTGTCAAAAGGGGTCTGATTGTCGATGGAAATGGTGGTGATATAGGATGACTCGAAGTCGAAGGTGCCCGGGCCGACGTTGAGCCAATTAGAGACGGCAACTAACAACTAACAGCAACAATGAGATGAACCGAGGATGGAGGATGATGGGACTGCGGCACCGGGATGGTGATATATCGTTCCTGGTTGACCGTAAGATGGCCGGACAAGGGGGGGGGCAACCAACAATAAGCCGTCCAGACGGGCGCGGTGCCCCCCTCCGAACCTTCGAAAGAAGGACGAAGACGGATTGTCTCGCCGCCGTGGCTTGCGTAAAATACTTTTGTCGAGTATCCGCTCCTAACGGTTACGGGGTGCCAAGGCTGAGGTGGATTCCCCCAAAGGAGATCTTATCATCGGCGGCTGGCTCCACTCAGCTACCCACTCGTCAGGGGCGGACGTGCCCCCGAGTGGCCACACTGCAGATAAGCAATCCCCAATCAACGCTAAAACACCAACGCTAACCTCGGTTTAGGCAGTGTTGCGGCCGCTGATAGGGACGGCGATAGTTCGACCGGGCAGCTAAGTGCAAGTGATATCATTGATAAGTACCATATTGCCTGCTTTACCTAATTCCTGCTTCTCACCAATCCGGCACTCCTCAAATGCGAGTTTCCAAATCGGTGACGGGATCCCCTCAGCTGGAAATCATCAACACCAAGCAAGTGATACTTCCCCGGACCCAGCCGACGGATAAGTCCAGCAACCCGGCGACATCCCCATCGTTCAAATCTTTAGCCTCATTACAGTTGCAATCGGCCAAGTCCATGTTCCCAAACGACGGGCCCAAGGCAACGTGCTGTGGACAATAGGCGAGAGGCGAGACGGCCCTGAGCCCAAGGGTTCATATTGAATGCGGCGGAATTCAATTGATGGGTGTAACGATACTTTCATGTCGTCTCGTCGTCGTCGTCGTTGTCGTCTGGGATGGTGTTGAGCCTTCGTTCCCGGGCATCACGAAGGGCCTTAGGAAATCCCCGAAACCCCCGGACGGCTCCTTCGACAGCTTCATCAACTCCAGAGATCAGGTAGCTAGGTAGTCATGCTCTTCCCTCAGACATCGAATCTCCAGACCTTTTCCATGTCAACATGGACAATACCGCTTTACCAGCAAGAACAACAAGTGAACGGTCTCGACCTTCATTCAGCTTTCGTCCAGTCTCGATGTAACTTTCAATTCCCAATTGAGTCCCAAGGGCGCCCTTCCAACTGCATCTGCCATGCGATCCCTTACCATATGCACCGTCCGTATGCAACAAAAAGCGTGGGGGGGGGGGGGGGGGGGGGGGCATGGTAGGTACATTGGCGCATTGTGGGGAAATCGTCATCTAATCAACCATTCAACCACTCTCCTTCTCCTCGACCCGTTCAGCTCCTCGGCCAAAAGCGAACGGAGTCGCAGCTTGCCGTACATAGGTAGTGTACTGGACAAAACCAAAAGGGTGGGAGACCTTACTTCAACAACGAGCCAACAAATCAGGGTTCAAGTCAAGTCAGAAAGAAAGCCTAGCTCGCCTATCTAGGTACCTTTATTCCAACATCGTTGTTGGGTAGAGATAAGCTAACCCCAGCCAACTCGGCACTGAGACGAGGTCATTGGTCGATCGATTTGGGCACCTAACCAACCCGTATCAATGAGGCTTGGCCTGGGCCTTCCATCCTCTCCTGTACACTACACTCAAGTCTTTGGGTGTACACAGTAGGTTGGGTACCTATCTAAAGGTATATAATTACCACTGCTACACTAGCTCACTAGGTACACCCGGCATGTGGCGGACAGCCGGGATCGGGAGGCGTTCGGATGTCTCCGATGTCCTATCCTGCCATATCAGCTCTTGTCTGTGTGAGTGTTTCTTTGCTAAGGGAATGATTTTGCAGCTGAATGTTATTTATTTATTTTCTATTTATTCTTCTTTTTCCCTGAGCAGCTTCGTCGATTGCCTTAATCAAGCTGTGAGGCATATCGAAGCATGCATGATTGAACAAAGAGAATCTCTTGTCATCTTATCATGGTGCCATTGACTGGAGGCAAAGCCTTTTCGATGTCAATTCTTTGTTGCATAAACGCGAGTCTTCTTGGGGAGCTCATTTGCAAACTTCAATACCCGCCATATTCTCCTTTGACCTTCTGCTCTGCTTAGTAATTGATACTTTGGTGGGTTAGGTCAGAAAAGGTCCTCAAGTCAAGTGGAAGGGAAGGATTGAAACAATTTTGCATTATACATTACTACTACCTGGTACATCGAGTTCCTTTAGGAGTTGCCGTCCGTGGGAAAGCTGGAGCTTCCCGTTTGTGTACATGATTCTTTGAATTTTTCCCCAGCCAGAACACTGTCAGTGGGTACCATCTCTTCCTTGTTTCCACCGACCTGGTCTCAAGTGAACTTGCCCTGACTGACTTAGCAAATGTAAGATCAACACACAACCCAAAGCTACCGCTCACAATGGTGTAGTAAGTGGCAGCCCGTGACAGAGGTCTAACCATAGACCTGGTACAGTGTACGCAATCTGGAACCTCCCTGGCTCACTCTGGTTGTTGCTCAGTGGGCGCGGCCTCATTTTCACTATGCTTCTGTTCGGCATTTTTCTCCTTCTTACCATTCTGGGAAGCCTCGAACGCCTCCTCACCCTCCTTTTGGCACACGACAAGCGCTGAAGCCTCAAGCTGCTTTTCGTATTCGTCAAGCGCCAATTGCAGACGAAGTTCTTCCGACAGATGGAATCGCGCTTCGTTCTTGCTCACGAACTCTTTCAACTCTTCCACCCCTTTGCCACAGAGCTTAAGCTCGGCGAGATATTCTCGGTACATCTTCCGAGTATGTTGCACCTGATACAGAAAGAGAACTCCCTTTTGTTTCTCCTCAAAGCCCGCCGTAAGCTGCCGCCACGCCCTCCACATAAGCTCGCATAATTGCTCCGTGTCCTTTCGTTTGATCTCGAACGGATTTGCTGCTGCCCAATCACGCATATTCTCTGGCATTGTTTTGATTTTCAAGAAGTTGTCGAGTGTAGAAACGACATCTGGAAGGATGTAGTCCGTCACGAGTCGATCGTACTCTTTCTCAATTTCGAACCGATCAAGGAACGAACCCCTGCGCTGCCAGATCTCGTGAAGTAGTAGCAGGGCGTGCTCTCTCTTCATTCCCGCCATGAGGTCGTTGTCCGCAGTTTTGTATATGACTGCTTTCGCTTCCTCAAATGTCTTCGCCTTGGAAATCTCAGACGTCGAGTACGCGGTCTCGGCTACTTTCTGCCAATCCAGCCATAACGAGGTGTCTGCACGGGCGATTTGCTCATGCATGACTTTGAGATCGATTGGATTGTCTACCCAACTATAGGCTTCATCCAATGGGTGGCCTAACGTCTTCTCACGCTGATATGTGACGGCACCATACAGATTGACGCCGACCGAGTCCTTATCCTGAGTTTGGCCAAAAATGTGGAGATACCATTTGAGCAGTAACATGTACCCTGATACGTATTGCTCAGTTAAAGTGCCGCCGATGCCCTCTAGTGGTTCTACATCAAGCAGTAAGACAAGTTCCAAGAAGCCACGAGCTAAGGCCGAGGTAGTGACCTCCAGTCGCAAGGGTGAATCACGACCCCAGGGGCAGAGTACAGCAGGAAGTGTCTGTGAGCCGGGCAGAATTCTTTTGAGCTGATCGACATTGTTGTTCCACAGGCTGCTGTGAAGTGTGAGGCTAAAGGGACTCCTGATCGTCAGATGTCTTGTCTTTGTGATAGCAGGCCGCGAGTCCCGGTGCAAGGTAGCACTCATGAGCTTCTTCCGCTGGATTGGAGAGGTCTTCTTCGACCGCCATTTCGGATTTGGCTCGGTCGGGCTTCCTGGAGCAGCTTGGAGCACCAGTCTTCTTTGCTTTGTAATGTTGCGTAAGAGGGCGGTGACATATTCCGCCGACGGCTGCAGGAAGAGACCGGGAGAAAGCTGTGGTTCGACAAAAGAAAATGGCTCGTCAGGAACTGTCGTCGCGTACGCCATCAGCATCCGAGCATTAGAACACATAAACAAGGCAGGAGATGAGAGACTCGGCTCTGGGATGTTCACGTACCGAAGCGTGCCCAGACCATCTTCTCGGCCAGCCAGGAGCAGTATGATTCTGAGATAGCGGGCGGCGCCTTGTCGGAAGCCACCAGTTGTCGGAGTACCTCCTTTTTGGCAAGGTCGAAGAGAACTTGAACGCGATCCGCACTCAGTGTGGTGTTCTCTGCCACGAGTTTGAGGACAATTTGACTGCGTCGCTCCGGATCAGGGCAGGCAATCGGAGCCAAAGATGGGGCTGATAATGCCTTGGAGGCTTCTGGAGCCGACATTGTTGGGAGCAGACTGACGACCGACAGTAGGAGTGTGTTGCTGACTCTTGCGAATACCTTGGGTAAATCTGTCGGCAAGAACTGGATTTTCTGCTTACTTGAGGAAATAAAATCAAGTGTTGGAGGGAGAAGCGGAGCCAAAACGCTTGGTTCGATCCTAGAAGGAAATTCAGCAGCGAAGGAAGGAGTGACGGTATGGAAAAAAGTTGAGCCATTTGACGCCCTTCATTAAGTCCGGGAGCAGGTACGGCTTCCTGATCGCGTCTGAGCAGTTACCTCTAGGTAGGTATGACGCGTCACGATTGGCGACCTCAAACGGAAAAGGAGCTATCTCTTGACTGCTGCCACTTGCCAACCAGGTGCCACTCAATAACGACACCTACTTTACTGACCTGAGCTTGACTAGATTTGCACTTCCCGGTGAACAAGCAAACATTCGTTCAAGTTATCAGCCACTCACCATTCCAACTCTGGTTCAGTCACTGTTAACTCAGCACCGAGGATAAAGTCTCCCGCTTTCGCGCCTCATCGTCGCGCTCTAGAACTAGACGATTCTGTTCACTATCTCTCAAAAGTCTATACCGCGCGAGTGCGCATCGTGGCAAAGCACTGTCGCCGTCCGGGGAGTTGAGTATCCAGGCTTGATGTAGGTGTGCACTCATTTGACCATCCCGAGGCATTTCCCTGGAATGTTTTGGCTTCAACAGGTCCACTGACAATGGCATTTTCACCAAACATTCAGCTCGCACACCAAATCATCACCGAGTTGATCATGCGAAGATGAACCGGAAGCGAGACTTGTCCACGTTCCACAAGGGACAACAGAACACTCAGGGCTCTGCCGACGACCACAAGGAGGATTCCAGTAGTCGGCCCAAGAAAGTGGCCAAGATTGTCAAGACCGAACCCACAGACAAGCCCAACGGAGGTACGCAGAACCAGAAACCAAAAGAGTTTGTTGGTCCGAAACCAAGTGGGATACACTTGGCCTTCTCGCTGGAACAAGCTCCACATGTCAAATCGCTTAGTGGTGCTGCATGTGCCAACTGCGGAGGAAATGACCACATGGCATCCCGTTGTATCGGCCCATGGGATCCGGTTAGCGGGACGATCAAAGTCTGCGTGCTGTGCAACGATGATTCCCACGGGCTCGATAACTGTCCAGTCCTCGCAAAGCGCAGTGCGTCAGACCAAAGATTCGTCTTGAGCAGATATCTGATCCTCTACCGTGGCGGGCGTCCTCCCATCGAGTCGAGTGTCTGCTGGGTTGACTTGCTAAGCTCTACAGAGTACAAAGAAGTGTTGGCCAAGCATTCATTGGAGAAGGGCGACAAACACTATCCTTGGACAAGAGAGTTCGCAATCAGTCAACACAAGAACAGGTTGTGGAAGCGCTACAGCTATTCTCAAAAAGATGACTCAGGAAGGACGTGGTGGCCTGAGGACCCCAAGACTAACTCGGAGGCTGAAGTCCAGAAGAACATCGAGTTACTCAAACAGACTGAGTCCGCGTCCGTTTTGAAAGCAGCGGCCCGTCAAAAGATGATGGAGAGCGAGTCAGAGAGGGAGTGGGAGTTGACTGCAGCCGGCCTGAAAGCGTGGCCTGACATCTTCAAGATTGCTCCAAAGTTGAAGGCTTTTATTGAGAAAGAAGACAATTGAGTGTGTAAGAGATCCTGGCATTTGTAGCCAGACACGAGGGGATATGCGCCACGTATTTTGACCGAAAGGGGAGAAAGCTCGCACCAAGATTCGACGAGCGTTTTAGTAGGAGATGCGGTGCGAGTTTGACTCAAGTTATGTCACAAATCAATTAAATAAGATGTAAGCATATGGTTTCGTGGGTATTGAGAGCAAACAACGGTCGAAATAGTGAGGGGACAAAGAGAGCAAAACACAACAAAGGAGCTGCTCGGAACGACCATTTTCAGGGAGTCAATAACACACCAATGAAACATCAAACAAGTCCGTACAAGCAGACGTCAATATCCTTACGAAAATCTAGTAGTACTGTACATGGTTACTTGTAAAATAACTTGCTGTTTCGTGTGTTCTCATCGAGTGTCTCATGGGGTCCATGAATGGGTGCAATAAGAAATGAATGGGTGAACCCATGCTTCATCCTATGAGTGGATAGCTACCGTATATATAGGCGGTAGAATTGAAGCTTATTCTCAACAAGGCCCTATGGCGCAACGGTAGCGCGTTCGACTCCAGATCGAAAGGTTATCCGTTCAAATCGGGTTGGGGTCAACTTCTACTTGGGGTCAACTTCTACTTTTTGCAGGTTTTTGCATCGTAATTAATGCTCGCCACACTTGTTTTGCTGGTTTGGTCTTCTTTTATCTTTGTAATTTTTCTTTTGAATCCTGCGTTCCAGTGATACATACCGAAACGGACGCCTGGGTGTTGGCCTTGCGATAATAAGTTGCGAGAAATTGGGGTGGTTTTCATGCTGGAGCTAATACGCCATGTCACAGGAAATGGCTGCAAAACACTTCGAATAATAAAAAAAAACAGGAAGAAAATTCATCCCCAAATAATCATGTCGCTTTGACATATGTCCACGCATTAGTCTCCCCATGTTTATGCATGCAGTCTTCACCAACATCATGCTCCCAAGCTTCGCTTCAGTTGCATCCGTTGTTGGTCCGTCCGGCTGGCTGTCCCGGTCCGTCGCTGAGGTGATGCACGCCGAAGAAAGATTGCACTCCACTCCGCCCGATCGCGGCAGCCACCGGCCGAACGATGTCATCGGACATGCTAACCCGAAATAGGTAAACCATAAATAAACGACCCCACCAATCGGAACTTCTATCCGTGCTCGGCCTACACTACAAAACATCAACAGCTGTCAACCCCCCAACTCACCTAACAATCCACGACCTCTCTTTCATCACCAACCCACTCTCTTTCACCCACCTCAAAATACTTACCAAACCAAAATTAACAAAACACAAAAAAATGGAAGGCGTCGACCTCCTCATCCTCGGCGCCGGCTGGACCGCCACCTTCCTCATCCCCCTCCTCCAACAACACCCCGACTCCCTCACCTTCGCCGCAACCACCACCACCGGCCGTCCCGTCTGCGGCATCGACACCATCCCCTTCCGCTTCGACCCAGACTCCAAAGACCCCACCCCGGTCGCCAACCTGCCGCGCGCGCGCTACATCCTCATCACCTTCCCCCTAACAGGCAAAGGCCAAAGTACCTGGCTCACAGAAACCTACCAAGCCACGCACCCTAGTAGCCCTTCCCAAGAAAAGTACAGGTTCATCCAGCTCGGCAGTACGGGTATCTGGCAAGTAGAAGGGCGGAGAAAACGCCACGGCGCAGCTAAAAATCCAGAAGAAAAGCAAGCTGAACGGGAAGCTAGGGTTAAAGCCGAGGCGGAAGCCGCCGCCGAGAAGAAGAACAACAACAAAAAACCCTTTGGTTTCACGACGCGACACTCGCCTTACCTGACTACGGACCCGCGCGCCATAGCTGAAGACGAACTGCTTGCTTCGTCGGTGGTGGACGGCATGGTGCTTGCGCTCTCTGGGCTGTGGGGCGGGGCGAGGGATCCGCGCAATTGGGTGAGCAGGGTGGCTTTCTCGAAGGAGGCGTTGAGGCACAAGACGAGTTTGCACATGATTCATGGATTGGATATCGCGAGGGCTGTGTTTAAGATCATCACGACTTGTGAGGATGAGGAGGAGAAGGAGGGCGGAGAGAAGGAGAAGAAGAAGAAGAAGTGGGAGGAGCATGGAAAGGGGCAGAGGTGGATGTTGACGGATGGGTTTGTGTATGATTGGTGGAGTTTGTTGATGGGGTGGGCTACCGAGGGACAGGAAGACGGGGAGCCGAGAGAGCAGGCGAAGTGGGTGATGGAGTTGATGGAGGAAGAGGGGGTGCAGGCGCTGCCGAGGAGTATGGAGCTCATGGGAAGGGCGTATGATTCGAGAGAATTCTGGAGGACGTGGGGGTTGGTGCCGGTGAAGGCGAGGGTTGGGGTTAATGCTCCTTAGAAGGGGCTAAAGACAGAAGTGTTGGGAGACACCAAGTTAGGAGAGAAAGAAGGACGGCAGGTAGAGGGCCATTGTACATTATCACAAGCATACCAGCATACCAAAAATGTGAGAAAACAGAATCGAGAATAACCAAACACCCGCTCAATACCTGGGGAATCTATTTTCTTTCACACAAAAAAATGGCCACACATCATCTATAGCAACAGCTTCTGGACCTCCTCAGCCAAGTTCTCAATAGGAACCAGGTTGCCCTCATCCTTCTGGCCCTGACCCTGATCAAGCTTCTTCAACCTGACCTGACCAGCCTTGAGCTCCTCCTCACCCAGGATGACACCCAGAGGCGTACCCTCGGCAGCCTTGAACTGAGCCTGCAGTTTAGGCTTGGCCTTGGCCATGTACTCGGCGCGAATGCCGGCGTTCCATAGTTGCCTGGCAATCTTCATGCGCTCCACAAGGAGACCGTCAAAGTCCTTGCCGCCACCAAAGGCCATGACGAACACGTCCACCTCGCGCTTCTTGATGTCGTTCTCGCCGCGGGCCTTGAGGATGGTGAAGATACGGTCGATGCCGAACGAGATACCGACGCAGGGGATCTGCTTCTTGCCGTACATACCGACAAGGTTGTCGTAGCGGCCGCCGGCGGCGATAGAACCAACCTGGCTGGCCGGGTCGTCCTTCTTGCTCTTCTTCTTCTTGTCGCCGTCAGCCACGGGCTCGGGCTTGTTGATGACCTCGAAGATCAGGCCGGTGTAGTAGTCGAGACCGCGGGCGAGCGAGAGGTCGAACGAGACCTTGTCGGTGACCTCAAGGGCCTCGAGGTAGGCGGCGAGCAGCTCCATGTCGTGGATGCCGGCCTTGATGTCGTCGTTGGTGGGCAGATCGGCGTCGGCCTTGATGTAGTTGATGATGTCGGTGATGTTGCCGGCGTTTTGCACGTAGACGCCAATCTTGTCGGCAACCTCCTCGGGCAGACCCTTCTCCTCCACCATCTCCTTCTTGACGTCGGCCCAGGGCATCTTGTCGAGCTTGTCGACGGCGGAGCTGATGGTGCGGATCTTCTCGGCGGGCACACCGGCAACGGCAAAGAGACCGTCAAGGATCTTGCGGTGGTTGAGCTTGATGGTGATGCCGAGCTTGAGAGCGTCAAAGACCTCGACGATGATGCGCAGAATCTCGGCGTCGGGGATCATGGGGTCGTAGACACCGGCAATGTCGAAATCGCACTGGTGGAACTCGCGCATGCGGCCGCGGGCAATGGCGGGCTGGTCGCGACGGTAGACCTTTGCGATGTGGTAGCGCTTGACCTGCTGGGTGCTGGTCATGGCGAGCCAGCGGGCAAAGGGGACGGTAAGATCGTAGCGGAGGGAGCAGAGCTCGCCACCCTGGTCCTGAAGGTCGTAGATGAGCTTGGAGTCCTCGCCATACTCTGGGGTTCAAGTGTTAGCGAATCTTGATACGGGCGAGTTCGGTCGGCTAGGTTATTTGTAGGTGTCGAGACATACTGCCGGCAAGGATTTCCCTAAGCTCGAAGACGGGAGTGTCGAGGGGGGTGCCGCCGTGGCGCTTGAAGACGTCGCTAACAGTCTGGCTATGATTTGAGGAAAACAAGAGTGTCAGCAACAAGAACAGAAAAGAAAAAGTGGTCATGAAATGGCAAATGCGACGGGAAGCGCATACAAGAGCTGCTCACGGAGGAGCATGTCCGGGCCGTGCCAGTCACGGGTGCCCTTGGGGGTCTTGATCTGGAGGTTGGCAGCCGGCTTGGGCGCCTTGATGTCCTCCTTGGTGTCCTTGGTGTTGTCGGCCATGGTTTTGGTGGTGTGGTCGATGTCGGCGGCGAGGTGTGGGCGCTGGCGCAAACAAGTCGGGAATTGGCGCGGGGTATTATTGATGGCGACCGGGTGGCCAGTAGTGGTGGTGCGATTCAAGAGTGATCCGATGAAACGGCTGGCGCGTGCAATTGGTATCGACTCTGTAACTCGTCGGATCAGATTCAGCATGCCGCTACGGACGGGATGGTCGAGTCGAACGGGACGAGGTCGGAGATCAAGTCGGACACGGCACGAGGGTGGAGGGGGTGGATGGGCGGGTGGATGGACGGCCGGGCGAGGGATCGGGTTGGAGGGGCACGGCCGCACCACACTGAGCAATTGTGACTTTTTTTTGCTTTTGACTCAGTTCGGGGCCTGCGTGTTCCCTGCCAGTACCTGACCCAAGTACCTGGCAGGGCAATTCTACAGCGTCTGAAGGACAGCGTTCCCCTCGGCAGGCAGTCTGACGCAGTGCCTCTGGAGGTATCTGTCCATCCCGGCAGGCAATTTCCTCGGCTTCCCTTCCTTCCTACCAGTAGACTAGACTTTCCTTCGATGCGGACGTTGGTCCTTCAACATCCGCCACCATGGTCTCAACCTCGGACAAGACGGACGCGAACGAGCTATGATAGCCCATGACGAGCCCTGAACCTATCCAGCGCATTTTCGCATATATTTAGTTTCTACGCCAGGCATCCATTTCAGTCATCAAGTACCCAGGTCAAAACTTGTTGGCAATCGCTCCTCGTCACAACCGACATCATGTCTGCCTCAAAACTCGCCCATTATATCACCTAGGCCAACTAGATCCATTGCTGTATCTCTGAGAGTGTCCCAAACATTTGCACCCTCAAATAAGTGACATACGGTGCTGGATGCGGCCAGAGTTCTCTTGGGGGCCGGGATGGACTTGCGTGTAACATGGCGCCACCATATCCATCGTTCGTCAGCAAGAGGATCATAACTCGAGATGCTGTTACAGGGCTGCCATAATGATATACTGACTATGAGAGGCCTATAGGGTCATCTCAAAGGCCTCGATGCTCTCTCCTCATCAGCTTCTTCCACATCTCGCAGCTCAAAGGACCCCTTTCTCATCGACGCTCGGTCACGATACTGCAGCGAGCCGACTCGAACATGGGCTTTTATACCAATCCAGAGTTCAACCCTGTAGTCCACTTGCCGGATGTCCTTGCCAACTTGACTATCCCGAACAACTCCAATCGCGCTACGATTGCCGATTCCTTAGCATCCATCCATCACAGCGTTTGCATTCGTCAGTGAAGATTGAGAGTGAAGACATCAAGGTCATGCAGCATCCATTGCCAAATGCGATTTGAGCTTCTCGCTTCATTTTCCACTCGATCGATCTGGATCTGGATCACCGCATCTCACATACCATCGGAGCTCCATAACAATCTCTATCGGATGGGTTTCGCCTCGAGATCATTGTGCATGACTCCCAGCCCCAGCCGATGTCGTCCCAACATCTTCTTCGTCATGGCTGATTCTCTGAAGTGACGACAGCGGCACCGCTTCCGCCGTGATGCTTGCAGGCCGCTGTGTATGTTGATGTTTCCTATTGCGGAGGGCTTGGGCCAGCACTCGTGCTGTTCCCCTCTGATCTTTGGGCACGGGTTCAAACAGCTCTCTGGCCCCAACAGGGAGAAGTCTAGCGAGTCCACCTGGAGAGCGGGTAGGTACATGGTTAGCAAAAGACACGAACAGCTCAGCAGATGGAGAAAGACCAGAACTTCGAAGGAGGCCACTTACGGATGACTATCGCGGAGAACTGCCCAAAGACCGGCACCCACGCCACAATAGCCGCGACCTGACCAAAACCCCAGTCATTCTCCGCGTACGACAACCCCGACAGATTCTCCGCATGTTGGCGGAGGGAATGGAAGAAGCCCAGAGAAAGCCAGACAAGAACAAAGCTGGTGAGGACCAAAAACCCGCCAAGGATGCCTGTCAAAACCAAATAGAGCGTCAGGACCGTGTCCTTCCCCTTGTCGGTCATTTTGGGAGTCCGGATCCGGATGACCAGCAACGAGCCACCCCATAAAACGATTAGGGCAAGGACGGCATAGGGAGTGCCCTTGACCAGCTTCTGCACGGACTGCGCCGAATGCACCGTTCCCAGGCACCTGGCTTCGAATGTGGTCTTGTTTCCTCCCAGGCTGGTTCTGAAAAAGGCGATGCTGACGCCGGCCATCATGCAGAGGAGCACGGTCAGGCCGGAAAAAGTCAGCACTGGGTACTTGTGCCGGCCGGGAAACCACGGCCAGAGACAGATCAGCACGGCGATGGAGTTGACGGCGCCCAGATAGGTGAAATAGCCAGAGTAGATTCGGCCGGTTGAGTCGTTATCATCTTGAGTGATGAAGACGATCGCGGCTATGACGAAGGTGAAGGCGAAGACGTAGCAGGTGGCCCAAAAGACCTCGAGGCAGTCGTCGGCGGTTTCGCGGAAGGCGATGGGGTCGAACAGCTTGGTCGCTTTTTGGGCGGCGGGCTGGTCGTCGTGTTGCTGGGAAGTAGGTTGAGGGTCTGTGGGGCTGTCGTTGCCTTGAAGTTGCTTGGGGAGGGTTGGTTCCTCCTCAGGTTTGTTCACGTCCACCACATCTTTGACATAAAAGCGAATGTAGAAGAGCAGGAACAGAGTGGCGAGAGCGGCTTGGACCATGAACGCAGCATAAACCTGCAGAACTGTCGTGTGAGACGGAAGTTGTTACTGCAGCCGAAGAAAAAAAAAAAAAAGGTACGCTCTACTCACCCCGATGCCAGAAACATCCGGATTGCCTTCCCATTTCAAGGACCTGCAAAACTCCCTGGGACATGTTTTGATGGTATGGTCAACGAGATGTTCCAAGTTAGCATCCGCCGTGTGGATGAACCAGTCAGTGGCCTGGCCCAGGGTGTACTTGGTGAAGTCGTCGTCGGTACAAGACGAAATGAAGCTGTCGAGCCGATAAACAGGCAAATCCCAATCCATGTTGAACTGATTTCCCTTTATATGACGTTGCTGACCTGTGATGTCTTGAGTCCCCCGCAGATAACCGAGGAATCTGGTAGCGGCTTCGGCACAGTCGCTGTCACAGGGCTTTTTGATGCGTTTTTCCAAGCCTCGGAGAGTGAGATTGGCGGTAACGAGAGGATTACGGCCGGGATCTCGCCAGTCAAACTGTTCTGCCTCTGCCATGGTTCTTCTGCTCCAAGATTGCAGATCTCGTTGAGGTCTGGTAAGGTGGGATGCGTTATAAGTATCGCAGGGGAAAGGGAATATGAAAACGGCGGTTGAGGACGAACTGTTGCTTTCGCGGGGGTAGGGCTTCTTTTCTTCTCTATAAGAAGAGGAAGCTACCTACATACCTACCTCCAGGCATCCATCGTGAATGTGAACGCCTTGCATATCTTCTTGCCTCTTAAATGACCCAATGGCGAGGGGTTTGAAAGTTACACTACCTTTGGCCCATCAGCAAGGATTCGGTCTGTGCTGGACCAAGCATTCATCGTGGATGTGAACGCCATGCATATGGTTTGCCGCTGAGTGACGAAATCTCTCGGGAGGTGAAGGTTACACGACTTAGGGCTGATTACCAAGGATCCGATCAGTGCTGGGCCGCATGAGGAGAGCCTTATACAATATGTACTCGGATCCAACGGGGGTCATTAGGTATCGTATATATCTCACAGTCATCCAAGGGTCAACCGGCCTCAATTACACGATGGGTGGCCATTGCTGACCAAGGCTTCCTACTGTATATATAGGTGTATGGTAGTACGAATCCTTCTGTTTAATAGGGTCGCTACGACGAGAGACCGGCCTTGGGCGGTTGGTGGTTTCCTCGGCTATATCAATGAAGGGAGCCTCCGTTTGGAAGACATTGACGGACCAAGGTGATATTTCCCACTTCAGATTCGGTGCTCTCTGGGACGTTGATACAGTGAAGGACGCGGGTATGTATCTACCCATTCCGAGATTCAGTACTCTTGTAAGAAGCTGTACCACGCCTGGACTTCTACCATGACCTAGACGATGTTTCGAATGGCCTAGGCGGCCTTCTCGTTCTTGACTCGTTCGTCCTAGTTTGCATCGGCCTCGGCTGTTTCATGTACCTTCAACACATTATTTGTTGGTCGAATCCCAAACCGTCGGTCCGCATCATGGTCATCGATATCCCGGAAGCCGAGCCGCGGTGAGACAGGGCACTGAGATTCGGAAACCGGGGTTGATGAGGCTCCGCATCCTGGTGGAGAATGAGTGATAAAAGGCCATCTTCTACGCCAGGATAACCATCAAGGCCCGCATGGCTCAGTGGTAGAGCGCATCACTAGTAATGATGAGGTCGTCAGTTCGATTCTGGCTGTGGGCATGATAGCGCGATGAAGCTCGTGATCTTTTCTTTTTTGGCCGTTTTTAGTAATGCCATGGAGTTGTGACTTGTTGGTGGTTTGGGAAGAGTTCCATCATCTCTTCGCTGGACGGGTGGATACCATGCAGAAATTTCCAGGGAGCATTCATAACCCTAACCCAGCGCTTGTGTAACCTTCCTGTTTTTGCCCTCCCCCCCTTACGACGTTACAAGAAGTAGCAGTTCCTACGTCTTTGTCCTTCCTTCCTGTATTGCCACCCCCCATTCAGTGCCCCGTGTAGATAGGACTGGATATACCGCAATGTCATTCGATTGAGCTAGTTGAAAGTGCGTGTGATGACTGATGAGAGACAGCGCTTTTGCAGGAATCTCGTGCCTGGTGCAAATCCTCAGACATTGTCCATTCAGAAACGCGCCGGGGGGTGTTGCCACAGCTTACGCAAAGATCAGGCCGGCCGTTATCTACGATTGAACAGAAAAAGTAGCCTCTTCTCTGCGCTTGTATGCAAACCGTGGTCGGCAGGGACCACTCATTGAATGATTGAGGTCGATCTTTGTCTGAGTGTGGTACACGAACCGGAACCGAGTACCGTGTAGGGACCTAGCGCAGACCAGACCCTTGTATACTTTTATACTCGCAGTCTTACCTTTACCTCCCTTGCGATCTCGTTACTTAAAGCTAACACACATGCCAGACGTTCGCCTTCGTGGGGAACGCCTTACTGCCCGTCTTCAAAAAGACAGGTCCAGCTCTCCGAAATTAATAGTTTATCCTTGACCGCCTCTCTTATCTTGACTCTCTGCACACTAAGGTATCTATATTAGAGGAAAGACTCTGGGGACACTCCGCGATAATGCCCGCAACAGAGGTCTAACATGAGATACTGGTGCGCTGTATGTATTATAGATAGTGCTCCCTTGAGGGGCCAACAGTTGAGGTTGCGTTCGAGCGAATCGGGAGGGGAAAATGGCATTGCGGCGGAAGACATGATGCTCTCAAGTGCTGAAACAGACTTGAACTGTCCAACCTTTCTATGTGCGTGATCAAAGTGATATAGGGCTCAAATTTAAGACAGCTTAACAATTAACATTATCTCGCGCCAGTGGTTTAGTGGTAAAATCCATCGTTGCCATCGATGGGCCCCGCGTTCGATTCGCGGCTGGCGCATTTCTTGTGCTATTTTTCCCTTTTTTTTTTTTTTTTTTTTTTTTTTTTTTTTTTTTTTTTTTTTTTTTTTTTTTTTGGACGCTTCATCATTTGCGGATTTCGCATTTGTACTTGGAGAAAGGGTCATTGTATCTCGGTGTTGATTGAGCTTCAATTTGAACACAAGTCTTTTGACTAACTTGAGTATGCTCCGTGAAAACTTTTCAACCTCTTCCGCTTCACCTTCAATCCGTGACTGAGGTACCTTGCATGTCGCCTTTCCACGTTCTCTGATTCCTGCCCTCCCGAGCCCCCGGATCGCAATTCTTCAACTCCATGATCGGTCAATCGGCTTGTCAAGTGGAGGGGAAGTCAACAACGGAACGATGGACCCCAAGCCAGCCACTTCCACTTTTGTTCTCTCGCCTCGGGTTTATTCCTGACCACTCATGCTTCTTCTGATCAGCCACTCGGAGGTTTTGGGTGCCCCGCCCGCGCCCGCCAGTAGCGCACGCACCTAACGTTCGCTCCATGGCGCTTGTGCACCACCCTGAATTAACGCAAGGGGGCCCGTTTTAGCGGGAACGGCCCGCGCCGACGGATATTGATTGGCCACCCATTCCACTTCTGGTCCGCAATTTGTGAAAAGAAGAATGAGAAATGAGGTGGTTCAAGTGCCACACATTCCCATTCTTGCAATTTTTAACCTTTGAGTTTCTTCTTGTGAGTTTATCTCTCTTCCAGTGCGCACGACATACCTCTACATGCTGGGTCGTTGGGGCGCTTCTGTAGGTACACTACTGTAGCTCTCAGACCACTGCGCCTCCGGCTATTTCGAATAATACCACCACACTCCACAAAACCAACCTCAACCAACCTCCAACAACCTCATGAGGCGCCCCTACCTTGCTCTCTACACAGTCAAAATGACAGTACCAGCCACAATATTGCTTCTTGCTCGGCCTTTTGACGGACATAGAGTATAGTCTTTGGCTCAACTGCAACTTTGCACCATCAAAAGGGAAGGAGACAAAGAGATCAGAAGAATGGCCATAACGAAGTTCAAATATATATACTCTCAAAGTCCTACGAAAAGAAGATGATACTTGTCCATTACCCCAAATCCATCACCGCATCTTTAGTCTAGTGTAGTGTAGTGTCATCACGCTAGCACCACATTTTCCCCCAAACCGCCAACATGGTCTCCCTCAAGCTCACCACCACCATCGCCACGATGCTCGCGACCCTCACCGTCGCCGCCCCATTCCCAGGCCCAGGCCCAGACCCAGCTCCGGCCCCGGTCTCCACCTCCACCTCCACTTCCACTTCCATCTCCACATCCACGGCAACCAAGCCCTTCAGCTTCTCCAAATGGGTAGACGACATCCTCAACCCCAACGTCGTCGCCCTCACCCCAGAGCAAGCCCTCGAAGCCTACTACCAGAGCATCAATGGCACCAGCACCAGCAGTACCACTACTGGTACAGAGCTGTCCAAGAGAGCAGGCGCAACCTGCGAACCCAGCAACTCCAAGCGCATGCCTGTCGCCGACGCCGTTTACATAGTCAACAAGATGGCCGCGGGCGGACAGAAGCCCGTTCACATGCCGCCTCCCTTTTGCTCGGAGTCCATCTGCCGCAGCACGAGCGGGAGGTCGGCAATGGTTGGGCAGAAGGATTGTAATTTGTATGTGGAGGAGCCGTCGGAGTATTGGGCGAGGGCGGGGGGGTTGATTATGGGTGAGTTTTTCATTTTTTTCCCTTCCTTTCGTCCTCATTCTTTCAGAGGCTCGCCTTGCAAAAGTAGGTATGTTTTGCTAACCCTGCTTTGTCATGACAGACGCCTGCACTTGGGGTGACATGAGCGGTGGTAAGATCATCATGCCTGCGAATTCGTACATTACTGTGTTGCTGTGGGGTCAAGGGCACTGATGACGGTTAAAATGGGTTGAGATGACTGTCATGGGCAATGGTTTATGTGGTGGCTTCTGTGTGTTGAAGAAAAAGAATGTCATGATTTCTCAGGTTTTGCGTTTCTAGGGGGTGGGTTTTGTCTTTTTTGCTCTGTCTAGACCATGTACATCAAATGCCCTGTAGGGTCGGACAGCCTGAACCCTGGGTGATGTTCGTGGGCGCGTGTCGGAAAAGATTGTCCAGAAGAATGGACCATAGGTATGAACTTGGGGAAAACTGGAAACCGCGATCAGACCGACCACGAAGGATTGATATAAAAGTTTGTTGCTATTTTCCATCAACACCCGCGTACATCCTGCCAAACGTGACTGGCAAATCTCCAATTCAAGGTGATGAACTTTGTGAAAGCCGGAATTCGGGATGCAGACTGATATATATCTGACAGCCACGTAGTATACGTACCTAGGTACTCTTTGAGGTCCACCAAAAGCAACTGCCTGACAAGACTTATTATACCCCTGCGTTTTCTACACGGCCTGGATTGCCGTTTTCCCCAGTCCATACGGCAACCCTACAGGATCCGCACGACCATGTCTGCGAGATCTAGTCTCTCCAGGTTACACGAGTTTACAATGTCTACGGTAAGAGGGATAGCTTGGCGGCTAGAAACGCTGAACCCAGCCAATCTGACGATGTAGCGACGCGCGGGCGTGATGGGGAAAGGTGGTTCGGTAAATGAGTTTTGTCTTCCGGATGATCGACACCCCCTTGTCACTTCTGCAGACAGGCAGCCTAGAGGTACAGTACCTACCTGTATGAACTACTGTAGCACTCAGACCATTACACTAGAACAGCATCGGCTTGGACTTAAACAATACCACCACACCCCATAGCCAAGCCAAAACTAACGACCAACAACAACTTCATGCGGCTCCTCCAACCTGCTGTCTGCACAGTCGTAGAGACAGTCCGTCGCCCGAGAACATTGCGCTTCTAACTCGGCTTTTTTTTTTTTTTTTTTTCCGTGACCGCTAGACTTGGCCTGTGGTTCAATAGCAGCTAGGATGGCCAAGGAGAGGAGGTGAACAGGCCGCTTTGACACTGAGTCTATACGATGTCGGATCGTAGATTCGGCCCGTTACAAGTCAGGCCTTCGTGCCAAAGCTGTCCATATCCCATGTAACAGATGTCCGGGACTACGGAAAACGTCCCTAGGTAGCAAGGAAATGGATACCTCTCACGTAGGTGTAGGTTCTAGACCGATTGAAGATTAGACAACAAAGATTGGGACGGCATCATGGGTGCGGTAGAGAAGGTTGAGTTGAGCTTGAGTGGCAGGATGACGAGAACTCATGGATTGTCTCGAAACCGTGGGACTGTTGAGAAACTTCAGGAGTAGAGTTGTTGTTCGTGTCTTGGTTAGTTAGATGTAAGCCCAGAGCAAGCTTTGGAGAGATACGGGAACGTTCATGCCAGGGGAGAGAAGGTGATACCACGATAGAAAGGCGGTAAACATGGGAGGACGTTGGCGTTGTATCAGTGCAGGGACGGCAGCCGAGGATATGTATCTCCGGCCATAGGCCATTGATTGGGATCCGGGAATGTAACCGAAAAGAGGAAGAGTCCTTGGAACAGGAGTTCCACTGCTCGGCTCATAACAAGCGCCTCTGGATGACGCCAACCCGAATTGAGGATAGGGACACTACCACAGTAGTAGAAGGAGAGCTCTTAGCCATGCCGCGAAGCAAAGAACACCTCTAGAGGTAGGGAAGAAGATTGGAGTATAAGAAGGACGAAGGTCGGTCACAAAACCAAAGTAGAGAGATTTCCTCCCCATCCTCACCTGCATTCATCAGCTTCTCTTTCTCCCTCACCAAGTCCAGCATCCCCAAACCGTTAAAATGGTCGCCATGAAGTTCGCCACCATCGCCGTCCTTGCGACTGTCGCCGTCGCTGCGCCAACCACTGCCGTCACCACCGCGGAGGAGGTCAAGCCTTGGAGCTGGTCCCAGTGGGTCGCCGACCTCATGAACCCCGACGTAGTCGCCCTCACCCCTGAGCAGGCCGTTGAGGCCTACTACGCGAGCCTCAACGCCACCGCGTCCACCCACGACGGCGCCGCAAGTATCAATAAACGATACTTGTCGTGGTGCACCACGGATGAGCAAGATACTCCTCGTCACTTGCTTCGGCCCGACGTTGACGCCGCCGTCAAGTGCGTGAGCAGCCTGGCGGCGTTGGGAACCAGTGTTAGCTACGCCGTCAAACCCTTTTACATACTTTGCCAAGAGATTATTGGAGTGAGGATGATAGTCAGCTTGTATGGGACGGCGGAATCGGTTTTGTATACCACAGCGTAAGATAATTCCCGTTCTATCCCTAGCATTCAAGACGCGAGTTGAGGTCGCCTGCTCAAGAAATCCCTCTATTCAAGAAGGAATTGATGACTAACATCTGGTTTCTGGCAATATCCAGTCATGATTTCGCCGTTGCTGGTGGACACATTATGGGTAAGTGGCACAAACCCATTCATATCGAAAGCAAGGTGACCGGGCACGTTTCTAACGATTATGGATCTCCTGACAGACTCTTGCACCTGGGGCGGCACAACTGGTGGATATATCATCGAGAATAACCAGAAGACCTTGGAGTATGAGTTGACCAAGTTGGGCGCTCAGTAGGGCGATCTAGGTCGGATATCCAAAAGTTTCGAAAAGAAAATAAGAAGTCTCTGCCAGCTGCAGGCATTACTAGGCTCGCACGGGGCGCGGGGTAATGGCTATCGTACAAGAGGGTTTGACAGATATGTATACAGCTAGGCTAGGGGACGGGGATATGACGTGGTGTGTTATCGCCAAGGGGTATGGAATATGGTCACGTGGATAATGACGAATAGTAATGCCGAGGGACAAGGAAAGCGATTTAGGAATACACACAACCTATCTTGGAGAGTTGTGGGCAGGTTCTGAGCCAATCCATTTGGACACCCTATCGAATCACTGTGCTGATGTCTGATATGTTGTTGTCTCGCCGGCGGCGGTAGTGGCCGCATCGGATAAATAGAGTGCAGCCCATTCGGCCCGCACCCGTCTCTTCTTTCATGACCAAACTGTATAGCTTGGCTCTGACGTTCGGCGAAGTGATGGGTGGCAGACTAGAAGGGAACACTCGAAGCCCTTTATCAACTCTGGTGAATGAACTGAGCTGTCAAGTGCCCGACGGCTGAGGAGTCCTTCCGAGTGGCTATAATGTTGGGAAAAGGAACTGAAGGGCAAAAGGCCGAGGATCCCTCTATCACGGTCATGACTGCATGGTGTAGAAGGTTAACAAGTTGAGAAGGTTGAAGGTAGGCGGATGAGGTAAGGGGAAGTGGTGAAGGAAAAGACTTGAATTTCGAAATCTGTGCAAGTTTTTGCATCACTTTTCTGCGCGGCCGGAAAAACTAGCACCGCAAGCGGAATCGGACTGGCCATCTGAAGAAGAAAAAAGAAAGGAACAAACAAACACAAGAGCATTGGTGCCACTTGCTCAATTGACTCTCAAAAAGATCCTCTCATTCTCATTGTTCTCATATAGGAAAGTGTGTGATCCCGGGAAAGGACCATCGGTAGGGGCACTTGGGGGAAGCGAGATGACCTGGGAAGGAACCGCCCGGGACTAAAGTACCTCGAGCATCGCACTCAAGACAACGAACAACGACCAGTCAGAAAATTTATCTGGGCCAGATGCCGCCCAACGTTTCCAGCTATGGTACCTAGTAGACCTCTTTGTCTATTTCCTGTGGTACTGTTATGCTCAGTGCCTGTTGGTGATGAAATCAGTCAGACTTGGAGTTGGCTCTAGGCTCTAGTCGAGTCCAATTCCATAGCACTTGAATTGGTTGAAAACCACGGGGAGTGGGTGACATGGAAAAACGACAATGAGAAGATGTCAAAGCCTGCGAATTTGTAATGGAGAAGATGTGTTAGCTCGGAACAGAGGGCTAGAGAACAGAAGTTCTCCTACCTCAGTGTACCTTGAAGGATAGACGACTTGGAAAATCTGATAATTACCTGGCTGGTTTGACAGGTGGTGGGCCATGGGCGGCGTTATGTGACCCTGATACCTACCTTATGACTGCGTTTGTTTTGGTATGGTTTTCGTATCAAGGGACTCATACGACCGGTGTTATAAGAAGGCGGTCAAATTGCGAATTGCACCAAGTTGAACGGTCAGTCGCCTTGGGGGTCTTGAGATGGGTTAAGTTGAGTCGAATCGAGTTGAGTTGAGCAAATTGAATTATTCCAAGCGCTATTCGAAACCCGTACGAGAACAAAGGCAGTCTATTATTGATTAGAGATGCGAAACGGGACATGGACTGACCCCGACCGATCGATTGAGCAGAAAAGGAAGTTAAAACGTCCAAATGGAGTGTTCAAAGGGAATCGCGTCGCACGACATGTCATGCTGTGTAGGTCTTTTCCCACTTTCACTCTTCAGTCCAGCAGTGACCGTTAAGCGCACGTTGTCTCATCTGGACCTTCAGAGCCGCGATGGGACATATGTTGGTAACCTGGAAGCCATCACCTATGATGTGCACATTTTGATCATGGGAAAGCTCAGATTGTTTCGCCATCTTGTGATATAAGTGCCCTTGGGCCACTTGCAAAGTAGAACGTAATCTGCGGAACACTGTCGATCCTGATGGTCTGTGTAATTCCAAGTGTCCCATGACTCGAGCACGACCATCTTCACATCTCCTTTTGGTGCCTTGGTTGCTTGGCTAGCTTGGGCCTAACACTACCTGATCCTAGATGGTTACAATCCCGCCGTCGGCGTCTGACAATCTACCGCTGCAGTATGCCTGGCCTCTGCTGTCATTTTCCGCCCACGCCGTCGTTTCCGACCTGAACGTGATCAGACTCTGAGCATTGTCGATCATCCCAGGGGCATCCATTTAGGGGTTTCTTGGACCTTTCTTGGAATGCTCCGCTTGCAACTTGGGTAGTGCCGATTTCCGCGTTGGGATGTGCTTGGCAGCTCAACGAACGGCCTCTCCGATATGGTTGCTGCATCCAGTCTCTAAATGACGATGTCGACCGATTGACAATGGATTGGAGATAGGTCATGGGTCAATCAATGGCTTTGGGCGAACGAGAGGTGAGATGTGGAACCAGATATCACAAAGCCTTCTGATGATGACGAACCTTCTTGCGCATGGAGGATGACAAAAGAAATAAAGATAGTACATCCAAGTCAAGCCCGCGAATGCAAAGGAGGGGATATCTCAAAATAAAACAACTACTGTCTAAAGCAACTAGAAAAAAAGAACCAAGCAAACCGAAAAAAGAACCACACCCGACACGCCCCATGCAACAACGGTGCCATAAACAACAAGAGCTGGAAACCACAATCTTCCATTTTTTCCCCTTCGCCCAAAGAAGGATGTGTAAGGGCTTGGCGTCTCTTTCCCTCTAGCTCGCATCCAGCTTAAGTGTATCAACCATGGTGTGATATACTTTGTGTGCCCAGCAGTAACATGCCCCCACCCGTTCGGTTCTTCGTCGTGTCCTTCCCAAAATAAGAGCGGGAGATTAGGCAAGAAAAGCAGTTGAATGGTGTGAAACTACAACGCCGTATACTCTTGAAATCGAGGTACCATTATCCGTGTCTAAAGCCAGCTTTCTCTCCAAGATCGGATAGGTCCTGCGTGCCTAAACGTACGGAAATGCATTACTAGAGACCGTTTCCTCATGGGAAGGGAATTTCTTAACTCCAGTCAAAATCCAAAGCTTAAGAAAACACGCATACCAGCGAATGATAGGAGGCCCAACTGAAGGAGGAAACTACTCCCGCAACACACCATGGCTAAACATCTCGGTAAAAGCCAGCGGGTGGGAAACCATTCCTGGCTTGTGCTGGTGAACCGAAATCGTCGCCCGTCCAGGCAGGCAAATTCTCAAGCAACTGAAAAGAGTCGTTCATTTAAGACGACCGAACTGGCTGATATCTAAAAGAGAGTAAAGGAGAGAATAGCGCTGAGGCTGGCAGATTCTCAAGGGTCACACCCACTTTGTGCCCGAATGATCCGCCTTTCTCGTGCCAAGAATTGCCTGCCTAGGAGCTTTCGTTCGTGCGATCGATCTACCAGTGATAAGCCGAAATGTTTCCCTAACGCCGAGTATGCGGATGTGATGAAAGTGTATAATACAGGCAAGTCTTTTTGTTGTCGTCGATTGGTGACTTGATCATGCATTTGTAACCTAATTAAATCGTCAGTCAGATTGATGGCTAGATCAGGAGGCTGAAAAGTAGAACCACGTACGCGAAGGATCCTCCTGGAGTAGTCTTGGTTGTCGGCGATACTGCCATCACTTAATCTCCTCTGCACGAGGACAGGGTCGAGGCGGGCGTCTGCCATGGACATCCCATCGCTGGTGCTGGGCGGCTTACCAACGAAAGCGTTGACGGCAGCGTTGCGTCGATGCTCATCCTCAATCTCCTTGTTCCGCTTGCGACGCATAAAGAGGAAGACACCCCCAACCGCGGACAAGACGACAACGACTGCCACCACGGTGCCTGCCACAATTCCGGCCGTGTTGCTCTTTCCCTTCTTGGGTTCGTCGGGCAAGATTGATTCAGTAGTGGTGACAGTCGGTTCGGATACGGCGCTTGAAATGCTGGACGTCTTGGCCGCAGCAGTTGAGCTTGGTGCTGCGCTGGTGCTAGAAACCTTAGGCTTTGAGTTGGTAACCGCTGGAAAGCCCAAGTTGTAGACGCTCCACGTCTCGGCACCGCCGCCTGAAAATGATTAGCATCTTTCCAAGGTACAGTTCAGCCAGTCTCTGTAACTTACAATACTCCAAGTCATAGCCCGAGCATGGGATATTGCAGTCTTGTGTGTCGGTCAAGGACGACTTTGGCGGATATTGAGTACCACACCAACACTGAGTTCCTTGACTCATTGCGGCAACTTGATAAATCTGCTGGTCATTTTTGTCCTTAACCGCACCACACCATTTTTCACAGTTACCGCTCGACACACCGGTATCCAGCTCTGGGCCATTGCCGAAGTCTATCGTTTGTTGAGTGTTCATGCGTGTGGTGTTCAGCTTCAAGGTGCCTGAGTCATTGAAACAACCAACGAAGGCGGGTGTATGCCAGCCAATATGTGTTTCAATTGGCGGAAATGGCGGATTGCCTCTGACGACGAGCGAGGGCGGGGGTTGATGCGCTGTCGCATTGGCGCAGTTCGCGGCGAAGGCCATTGCTAGTACCGATATCGACTTCATGATGTTATGGTTGAAGGCCTCTGAGGTCTTAATGTGACGACAACAAGTCGTGGGTAACGGCAACGGTCGGGCAATAAGGTTGTCGTCGGGCTTTTGTCCTTGTCGTCGAATGCCAATTGTGCTTGAGGCTGAGTCAAACACAATGAACGCAGGACCCTTCGAGAGTCCTGGCGGTTTGAAGTTGAAAAGGACAAGGAAGTAATTAACCTCCTACGTGTCGAATTGAATATGGATGAAGCGGAATTCAAAGGCCTGATGATAAGGAGTGGTGCTGGCCCCTACTTCTTGTCTCCTGTTGTTCCCTTTGTTTTGCGGATCCCTTGGTATTCCTTGTTGATGGTTGACGAGGTCACGAGTGGTTGGACATTGCCTTTGTTCCAATCGGTGTCGGTCGACGGAAGACTATGACTCGACGACAGTGCTGGAGCGGGCCGAGATGGTTAGTGTGACTTGTGGACGATGGTCAAGAACGGAAGTCGGGGGTCGGGATGCGACCGGGCAAGTGAGCGTGATGGTGTCGTTATCGTCGTCGTGGATAATGATTGTGTTGTGGTCGAACGATGGGAATTGTCGGGCACGCACACACGAGAATAGGGAGCGGAATTGAAAGGAGCGACAGTGTGGGTGTGGAGGAGGGAGCGGAAGTGGTTTTGTTTGAGAGGGAGCGGCCGGCCGAAAGTACGAAACTAAAGGCGCAAAAGTGGGAGTGGGTGTGGGAATGGGACGGAGTGGGTGGGTGTGTGGGAGACAGCGACTGGAGTGAGAGAGAGCGGGAACACACAAAATGGGAGCGGCAAAACTGAGTGGAAGACTGGCTGGCTGGGGACGGAGACGACGGACGGACGAGCAGGAACCAACGAAAGAAAGGCAACAAGAACGGACCTGTGAAAGAGACGGAAGCCACTGTCCACTGAGAGGGGCAGGGGCCCTGGTAGCGCGGCAGGTGCAGACTGCAGTGCAGTGCAGTGCAGTGCAGTGCAAATGCGCACTGCAGTGATGAGACTGACCTAGTGATTGCCGACGGACTGGAGCGGCGGGGGCGGCCACCGTAGGTACCTCTAGGTAGGTTAGGTTCTTTCTCCGAACCTCCTGGCAGACGGAATTTTCCAAATTCAATTGATTTCAAGGAGTGGCCCGCGATTCCTGTTGTTTGATTCAAAAACCAACCGCATCCCCGAAAAAAAGATGAGCGGGTGGAAAGAGTTTGAGAGAGTGGACAAAGACCAAAGACCAGGCAGGCACAGGCGGAATGTCAAAAGGAGCTGAGGACCGTCGAGACCCGGACACCGCGGCGAAAACGGGGGCAATGCGCGAGTTGGGGGAGGACGACGGGGTCGCTGGGAAATTGCGCGATGGAGCCCAATTCCCTGACGCCTGGGGCCTCGGGATGCATCATTCAAAAATCGAAACGAGAGGCACATGCATCCCGGTCATCTCTCACCTCTCATCTGTATCGAGATCCACAAAAAGGGAGGCTGGGCTTGTCACTGACCAATGAAGGAAGTTCTTTGCCAAAAATATGTGCCTTTACAGCTTGATATTGGCCAGAATCTGGTGGAGTAACACTGGAGCACGCACATTTCAGGGGTACCCGTTATTCTGTCGATCGCATGGCGGTAGGCCAGCAGAAGGTGCGAAAAACGAAAAAGAGCGAGGAAGGGACCACGACTTCATGTTCGTTCAAATGGAAGGTTCTGCTATTACGTTTGTACTCGGGTTAGCTAGGACCTCGCTCACTGTTAGTGCTCTCGAGGGTTTGCCGGACTGACCGTATCTTTTTGCAGCACCATTGATACCAACAGTTACAAGCGCTCCTGAGCTTTACCTGTAGCCCGGCCTCGCAACTACTCCATCAAAACCAGGAAACTATCATAGAAAACAGGAGATGAGACACGATCTGCCCAGAGAATAGCAATCTTGCCATCTTACCTCTATTCGGGATGAACGACAAACAATCATGTTCTGCTTTCTGTACCACATCAGAAGACGCAAAGCCTTTTCTGTGCAATCATTTTACCACCGGGATTCTGCCCCTTTTCTAATGTACCTGGGGGGATACCCAGATGAATGACTGAAAGAATGAATGAAAGATGATGGTGACTTGCCAGCTTGCTTACATATGCACAGCATCGATGAAACGGGATCACCGCCAGCTTGAGCCACGCGGGCATCAATGTTGACGGTTTGTTGACCACTCCCAGCGGTCCAACCACACGCATCCGTCGCCATTGGGGACCATCCGACAACGACGATACGTAACCTCTTGACGAAGAAACAGGGGGATGGCAACATGAAACAACAAACACGGGGGGTTTGCCAGACAAAGATTCCACCTTGACGGGCACCACCCTTTCTCAAACGGTCGGGTCCCGTCTTTCCCCAGGGCACCAAGAGACCGTGGCCGAATTGAACGAGGCCTCTCAATTGGGGGTCGTTACTTATCCCACTGTTCAGGTCCTCTCCATTCCCATTCCATGTGTATTTCTTCCATCGCCATCTGTTTCTCCATGGTGTCAGTCTCTTGCCAAGATGGAGGGTCGAGCTTCGAGAGCTTCCTTCCATGTTCGCTTTCTCCAGTTGTCTTGGCGTTCGGATACGAAAGGAGTCTCCACTTCAATGACACTGCATGGACTGGTCCAGCCAGGCTTGCAGCATTCTCAGTTCAGCGGATAGGATGCTCATGATGTGTCGAGAGCAAAAAGCAAAAGCTTGTCCTTTGAAAAGAGGGGGCCAACCACAACCATGAAATCATCAACGCCCATCAGTAAATGCATCTGTCAGCTAATTAGGATACCAAATTCTATTGGAAATACTACTTCAGCTACTTCAGATACGAAGTGTAGAGTGTGAGTAAAAAGGCGCCGCCTGACCGCAGGATATTCGTATCACGGTAGCATTGCGCGACACACCATTGCACCACTCTCAAACAAACTGCTACACTACACTACCTCCCTAGTGTAAGTGTACACTACGCATCGCCAAAAAAAACAAAAAAACAAAAAAAACACCTCTAGCCAGAGTTCATTCATCTTGCACCGTTTTGGTTCTCAAACACAGGACTCCGAGTGTCGTCTCTGTCTGGTGTACATCTGCCTCCTCAACCCCGTCAATAACTGCCGACCCGATTGTTCCGACAGCTTTTCTTCCAGCGCACCTCAACCTGAACATACTTTAGTCAGCAGCGGATACCTGCCTAATCCCGTGGTCATCACTGCTTTTGCAGTTCCCGTTCCCTCTTTCTTGACGGGAAAACTCCGGCGGAGCTCTGGAGGAGGTCGGATCGGGCAACAGGATCGATCACCTTTGTTTATACTTCTCTTTCCAGTCCTGTCCTTGAATCGTTTCTTTCCGGTTTCGTAATACACACACTACACTAGACGGGTAAGGTAGGTAGACAGTGGCATCCGATGCTTTTGGAATTTCTTGCGAAGCACCGTAGGTAGTACTGCTCGCTACTTATTGTTTCGGTGCTGACATGACCACTTGCAACGGGCAATTACAACTGGCAATCGCAACTGGCAACCGCATCACACACGCATGATAGTACTGGCAGCTACCTTCCAACAAACTGGACGATCTCCTCTCTTCCGGCCGTACCTGCGTTCGGCCCTGCGTTTCTACGTAGAGGTACCTATGTGCATAGTACATGCAAGTGTACTTGGTCCGTACATGTGTACATAATACCGCTCGTATAAACCCTACTGCGTACCTACATAAAATAGGTCCCTTTTGGAAAGACGCCCGTCCCCAACCGCAAGAAATGTGTAGTATGTATGTAGGTCCCCCTGATTTCTGCATAAATAACGTAAGAAAAGTCCGTCCCTTTTTCTATACATACAGCCACCACCACCAACAACCACTCTGCAACTCATCGCGATGAACCGTACCATTTCGTTCCATCGATTGATACCTACTTACCTCTAGACAGCGCAATTCGAAATCCATCCATCTCTGGTTGAATCCACCCGTTATGTATCTGGTTTCTTTCTTCTGGCTTTCACTTTCATCCATACATACTCTACGGAGGATACTCAGCAACAAAATGCGTCATGACATTAGTGACCGAGATCGATACTTAGACGTAAAAAGCTATCAGATGTAAACGACGACGGGGAATCATGTAAGATAATAGTCTCGAAATCAAGCAATGACCGACCGGACTGATCCTCAGGAACCAAACTATGCACCTGCCCGCTTCGGCGCGCACGTATGTACGTACCACGCTCAACTGTTCGTTCTCAGCACTGCAGTCAGCACAGCCTCCGCCCGCCGCCCGCCGCCAGCTGTCAACTTAAGCCTGTGCTGCCTGCTTCCACTCGATACCTGTAGGTATTTCTATTTCCTGGGGCTTCCTTCCTTCCTTCCTTGCCTTGCGCCGCCCGCCATCAATGTCACTGCACTTTGATTTGCTTGAGTGACGGCCTGTCAGACCCTGGGTGTACTGTTGGAGTCTGTGCGCCAGACTAACGAATTAATGCGCTTAATGCGGCGGGTGGAGTTGGTTCCTGGCATCCAATCCGTCGGAGTTCCTTACCCGCCCTGCCCGCTTCCTGCTTGCATTGCTACCAACCGACTGAACCGACGGACGTCGTGCAGTGCAGTGCGGACCTGAGAGAGAGTGTGTGACACTGACAAACAGGTGACTGACGGCTGACGGCTGACGGCTGACAGGTGACGAACAGGGGATATACATGACCGGACCCTTGCAACTGGAACTTCGGGAGCGGGATGAACTGCGCGCATTGATATACATACCTAGTACTGTACACTACACCAACAGAATAGGGGAGATTACCTATCTATGCGACGCGACGGACGGGCTTTGTTGATACGTATTAACTATTTATTTATGCATTCAATCAGTACAGGCGATCCGTTCACTGTGCCTGTTCAATCCCCTCTGTCCATGTATGGACGGATGGATTTCATGATACATGCAATCAATGGTACAGCCAAACCACACTACTACATACGTGTAGGTAGTGTAGATATAAACTATTCTAAGATGAGATCTTTAGGAAAGGGAAGGGAAGGGAACTGAAGGGAAGGGATATCCGAGACCTGTTATTGAATCGGGGTCTAGAATGTCTTAGTATTGGGAATCGCAGATGGGAGCAGCTACAGTGCGATGTGAACGGGGAAGTGTGACCGGCTTGGAAGGGAATCATCGGAATAACATTAATGTTTGTTTGTGTAATTTTGGGACGTCAAGACAACGAGGACAATGTCAAGTGAAGCTGATATCTTGACCAAGCCACACAAAGACAATGGACAAAAGACAATCTTGAAAAAAGAGAGTTATAGAGTGTTGCTAAAATACCCCTCAAAATGGACTTTTGCATAATTGCAAGTTTGTCTGGCGGTGCTTATGCGTCAATGCACTAACAACATGCCTACTGAAATGATGAGCATGCACGCTAGCGCACTATCCCTCCATTTCCCGCCGCAGGAACTTCGTGATCCTTTCATGTCTAGCCATCCGTAGCCACAAACACATCCAAGCCTGGAAATCCACCAAGCTTTCCAGTCTCGTTTGTAAGGTTACAGAAATAAGGTAATTACTAAGTCTCAGAAGCTTTTGTAATAACTTGGTCCTGTACTATTTACATTGACGAAGCAGCATCTCGAGATCAGTTTGGAAAAATTCAGTCGAAAAAAACAGACAAGAGCAATAAATCAGCAAACGGAAGACACAACTTCGTTTGTTGGAGCTATCAAGCTAAAGTACTGAAGCTGCATGGATGTTGGACCGATAAGTTCAAGAACGAATTAATGAATAAGCACAAGTTCAACTGGTCACCCTGATGGCCCAGGCCTAAGCCTGCCTATGATGCTCCTCACTTTCCACACACTCCGTCCGATGCGTCTTCCAATCCCTCCTTTGACACTCGGCGCTACAATACTTGACCTTCAAGCACCTCGCACACTTCCTCAACACCTCGGCCGTTTTGCCCGCCGTCTCCCCCCCTTTTGCTTTTCGTTCCTCCACCAGCTCTTCCTCCCCCTTTCCACAGGACCTACACCTCTCCTCCTTTTTCCGAAGTGCCTCCTCCAGCCCGCGCTCGGCAATCTTTTTCGCCAAAACCGGATCAAACACCACCTTTTCCACGACAGGTGAGCAATACGGAGCGGAAATAGCCACGCGCGTGGCGTGCGGCGCGGCGGCGGACTCCCAGAGGGGTAAGGAGAGGTAGTTGGGTGGGAAATGGCCGGTGCCGCAGGTACAGAGGACGGGGTCGCCATTTTTGAGGCTCAAGGGAACCTGGCCGGTGGTGGCGTATTCGCATGACGAGGGAGAATGGGACCAGGTACGGCAGCGCTCCGCAAAAGAAGGGAGGATGGATTTCCAGAGGGCGAGCTCGGCGTCGGTGACGGAGAGGTCGACGCAGTCGAGGGTACGGAGGAGGACGAGGAAGGATTGGAGGTCTTCATCGTCGTCGGTGTTCTTGTTGTTGTTCTTTTTGGCAAGCAGAGAGTGAGTAAGCGGCAGCACGGCTGCGTCGATAACTATCCCGCCACCAGACTGAGCGCTGCAATCGAGTCGGATCGCGGAAACGAGGATGAGGATGTGCCTACCATCCGATGACGATGAACTGGACCCAGACCCGGAAACGGGACAGAGGGCAAAAAGACCGGACTGTCCCACTTGTAGGCCGGCAGCGATATTGATCATGGTGTGGAGAGATTCCTTGAGGTTCAGTCTTGCCGAGTCCCAGCTGGTTTCAGGCAGACCCTTTTCAAAAGCGGCTTGACGCTCGCGGAGTTCGCGGGGCGAGTACATAGAGGAAGCTAAGGGCCCGAGAAACGAGAGTCGAGAGGTGTCGGAGATGGAAAGGATGGGGAGCGAGTCGAGGTTTACCGTGGGGGCGTTGAGTGGGGTGGGGACGAGCTGGCTTGTCTCTGACGATGAGTCGGCGGTTTGAAGGACCGTAGGAAAAATGTACTCGTCTAGCACTTTTGCAGCGAGAGGGTTAAGGATCGCGGGCGCGATCACTTCAATGTACCCTGATTTGCGAGCGATGCGAGTTTTGCTGCCTTCTTTAAGGACGGGAGTCGGGAAGACGAGTGGTTTGACGAGTGTCCCGGCACCCAAGACAATATCGATAGCCCACGGAGAAGACTGTCGAAGACTGATGGGCACAGTCTTATCTGCCAGTAGTTGCTTTTCCTCTTCCGTAATGAAATCCAGATGGCCGGTGATGGTCGTGAGAGTACCCGAAGTGACGTCGAAGCTGGCAGTAAACACCGGGCAGCCATCCGCTTCCGCCTCAGTTGCCGTCGTCGACTCAGGCACCACCTCCTCCAACACCCTTTTCAACAAGGCATCCTGCACGACATTACCGCCGATCTTTTCCATGATAACTCGCCGGAACTCCTCCCTATCCGTCTCAAACTGGCCACCAACCACGCCGATAAAGTCCATAAAGGTCTGCCACAGACCTTTACCCCAGGTTATCTTAATCAACTCTTGCCCCTCATGCACCACCCGCTGACCCTCGATCTGGTAAATCACCGAATCCTTATAAACCCTCCACGCCGCCTCCGCCAGCTCCTTTGCATCGACCTTGACGGCCGGTGACTTCCTCCATTTTCCGCCGTGCTGCTGCCCAGGAGCGAGCCACCTAGAATGTTTCCTAAACAGCCGATTACTGATGTGCAGTCCCTGTTCCTCCAACTTCTTCACCCTAGCAGCCGCAGCCGCAGCCGCAGCCATAGCTTCCTTGTCCTTATCAAGCCCTTGAAGTTGTTCACGATCCTCATCATACAGACTACTCGCGGCCAAAAGACACTCATCCACCGTCGCCTTAACACTTGCATTACTCCAATATTCCACCGGTGCCATACCTAGAATGAACGCGCCGGTCGTGTTGTTGGCGAAACTTGAAGCCTCAGCTTGGGCAGAACTAGAATTATTAGAGTCCATGTTACCATCGCCGTTAAGATTATCAACAACTAGCGAAAGCCCGTTCCCGTCGTTCAGAACCATCGTCGAAGAAGCGCGGTCTTTAAGCAATCGTTTGGCGGCTACCAGCAGCCCAAGAAGGCCAGGCGGGTCGGGAACACCAGCTGCAGAGGGGTCCCAAAGCGAAGAGAGGTCGGTAGTGTCGATTATGTCGAATTGTTTTTTGGTCGTCGCCGCTGCTGGTGGGTGAAGGAGTGACTGGCAAAGAGGGAACCAGCCGTCTACCGCGAACCGAATCGTCAGTCTCTTTTGCTCCGCGGCCGCCAGCTCCCGGAAGGCAAGAGACCATTGAGTGAATTGGTGCTTCGCTACGCGGAGGGCTGTCATGTGTCCATTGGGGTCCTCGTCAATGCCGTCGTTGAAGTCGTTGCCGTCTCTGTCAATGCGCAGCGGGGAGAGCTCGGTGAGGGGAGCCTTGATCAGCGCGAGATGGTACCCCAGCACACCATTGGAGGGGTAAGCGAGACGACGATGGCTGCCCGGGGATTGCGATTCGGACTCGGACTCGGAATCCGGTTCGGATAACAAACCAGCGGCAAACGTAGGGTTGGGAAACAGCATCATTGCGTTGGCTATGTTCTGGTCAAACTCCCACGCCACCTGAACGTAGAACCGGATCTGATCCTTCAAGAGCACAGTCAACGGCGCTGCCGACGAGCCTAAGGCCCACCTCTGGCGCTGCTCGTCGGGCGATGACCGCATCCCCTCGACAAGAGCTGAATGAAGTTCTCCAACCTTCTCTGTATCGAGTGCTGACCTTGCTGCTTCGGCGTATTGTTCCCAAACACCTCTCACCGCGCCCAAGCTCTTTTGGTTGACCAAGTGTATCGTTCCACCGTATGGTCCTTGCTCCCAGTCCTCCATCGTCTTGGCTACCTGACATAACTTTTCCGCTTGGGAAGCTAGTAAGTTGCGTGTTTCGGGATCTGGAAGGAATCGGGTGTAGTAAATGTCCCATATCCTGGCGAGCTTTTCCTTTGCAGCCTTTTCTTTCGCATCCTTTTCCGCCTCCATATCAACACCCCCCTCCCCATTTCCTCCCGCCTCAGCACCATCCAAATCCACCCCCATAATAAGACTCAACACCAACACATTCCTCGCCACCACATACTTATCCTCATGACTAACCGTAACAACGATCTTCCTCCTCCTCCTCTTGCTCTCGCCACTTTCTTGCAATCCATGCTCCCCAACTTCCGCATAAGCAGTATACAAGATATGCCGAACATCTTTCCCTCCAATCACAAGGATATCGGCGTCTAGATCAGGTGGGAGGGGCGAGGCGAGGTTAGTTGCTGGGGTGGTGGATAGGGGGTCGAAGGGAGGTTGTTGTTGTATGAGTTTGGATTTGGATTTGGTGGTAGTATCTGGTGTCGTCATCTCGTCTGATTGCCCTGGGAACCTCCGTCGAAGATTTGAACTGGACTGAATATGAGTTGGCTATGTTGTTGGCGGTGTTGGTTTTTTTTTGATGTTATGAGGTAGTCGCTTGGTTTCGGGGTGCTGGTTTCCAAATCGGAGATGACGGTTAATTAAGTACGAGGTAAAGTCTAATCGATTGGAAACAAAGTTGGGATACAAGTTGATAGTTGTTGTTGAGACGTGTGAGAAAAGGGTGGAAGTTGTTGAGCCCAGCAGCAATGGAATCCGACAGTGCCTGATGGACGCTCCAGTTCTCCTGCAGTGACCCCAGGCCAGGCCCTACCAACCTAACGAAGTGAGGTCGGCGACGATGGTGGGGCTTTCCATGTGCTGTCACAGTAAATGCACAGTGGACGTCAAGGTGAGGCAGGTGCAGTGGCTCGTGCACACATATCGATGTTTACTTAGAGGTAGCTGTCTTGGCTGCAGGTGAGGCAATCGCGACCACGTGCTACCTACCCAACGATAGGAGACTCTCAACGGGCCAAAGTCACGATAGTGACGAGCAGGGGCAATACGAGCTTCATCTAAAACGGAGAAAAATCGACCAAAGATTGAATTATCCCAAACAGCTCTAGCCAAATAAATTTGAACACTACTACGTATGTAGGTAGGCAGGCAGGTAGGTATTGACCGCCCCTTTCCAATCGAGTAAACAAAACAAAACAAAACAAAACAAGTGACGCCGACAGGGTTGTGTCCATACGTCCTATCCTCCTAAACCGCCTTCCCATTATTTCTCTTCCCCTTTTCCGCCTTGTTATTTTCCAGACACCAACGGAAGAGGAACCAAGAAAATTGAATAACCCCAAAATCAGTACCGTACTCGTACACTCCCCTCCCGTTGTCCCCGTTTGATCGGACATGATTATTCCCTGTCCTTTTGAAGCGCGTCGGACAGTCGCCGCCATCCCATTAATAACCTGCGGTGTGCATTAGGCCTCTTCTACCGATCAGAAGAGTAGGTAGGTGGATGTCCAGTCATTAAGGTAACCTTCCCAACGGCACGGACCCTCAAAAGAACCAAAAAGCGCAAACCAAAAACCCAGACCGAAAACAAAAGATGCAAAACAGATAATCAACCCACCGCCACCTCTTCTTGCTCACTCATCTCATGACCCAAAGTACATATTACTCCCACCATGACCACTCCCATCGCCTTCATGAGCATCTCCAAACATATTTACTTCGGCCGCTGCATCGTACCCCTCCATAACCTCGAATTTGGTCGTACCGTCCAAGTTCCCGAGCATCAAGTTCTGATCCATTTGATGCTCATACCCATGTAGAAGCATGTTCGTTGGATCGACGTGGGTGGGACCGACCGCCGCGCCCATCCCCATGCTCGTGGGGGGACCTGGAATGTTGGACATGCCACCATGACTAGGATCCATATCGTAGTACGTTGGTCCCTGACTGCCTTGTTGCTGCTGGGTATGCGTGGGTGGTGACGAGCTACTCGACAACTCCGGCGGCGTATAGTGACTCACAGCACTCTTGGCTGGCGATGCAGCATTCTGGGATCCGGGAAGCCCAAAATCCGACCCTGGTCCGTGATGTTCGGTAATCGATATCGACGGGTGGCTAGCATGACTATAGCTACTCACGGCTGACGGCGAATTGGCGTAGTTTCTCGATGCTGGTGAGTCCACGTTCATGACTTCATTAACCCTCGGATCGAAGCTCGGCATGGGCGCTGAAGACACTGATGATACCGACATGGTAGCTACAGCCGGGTTCATCGTCGATGAACTAGGCATCGCACCATGCCCATGACCCGCATGACCCGATACAATGCTCGGCGGCAGATTTGGAACATTTCCCATTGGCATATCCAACAAGCCCGGAAACTGTTCGTCGTCGATTATATGATCGTAGTCGTTCCCGGGAGAGTTGGGCACCGAGCTATCGGAATAGCCTGAAAAGCTGCTGACGGAGCTGCTGGTCGAATGATGGCTCCTTGACCGATCTCTCGTGCGATCGCTCTTGTCCTTTCTCTCCTCCATATCCGGCCTGTTCTTCCGTGGCCGGCCACGCTTGACCACCTTACGCACGATGCCGTCAAAAGCACCAACGCACATGCCCCGCTGCCGGTGTCGTGTGAGTGCATCATGCCGCGCGAAGCTGTTACCGCATTCGCATGGGTATGGCTTGATGCCCGTGTGGATCTTGGCGTGGCGTTTGAGGTCGTGTTGGCGCACAAAGCACTTTTTACAGGTTGGACATTGGTATTGCCTGTCATTAAGGTGTGTCTGTACGTGGCTCTTGATGTTTTCTTTGCGGCCGAACCGTTTCCGACAGTCTTCGTACGTGCATACCCATTTGCCATCGGCGGGATCGGGGCCTTCAATGTACTGGGCAATGTCGTCGAGAGTCACGCCAGTTTCGGTCTTAGTCTCTTCAATGTTGATGCTAGCAATGCTGGCAGCACTGGCGATGGAGGCAATCGAGTCGGTTCTTCGGTGCGGGGAGCCGCGGCGCGAGGGAGAAACTGAACTCTGGCGACTGGAGGCTTGTGGATCAGCATCGCCATATTCTGATGGAGGTCCAAGGTCTGGCTTGTTGTCGAAAGGGCTCATCCCCCCAAGACCCTGCATCTGCGATCCCATCTGTGGCCCCATCTGCGACCCCATGTCAGGGAAAGTGAAACCATGCTCCAGCTTGATGAAGTCAGAGTGGATCCTCAACAAGTCTTCGTCTTGAGCTGCAGGAAGCGTGTGCGATTGGAAGGTCGTGGGCATGCTGTCGGCTTGGGACGTTGCAGGTGCAGCAGCAGCCATAGCCTCCGCCTGCTGGCGCAGTTCCTGGAAAATGCCCGAGTTGCGATTGCTTCGGTGCCCTCGTATGGGTTTGAGTGTTTCCTCCATCGACTCGTCGTAATCGTCTGCAAACCTGCTGGGCCTTAGTGTCTGTTGCTGTTGCTGTTGCTGCTGTTGCTGCTGCTGTGTTGCTTGTTGTTTCATGAAGCGATCGTGTGGCGTTTCCATGGGTGTTGGGGGATAGAATCCTGCCTCATTTTCAGTATTCCCGCTCAACACGTCAGATCCTGCGAGCTTACCTGCGGCATTGTGCATGGGAGGTGTTTCTGGCCTCTGCCCATTCGCCATAGGCTCGTACTTTGCAAGTTTGTCTATGAGGCTGTTGTTTAATCCAACGCTTACCCGCCTTGACGCTCGGCGCAACTGGGTGTTGGATGCCTCGCCCTCTGATATCCAGCCTCCTTGTCCCGTCCCTGCGGGGCTTTGGTCTGGAAAGCTCATAAAGTTCGGAGTAGAGAGCGCCGCCTCCGAGGCAAAAAAGTCAAAATTTGGGGTTGCGGAGGATGATGAAGCCATGACATTATTGTTGTTGCTGTCATAGCTGACCTGGTTCCTCTTCATCATGGCGTCAAAGTTGGGATCTATGTAGGTATCGTAGGACAGAGACAGTTCGGGTATCGGGCCCTGCGAGGCCAATCCATCCATGAAGTGGTTTCGTTGATGTGGTGTGCCATGGGGCGATAGTAGAAACGAGTCGCCGCTGTCACTCGACAGGTCACTGTAGTCGGTTTGGCTGGAGCTAGGGCGTGCTATAAGGTGCGCCTGGTGTTGCTGTTGTGCTAGGATATCCTGTGGTGCCGCTGGCAGACTCGTGGGTATTCCTGTGTCTGGGCCCGTCGTGCTGACAAGGGTTGAGTAGTCTTGCTGGGACGTGGTTGTGATTGTTGAAGACATGAGAGGGTGACGCCTGGTATCCAGGCTAACGCCTCGTCGATGGCCCATGTGAGGGCGTTGATGCTGTTGTTGTGGGAAAGTCGGCAAGGGAGCGATCTTGACAGCCTCAAAGGCGGATGGAGTCGAATTTTGACGCCGATGTAGCCGCTGTCGTGGGCGGGCGACGCCGGATAGAGGAGGATTGGACATCATTGTTAGATATGGTAGCGATAGACTAGTAGAGTAGAGGGAGTCGTCGTCGTCGTCTTCTTCTTCGTCGTCGTAGCGATCGTATTTGCGCAGAGGACTGGGCCAGACGAGGATGTAGGTATTAGATGGAAGGTGTGGTTCCCGGGTAGACTGTCGATTGAAGCAAAGAGCTGTCAGCTGTTGTTTTCCTTGCAGTCCCCCTGCACTGTTGATGTGCGCGTCAAGGTCCGTGTGAGCCATGTGGGCAGCAGCCCGGAGTAGGTGCAGTGTCAGCCTTACCTCACGCAGCGCAAGCCGGACGACCTAGCGAATCTCGTCGCGCGCTTGGGCTCAGAACAGTAACGAGGTGGGATGATGTCGGGATGATGTCTCGATGCCCCGTGTGCAAGGCGATGCGATGGTGCTGGACGGGATGGCCACGCGAGCGGATGGTGCAATGCCTGGAGATGCAGGCACTCTACGAACGGCCGCCGCTCCCTGGTGTCTGGCGTCTGTCTGGCTGCAGGGCTCCTCCGTCGGTCGTCTACCTACCTAGGCAGCCTGTGTGGTCCTATAGAGCTCAACGGCTCGCGACTGGACGCGTTACGGGCTTTGTGTGGATACTCGGTGTATGTACCTCTCTCTCTCTCTCTCTGGCTGGTGAGGGAGGGAGTGGTACGGTACACGATGAATGGAGAGACAGATACCAATCGTGTAGTGTCGAGGGGGGAAATTTGCTGATGGGTTGCAGTTGGAGGATGCAGCAGCCAGCCAGCCAGCACACACACACATGCGCCGTTGTCTTATCACAACAACACAGCAACACAGCTGAGTGGTAAAACGAAACAGACGAACGGGGATCCAAGCTGAACGGCAAGAGTGGGTTTGATTGGGGCGTTTGCCGGGGATGAGCCAAGGCCCTCACGAGACGTCTTGGTCAGGGCAGTGCCAGTGGTGAGTGTGCTGACCACACATTCGTTCACTTGCCGACGGACGCCCTCCAATCCCCCCTTGTCGATGTCCACTGTTGGCTCGGATTTTTGTTTTCGTGCGCCCCCATCGAGTGTTGTTGCCAGGGACAACTCCCAGCATCAAGCACGGCCAGGCACCTGAGCTCTGGGGCGATTGGCCAATCACAAGATGAGAAGCCCTTGAAAAGTGGCACCACGCTAGAGAGTGGAGCCGCTCGCTCACGGCACCATTGAACCGGACTGGACTGTGTTGGATGGATGGATGGATGGAACTTGGGGATCGCCAGCATGATGAGGATCCGAAGCCTGGAGTAGTGTAGTGTACATAGTCGGAACCACCTGGAGCTTCCATGTTCGCCAACAACAACGTCACCGAGGAGCCATGGCCCATGACTTGAAGCAAAACGAAAAGTCTCGGCGGACGGCGGACAGGACAGTTTCGGAATGGCCCAGAAATGACTGACATTAGGCGCCCGTCTAACCTGTCCTTCCATCCATGTGCCGTGACATTGGGTGGCCCCTGTCTCGTTTCACTACTGGCGTCTTATGTTCCGGCCCATGGGATGTCGACTTGGGTATAGTAGTGTAGGTATCTGCCGTCGAACGTGTTTCGAATGCTTCCACTGTTGCTGTTGACAGTCGCGGGCGTGGGTTCGCATTTTCGCCGGTCGGTTTGTGGGTGGTATACACTGTAAACGCCATCCTTTTGGATCGACGATCATCGATGGACTTTTTCGGGTCTTGCCGGTTCTCGAGTCAGGTGTTGGAGTGAGACGGAGCGGTAATGTCGGGCCATTTCCTACCACATCATCATCACTAAGTAACCATATTCCACCGAATATTGACATCCAAGGATGGAAAAGACATACTGATGGAAGCAATCACAGTCAATTCGGCCGGATTGCCATGCCAAAATGTTGTATCGAGGTTCGCTGGCGGCAAGTCAATTGATGATGGTCTTGGCCAAATGGCGTGAGTTAGGCATTGAACTTGAAGCGGGCCTAGCCGACGGGCACTGTTCGCTGTGACTTCAGTTAGGGTAAGTGGATGCATAATGCGCACAGCTTGCACAACTTCAATTGCACAAATCCCCTTCTTCGTCGACAGTCTCTGTTCTCTCGAGGCAGGAACAACTCGCGTCCAAGAGTCCAACATCATGTCTGCCACTTTCCTCCTCTTGCAGCAATTTACTGAGTGATGACTCAGCATTCTGCCTACAACATATTGGACAGATGGTGACCGGCTGGCTCCAAGTGCCGACAGCCATCTTCTTCCTCAACAATTCCCGTCTTCCCCCTCTCCCTGTTCACCTCAGCATTGATTGTCGACCACTACTACAGTACTCTCCAAAAATCACAGTCTTCGGTTGCCAGTTCAAAATAGACTCTTGTTCTTTTCAGTCTATTGTCTACACGTCGTGGACGGAACCGGAAACACTGTTGTCTTCCTCTTTGTTGCCCCCTTTGTTCACCACCATGTCTTCAATCCCCTTGACGGCAGCCATGATGCAGCACCCTTCGAGCTTCATACACTCTGCTTTGTCTCGTCGAGAAAGAATTTCGGAACAACAGGACCAAGGACAGCCATAGCCCCCTCTCATCACCTGCTGACCCGCAAGCTACGAGCGATATCTTATAGCACTTAACTACTTCACAGTACAGGTCTCCATATGGCCATTCTACCTGCCTCTACGCCCAACAATACTCACACTCAGAATCACTTCCCCAAAAGATCGAGTGACAACTCCAAGCGTCAACATGTCGAACGAGTCGTCTGAAGGGACTGATGCGGATCCTTGGGCGGTACCCAAATTTACCGAGGGCACCAACGTCTCCCGCGACATCCCCAGAGTGAAACCCCCAATCATCAAATCCGTGGAAAGAACGAGTGCAGTACACCGTGCCTATCGCAATGACATCACCAAGTTCTTCTTCAAGTGGCGCCGCCGTGGAAACGATTCTCCCAGCGAGTGGGATGGGGCAACCATGGCCCGCCGAGTCAAGGCGCGCATCAACAAAATCCCCATCAAATCTTCCTGGAAAGGCCCCGGGAATTACAGCGGTCTCATCCGGCGTAGTAAGAAAAAGATAGCGGATTGGGGGAGTGGTGGACCACGAGATAAGGAGCCCTGGGCAATGGCCAGAAGTAAATGGCTGGCAAACCAGTTTCGGCGCATCAAAATGCGCCACATAAAGACGCTGGGCTGGGGCGGCCTCGGTGTTGTCAACCTCTTTGAGCAAGAACGCCCAGATGGCCAGGTCATCAAAGTCGTGTGCAAGATAGACATCGACAGCGGCAAGGGCTACCTTAGGTACGAGATCGAAGCCCACAAGGGGACTGCCGGAGCTAAGCATATCTCACAACGCATCCCCCCCGGTTATTTTGCGCGACCCAACGGTCAGCCTATCCAACCGGCCCCCGGTACTGTGCCTTCGTCCACCAGAAGATCGTTCGGCTCGGACTTGATGATGATGATGATGAGCAGCGGCGACGAGGCCAAGATGGGGAAGGGTAAAAGACCCGATCAATCGCTCGATGCTCCTGCCCTTTGGGACACAAATGAGGTCTTGTTCCTCGAGTTTATGAGCCGCGGGGATCTCCGCAAAATAGTCGCAAAAATTGCCGCTGGTCTTAGCACGCACGGCAACCCTCCACCACTTACTCTTTGGCATATTTTCGGCAATCGTAAGTAGCTTCAGCCCTCTACATCTTAGTTACGATGACTAACGTGAAATCACAACCACCAGTCTTCAAGGGCGTTGTAGGGCTGGCGTACCCGAGAGTATTCATGCCAGAGGAGTACAAAACCCCATATATGAGCGACGAGATTGTGCCCCAAGCATCCGAAAGCTGCATGCCCTTGCCCAAGCTGACACCATACTGCTCGTATAAAACCCTTGTCCACTTCGACCTCGATATGAGCAACGTCCTGGTCGGGGACTATGATGGTTTCGAACACAACGCCACTCCGATAGCCAAGATTGCCGACCTCGGCCTGTGTCACCCCTTTTTCGGCAACCAAGACTCATCTGGGTTTCGTTGGTCGTGCCGCAGGCGAGGCAAGAGAAGCATCTTCGCGCCCGAACAGTTCACCGAGGAATGGGACTACGTCAAGGACGGCCCGCTCGAATCCGGCGCCAAGACGGCGGGCAATTACAACTGGTGGACAAATCTCTACCAGGTCGGCATCATCATGTACTCGCTCATCACGCTCTGCGAGTTCGAGGTGCCGCCTACGCCGAATATGGCAGAGGTGAGATACCCAGACGGCTCAGAGAAGGAGGTGTGGGGATACGGTATGGACCTACTCGTTTGTGGTTACAGTCACATCGATTTTGACTTGGTGAACGCTGTTGCTGCGTGTCTCTGTCATGATCCGGCGGACAGGCCAGATCTGCACGACCTGGAGACGTTGATAAGGACCAAGGTAACGTCGCAGCCGCCTGATGGTCCGGCGACGAAGCAAGCGAGGGATTGGGGCAGGCGGTACTTTGAGGGGGCGCCACCGCCGTGGTATCAGCCGGCGACGACGGGGAGGGAGAGACTCAAGCTTTGGCAGAAGCCTGCCCCTGGAGGTGGTGGTGGGGGTCCGCCTATACCGCCTGCAGTCAGACAGCCTGGCGTTCAAGCTGGACTGGCGCAACAGCGTACGACTTCACTCGCGACTCCTACGAGACAAAAGCCTGCTGCAGCCGGAAGAGGGCAACAGCGTGCGGCTTCGGTCGCAGTTGTTCCGGGACAGCAGCCAGGATTTCAACAACAGCCAGGGTTTCAAGCTGGAAGGGGGCAGCAGCGTGCGGCTTCGGGTGCAGTTCCTCCGGGACAACAGTCTCGGTTCCCAGCCGGGAGAGGCCAGCAACCTTCGGTGCAAGCTGGATGGGGACAGCCTCCTATGGCTCAGGCTGGGAGGGGACAACAGCCTCTAACTCAAGCAGGAAGAGGGCAACTGCCCCAGTTCCCAGCTGGAAGAGGACATAAGCGTGCGGCTTCGGCGGCAAGGGGTGCGGGACTACAGCCCGGATTTCAAGCTGGAAGAGGTCAGCAGCCTGGCTTTCAAGCCGGAAGAGGTCATCAGCGTGCGGCTTCGGGTGCAGTTCCTCCGGGACAACACAATCGGTTCGCAGCCGGAAGAGGCCAACAACCTTCGGCGCAAGCTGGGTGGGGACAGCCGCCTCAAGATCAAGTTTCCGCTACAGCTGACAGGTGGCGACAGGCTGGGTTTCCAACCGGAGGGCATCCTCCGGCTACGGGTCGAACTTCCCGAACCCATTTTCAAGGACCCTCTGGATTCTCGACTAGAAAGGGAGGTTAGGCTACCGGTGCGGTGGCTAACTCGCTGGTTTGAAGCTGCGGTCACAGGGTGCGTCGAGAGCTGGTGGTCGGAGAAAGCAGTGTGAGTTTGGGTTGCTGTTTTTAAAGGTCTTGGTGTTCTGCATTGTGTGTGGCTCAATCTTCACTTGCATTGACAAGTATCGTTCTGTAATGTTCCAAGTGCAAGTGCAGTCTCCTCACGCTGGTGGACTGTGGAGAGTAGGCCATTCGACATGCTAGGATGGGAGAATGGGTTCAGGCATGTTATGGAGTTTATCTGGTTACAGAATGTCAATGCTGTATCGTTCAATTTCTTTCTCGTTGTGCTTATAATTTCCTTTCCATCGTGTATGTTTCTCTGGATGAGCAATGAACGTGGAGTGTTAGTTGCGTCGTTCATTGCTGTTGAAGGCGGACGTAAGATGGCGAACTGTCCGAATCTGCAACTGAGCTGTACCAATGATCCCAGGTTGTATTGCGACGCTCTCAAATCAGAACTCCATCTCCTCGTCTCAGTCATAATGCTTTTTTTTTCGAGGTTCATGGCGTGCATACAACTGGACAAAAATCTCAGATGTTGTGTTGCCAGACGGCTGCATGCATCGCGAATCACCTGTGGTTGTCATCTTCGATTTCGGCATCATGGCACAGTCAGCACTCATTCATTCCCGTCTTTCCTTCTCCGCTAACCGCTTCTCCCCCAGAGAAACGGATGAACTTCAGTGGGCTGATTTTGAGTTCACCACAAACTGCTTGACTGTGTTATTCTGGCGTGAGAGGGAATCGATCGGACCACAGCCAGGCTCTGCGGACATGTAGTCGGGGGATGTCCGGCGTTACATGTGCCTCTCCCGTGCAAGTCCATTCATTTCAGCCGTTACCCCCGACCCCAACCCCGCCATCTAAAGTCCGAAAAGGGGGGACCGGGCAAGACATTGAACTCGCTCAGTTGACTAAAAACATCCCTTTGATCGTTATCCCTTGGTACCGCTCATCTGTCGCCGAACTCCCGACCACAGCGAACTGGGCTGGCGCAAGCAATGCCGGCGTATGCAGGGAGAACCAGAAGCAAGGAAGATGGAGCGACTGCAGCCAGATGTCAGTCAATCTGGGAATAAATAGGATGGCGAAGCCGGTTTCATCATTTTTTTGACGACGCCCCCTCTTCATCTCTCTTTAGTTCTTCCTATCTTGTTTCTGATTTCTGCATCCTACGCTATAGGAACACTGATTATTCCAATCCCATCACAATAAGCAACTCCAACCACCACCACCCAAAATGCCCATTTCTGTCCCCACCGCCTCCCTGGAAGGCAAAGTCGCCCTCGTCACCGGTGCAGGCCGCGGTATCGGCCGTGGTGTCGCCCTCGAGCTCGCCCGCCGCGGTGCCTCCGTAATCGTCAACTACGTATCCTCCGCCGGCCCCGCCAACGAAGTCGTCAAGCAGATCGAATCCCTCAACAACGGAGCCCGCGCCATCGCCATCCAAGCCGACGTCCGCCGCGTGTCCGAGATCGACCGGCTCTTCGCCGAAGCCAAGCGGGCTTTCGGCCGCATCGACATCGTCATGTCCAACTCGGGCACCGAGTCCTGGGACAAGACCGAGGACGTCACCGAGGAGAAGTACGATTACGTCTTTGACCTCAACGCCAAGGCGCAGTTCTTTGTCGGGCAGGCGGCCTACAAGCGCTTGGAGCGCAACGGACGGGTGATTCTCATGACGAGCATCGCGGCGGGGTTGATGGGGGTCAGGAACCATGCGCTGTATAATGCGTCCAAGATGGCGGTGCAGGGGTTTGTGAAGGCGTTTGCGACGGATTTTGGAGACAAAGGGATCACGGTCAATGGGGTGGCGCCCGGGGGCATCAAGAGTGATATGTTTGCGGAGAATGCGTGGCATTATATTCCTGGTGGGACGCCCGAGTTGGGTAAGGATAAGATTGAAAAGATGATGGCGGAGCATTGTCCGCTGGGAAGATGTGCGGTGCCGGAGGATGTCGCGAGGGTGGTGGCGTTTTTGGCTAGTGAGGATGGGGGGTGGGTTAATGGTGAGTTTTCTGGCTTCCGGTGTGAAGGGTGCTTGAATGATGATGATGATGATGCTAACGTGGTTGATACAGGTCAAATTATTACCATCTCTGGTGGTTCTTCTCAGTAGAGATATTCTGGATGCTGCCTGGGATGGGAAAATAGAGACAGAGAGGGTGGAACAAGTGGGTGATCTGTTGGTTGTTTGATGGCATACCACACTACATTTGGAAAGTCGAGAAAAAATCGCTGGGTTGCGATGATGACTGGTCAGGAGTAACGTGAATCTTGCAACACAATTGTGAATTTATCAGTCTCAAGTTCATCAAGGTACCCTCTGCCTTGCTGATCATCTGCCTCCTTCCTCACTTGGGCTACATGCCGTGGTATTTCTCTCCTCTGTCAACATCTCTTTGTACTTGTTGCTCCTTCCCCAGAAGTCGGACACTAGATCATAACCCCCCCGTTTATTCCACGCCCTTTTCCTCATCAATCCTCCTCACACCACAATCCCGCACCCCTTGTTCTCCATCGAAACCCGTTACCCAAATCACCCAACTCCTCCCTCAAATCATCTCATCAATCGCCACAATCCCCTCCTCCCACCTTTCATCCACATCTGCCCTCTCCATCTCATCCCCCAACTCCCTCACCATCTCTTCCCTCTCCTCTCTCAATCTATTCAGTTCCACTTCCACACTCCTGATACGCTCTTCAATACTAGCCGCGACTGCATTCTTATCCAGTGAAGCGAAATGCATACGAAGCTCGGAGCCAGACATATCCTGAGCGCCTTTCTCATGACTACCTCTACCGAGGATGTGGTGCAGGGAGGTAGTCCTGCCGCTGCTGCCGAGCTTTGTCAAGAAGGTAGTTCCATGTCGGGCAATCAATCTTCTCGCCCTGGGTTGGCTTAGCTCGCGCCAGTTTGCGGTGTTGTCGTTGAGGGGGGTGGTGATGGGGTGGTGAGTGTGAGTGGTGGAAGGTGACTTGACCGCGAAAATATCACGGCGGTGATGGTGAACAGAAACGGAATGAAGGGAGGTGTTGGGAGTGGTCATGACATCGCTTGAGTCATCTTGTCTGCCAGTCTTGTCGGCCATGTTGGGGATGATGTCTTTGGAAGTGTTCATCATCGCTTGATGATGTCCATGACTTGAGATGCAAGACGTGTGCTGTCTTTGAGAAGTTGGATTTGTGTTCTTGTGAAAGGAAATTCGGTTTGGGTTTGACTTGACTTATTTGGTGATGACCGAGAGAAGGTGGTGGTGAAAGAAGAGAGAAGTTGGGAAGGGAGAGAAATAGAGAGACGGGAGAAAGTTGAACGGCAACTCTTTTATTCTCAACCTCCCTGTCGACCCCTTGAAACATTCAACTGATGTTCAAACGTGCTCTGTCGAAACGGATGCACTCCGGCTATTCACTCCAGAGCTCAGTTCTCAATTAAGTTCGAAATGTGGAAGGATGGACGGTATCAAAACGGACACTGCCAGATCGTGAACTAATGAGGAATACTGTGATTAGAGGTGGGGAGGAGTCCTGTCGTTTCTATCGTGATTCTTGAGGTACGCTATATACTACTGTATCCCTCATCCTCATCCTCTTCCCATGCATCCCAAAGCTGATCCTCCCGGATACGCCTGCACCTAGCCAGCCCCCTGCCACGTAAACGAATATCGCGCCAGCTGACAGTCTGCTCATCATGGAGAGTAGACGAACGCAAGCTACGATGCTGGGCGACGTGTGCTGGATTCTCGGGCATAAGCCTGACGGTTCTGTTGACTCTACGTCTAGTGATAAAATGGCCGGCCGGTTCGCTGCTGACGTTAACCTGGGAGGCGTGGTTACGTGTGTTGTCTTGAGATGCAGAAGAACCGCTGGGCGCGGAAATGACAGAAGGGTTGGCATCCATCTTATGGCCAGTGACATTGGCCGTGTCGGCGTCGATGTTGGTGTTGGCGGTATCTCGTTTGGTGGTAATACTTGAAGCAGGGCCTTCGGTCTCGACAGCGGGTGTGACTTGCTTGAAAAGAGTAGGAGTAATAGGAAGAAGGGTAGAGGTACGCTGGATGGATGGGCGGGCGCCGCCAGTATCGGTACGTTGGCCGTTACGCATATTAATGGGTGCAGTGCTAACGATCCTTGGGCGCCTTTGGGTGATACCCGACGCCGGATAGATGGTGCGGTTGGTACCTCTAGTGGTAGAGACGAGACCTTTGGAGTTGTCCGTCATCTTGTCTTTTGAGGTGTCAACGAGGAGGGTTTGCTGCTGCTCAGAGAGCGATATTCTGTAGGATCAATAGTTGTTGACAGAAGGTCCAAAACGAGTGACGAAGAGGAGATTGATGGTTGAGCAGAAGAGCTGCGGAAAGGGTGTGCATGACGACATTTTATTCTCCTTCGTCAATCGACTGTCGCCTCATATTTGTATGTCGCAATCTGGCGATTTCGAGCAATCACCATCCAACAGAACACACCCAGGTCTGGCACGGTGCTATGGTAGGTCCATCACTGTCTATTGTCGGTCTTTGAAAAGGGAGATTGACACGTGAAAGAAGGGAACTCAGCAGGCGCTCTATGGTTCCTTTGACGGATAACCTCATGCTGTACGTCCAGCGGCGCTGCGGCAGGACGTGGATCATATTAACCCAAAGTCTGAAACTTCCCACAATTTCCAGTAGCCAACGTGGTGGGTGTCTTCTTTATATGCGTTTTTGCTTCACTACAAGGAAGACACTGACTCAGTAAATTGTGGTCTCGAAACTTCCATAGCGCGGGAGCCATCCGTATCTGTCAAAGCATGGAAGTCACTTTCTTTGCGATCAAACAGTTTTATCGTGACTACTCCATTGGCCTGATATGGCCGCTTCACTCGCCGACGACGACACTTTCCTTGACATACATACAAGCCGCATCGCTCATGCTTTTTTTGTTTTCCTTTTTTCCTTTTTTTTTTTTTTTTTTTTTCTCTCTCTCCATAACTTGACCCATTTCTGAACGTTTATTTCACCAACACCAAACCCATGATGAAGGAGGTATACTACCACCCTCCACTCTCTCATCTCAACAGTCCTCCACGCGCTACCTCACATCCCAATTCCCATCCCCATCACTCCATCATCTCATCCTCCGCCTCCTCCCCCTCCCCCTCCCCCTCAACACTCTCCTCAACACCATCCATCTCATCAAAACCCTCAGTTCCCTCTCTCAATGACACCATCGGATTCGGCTCCAACCATCTCTCTTCCACCACATCCCCATCCTCATTGATCCAAGTTTTCTTCGCCCTCTCCCGACCCCTCAGGAACCAACTTGAATCCTCACCGCAACCGCCGCCCATTCCCGAACCTCCCGACCGCATCTGCATCCGCATCTGCCTCTCACGAGCAACTCTAGCAGCTTTCTCTGCAGCCGCTCTTGCCTTGGTAAACGTAAGACAATTCTCGATATAGACGCTCGTCATCCTTTGCTTCTCTTTTTCCTTTTCCTCAGCTGCTTTCCTCTCCGCTGTTGTCGTGTAGATGGTGGTGCCGGGGACTTTTTTTTATCGTTGCTTTGTAGATTGTGGTGCCCATTTCGGGCGTCATGGTGCCTGGCTGCACAAGACGAATGGGGTGAGCGTGGTGATGGCGCTCGCGGGAGGATGAGGTGGTGGTGGAGCGGAATTTGGTGATGCGGTTGTTGCTGGATGGGTGGTTGTGGCTGAGGGACATGGAGGGGAAGCGGGCAAGGTATAGGCTGACTTCAAGAAATCCGACGGGGTCGTCGCAGTTGAGGAGGTGGGCGCAGAAGTCTTGGTCCTGGAAGAGGTTGGTGGCGGCGGTGTTGGTAGTGATGTTGGTGGTGTCAGTGGTGGTTGTGGTGGTGGTGTTGCTGCTGCTGCTGCTTGCATTGGGGTTCGAGAAGCTCAGGCCTGCGGAAGTTGTGGTGTAGACGTAATCGCCTGTTGAATTGCCTGCGAAGTTGAAGGCGGCAGGGAGTGAAGGTTGGGGTTGCTGTTGGCTGGGGACACGTTGAGTGTGCGAAGGTGTGGTAGTCGTGACGGGAGTGTCGACTCGGGCCTTCGGGTTAAGGGTCATGTCCTCCATCTCTTGGGTAATTTCGTGGGTTGACTCCATGATGCGAATATTCCTGTCCTTGCTGGTTCGAAAATTCTGAAGTTATTGGAAAGCGATGCGTTAGTTCGTTGGAGAAAATGGCTGAGGAGTGGGACTGGGGGAGGAAGTACAAACTGGCTTGCTCTGGAAGTTGTTTTTGAAGAGGAAGAAATTACCCTTGAAGTGGGATTCACAGGCGTTCTCGTTTCTCTTCACCTGTCCTTGTCGATGGAATAGAAACCTTGACGAAAATCGGTGAATGGGGCCTCAAACCTGCTGAGGTAACGCAATTCTCACAGCCTTTGTCAACCTGATGCTTAACCCTCACCCGATTTGATACAGGCTTGCAGTCCATGTTCGTTTGGTTTCTGCTGCCTGTTTCCAGGCTGAAGTCTAGAGGTGAAGTCATTATCCAGGTGGCCAGCCATTGATTGCTTGTCTTCTTTCTAAAGCGGAAGATACCTACGTTTCAAACATCATTGTGGTGTTTTCACTAGGTCCCCAGCTGTTGCTTTTCTCACTGGCAACTAGGATCAATTTACAAAGCCTTCATAGGACGTTTGAACCAACGTTTGGTATCTGGAAGATACCATATCGTCCACCGTCAATCCGCCATAACCGTATCCTCTTCCATTTCCACGTCCTCTTCCATCTTCACATCCTCCTCCTCCCCTTCTTCCTCCTTAATCACCTCCAACTGCCCCAAGCTAGCCTTCTCCCTCTTCAACTTCAACCCCAGCCTTTTCCTCATACCCTCACTGAAAGCACCTCTTCTATGGGCCCTCATGGCCCTCCTTGTGCCGTCATGACGTCTCTCCTTCTCCTTCAACCAACGCTTGACCCCTTTAGATACATCGCGTCGGAGAGATTCGACAACGCCCAAGCTCAATCTATCACGACATTTGGTGATGGTGGTGGTATGCGGACGGTCAGAATCGCGAGGCTTAACGCCCTTGGCAAGACTTTCGGCGAGGTTACGGGAAATGTTGCTAAAGGGTTTGCGCAAAGGGATGATCTTGGGACTCTCCGTTGCAGTTGCGATGAGTTCTGGCTTGGTTTGTTTGTCGTTGCTGAGGCTGAATTGTTTGCCGCTTTGTGTTTGGAAACCTGCCTGGGAAGCAGGATCAAAGGGGCCGGGTCTTTGATTTGGGCCGGGTGGATGGGAGGTGTTAAGTTCTTGACCTGGTGTTGGGGCGCAAGGGTCGATGTTGAGCTTGGCTAGCTTACGGACAACTTCCTTTGTCGAGTCCATTGCGTTTGTTCTTGATGTTTATGGACACCTACAGGGAGTTTAATGGTTGTGCGGTTGAGCAGTCCAACTTGGCGTCGTTGCGTTCTGGAATCTCCTGAGGACCCAAGTTGGACGAAGTTACCCACGGGATTTTGAAGAGGGAGAAGAGAAAAGCCTCTGTGGGAGGGGGGATTATCTCAGCCGCTTTGCGTGCCTGTGGCTGATGGTGCCTTGGGGGCCTTCACTGATGTTTCGTCCCATAATACACAAGAGGATCTCTACAGACACTTCACTCGATACAACGATGAACGTACACATTAATACGATTCCTTGTATCTCCAAGACGGTTACCGTATCGCGATCTTAGTTCGAACTAACAGATATTTCAAGGATTGCCTCGCATCGTCTCTCGAGCTTGAACGAAATTTGAATCATCTTCCCTTTGATGACATGTCCTCCCTGCTTCCTTCTGGTACACCACCTTCTAGTGATTCATCATAGGGGCCTGCCTGTTCCTTGTTACTTGAGTGCCATCCACTGTATGCTGTCCCTGACTATGTCTGCGTTCTGTATCCCGCTTTCCCTCCTCTGATGGACAAATCTGGCAATCCGCTTCACTCCTCCATGACATCCTCCATATTATCCTCACCACCACCCTCCACCGACACCTCCTCCCTTACCAAGCTACTTCCTCCTCGCATCTCCGCCAGCAAATGCTCCATTCTGTCTTCAGAAGAAGCAGACAAGGGCTTCGGCTCTCCGGCGGTCAGAGAAAGAGAAGACATAGAAGAACCCAAGGTCATTTCTCGGTGGAGGGTGTTTATTGACTCAAATTCGGCCCTGAGTGCTCGAAGTTTGGCAGCCAGATCTCTGTGCTCCTGTCTCATTTGTTCGAACCTCGTTCTGTTGCGATTGTTGATAGGGTGAGTAAGCGCATGGTCTGGGTCCCCCACGCGCATGTTCCCCGCGTGCATCAAAGACTGCCCCTGGTGACGGGCCCGCATGTGGTGAGCAGCGGTAGCGGTAGAGGTATGCTTCTGGCAAGGACGATTGCGGGCGGCTTGGGAACGAGGCTGATGACGGTGTGGCTTGTAGTGGCCAGGAAACGGTTGAGGGTGTTGGCAAGTTTGGGGAAAATGTTCAGCCGCCTGGGTTCGAACAGATGGGTGAATATATGTGGTGCTGATCTCTGGTACCGCGGGGCTGCTGAATGTGCCAGGGATGACCGTCATGGTGGTCAGAGTCGAAGGTCGCGGGGGTGAGCTCTGGGTATGCATTATGGACGACTCAGGGTCACTCAGAGCAGAGCGAACATCGACATCAACACCAGGTCTGGGATGCATGATGATCGCAGACGGCTGGCTGGGGTTGACACTGAGGGTTGCCATGCCGTGAATGACCTGGTTGGCGCCTTCAGACTCGCTGCTGTCGGTTGGCTTCATGTTGGCTCGACGGTATTGTAGGATTGTTGCGGGACCGAGGCTTGGGTTGTTGAGTCTTGATGTAGCTTGCGAATCAGGACTGCAAAAAATTGGTTTAAGAGAAGGGAGGAAGTGAAACCTGAAAGAAGGAAGTTCAGAGTTATAATTGTCAGCCATGTGAGTGAATGGCAAACAACTCGTGGGTGGAGTCACATGATCGAAAGCCGACGCAATACGTTCGGCATTCAGGTTCTTGGAATGCAAGGTCGAAGTACATATGTGTACTGTATGTAAGTACCGGTGCCTGTATCTTGGTAAATGGTGTTTTCGTCACGTGTGGTTCGTGCTTAGGATCCTTTTGGTTCGGTTGCCTGGGTGGGCTGGGTTCCCAGCTGCGATCACTCCGGAAAAAAAAGAAGAAAAAAAGGAAAAAACCCAATTTGTTTAAAAAAAAATAAAAGAAAAGAAAAACGCGGTGCTGCCGGAAGTTTGAAGCTGCAAATATTTCCATGGGATGCAGTGTTCAAAGTCGGTCATTACCACCCACAGCGAAGAGTACTTGTGCTGTGCAGTGCCTTTCCGCTTTGCCCATCTGCCTAATTCCATACTTAATAGGCAAGTATATCCCAAGCTCCGGGCCTCCTGTGTACACGCAGATATTTGTACAGATCTCCGATAACCCCAACCCACATCTTCCTTATTGGGTGATTATGCTAGTTCTGTTGAAGGCGTGCTCGATGACCTCGGTGACCATCATTTGGCCCAAAGAAGAAGCCTGGATGGTGCCGGCCAGTGTTGAAAGTCATGCCCTAAACCTGATGGGCAACTTGGTTGGTCACTCCACCAACGGGCGTTGGACTACGCTAGTGGAGAGAAAGAAAATGTCGCGCTATGTTAGGGCATAAGGTTTGGGGAAACTGCGCCTCAGGCTCTTTCATCTGACGCAGATGGATGCCAAGAGACATTATTAGGAATTTGCACGCATTTTGGCTATTGAGTGTATTTACTCTGGCAGATTTCATCTGAATGTAGATGGGTACCAAGTACGTCAGCACAGGCTTGATCCGGTGAAAGGTACAATTTACAGCTTTTGCCGGCGTTATGTCGGTTTGGGCAAACCCGTCAGGGTTTTCGAAAAAAACGCCCACTTGTTGACTTTGTCCAACGTACCTAGTCTACCTGCCCCTTCTTTCTACTTGCGCATCGTCAGCGAGCCTTACGCTCACGAAAAAGTCAGTTTGGAATCACATTGTGTTCCTTTGCATGGGAATTTCTTCCAGCCCTATTGCAGACAACCACTTTGACCTTGCTACGCCTTCTGTCCAGGCATCGTGTCGCACGCAGCCCCCATATGTAATGAGCTCCAGCCAATGGAACCTGGAGAATGCCGGGTGGGTGATCTTGGGCTCCTTGTATGCGTGAAGCATATATGATAGCGAGGTTTGCAACATTTTGAATAACCCTCTTGCAGCGTGTATAAGTTCATAGGTGTCGGGGATCTTGGCCGAGACGAGTATCTTCTTGTGTGTGATCGTGTAGCTCTTGTCGTATGCCTCTTGCGTGGGTGTGGAAAAGTTCTTCTTTCGATGGTCCACTTGCGCATTGTTGGCGAGCTTTATACTTGTGAAAAGTCGGTTTGGAATCACATTGTGGTTATATAGAATTGTGTTCCACCTCCATAAGCCATTGCAGTTAATGTCTACGTCTTATGTGAAGATATCTAGGTATGTACATTAACGATGCATGCCATATCCCCAATGCCATCATCTTGCAGACAAAGCACTGGGCTTAATATTGCCAGCAAAAAGATTGCACAGTGCTCTCCTCACACACCCCCCAATCACAAGTTACTGCGTCATCATCTCAGGGATGGATTGAAAACCTATGGTGGGAGGAAACAGAACTTTAGGCGTACATATCCTACGTTGCCAATCCGTCTTCATAGCCCGGGAGACTGCCCATCGCTTTTTCCATCTCAGCTTGTCGCATCAACATTCCCACACAGAGCAACATGCCGGGAATATTTCGACATTGCTTCCAAGAGCTCGAGGGTCCATATATAGCGGAGGAATCTGATCAGAGCGTGGGATCAATACAGCTCTACATATAACAACAGTGTCTTTTGACATGTCGCGTCAGAAACGCGAGTGTCTGGTCTGTGTTGCAGCCGAAATGGCCGACAAGAATTAAGCTTCTCACAATGTCTAACGCGCATCGAGCTAGACATCAGACGGAAGGCCAGGTGGAGCAGAGTGAAGGACACGGTTTATTGTGTGTTGTGTGGGAACAATAAGAAGCTGCAGCCAAGATCCACGGGTAGTCTGCTCAAGGTTCTGGTATTGCATCTTATTCAAATATCGAGTAAAATTCTCACATTCTGATCACAACCTGACAATAAGACGATCAGCCCATTCACCCGACGAGGTCCAACCCCTCCTTTTCCCTTTCGTGAATTTTTTTTTTTTTTTTTTTTTTCACCTTCGCTAATTCAAGTTCTGACTTTTCTTTCTTTCTTTCTTCCATCTTCACTAACCACATCACCACTCAATCTCACCCACCACCTCTCACCAAACTTCTGGTATCAACACACAAACACCAAACACCAAACACCAAAGACAGCACAATGGACTCAACCATTGAAGTTACCCAACGCCTTGAGAGGCTCAGCATTGCCACCAATCTTCCCTCTCTCACTCTCAACGAAGCCTCAGCTTCTGCTAGTCCTTCTCGCCGCAACATGAACCAGCCTTTTGTCTCTTCCGAGACTTCCACTCAAGCTCCAACACCTCACCAATCCCAAGTGCAGACCTCAACCGCCAGCACCACCACTCAAGACTCTGACAACGACGTCACCATGAGTGACGACCTCATCACCGCCACCAGAAACCTGTCACTCCAAAGCCGCCCACTGCAAGATCGCCGGGCCTTGGATGCACACGGCCGCGGGCACGCCGAGTGGTCTCGCCTGTGCAACCAACGTTCTGCTCGCCACGGCACCGTCTCAATCGCCATGATGAACATCCGCGCACGCGAGCGCCAGGCCGCCCAAGCTCTCCCTCGGTCTCGCCCTCGTCCTCGTCCTCGCACCTCCTCCCGCGAGGCCCGCGAAGAAGCAGGAAGCTTCTTCAGACATTGTGCCCAGATCCAAAACCGCCGCCAGGGCCAGACTGCCACAGCCCACCAATACCACCACCACCACCACCACCACCGGCCTCGGACTTCTCCGGTCACTACAACCACTGGTGGCAGTGAGGCTGCGGGCCTGACGAGAGAAGAGCACCATCGGAATTTGTTCCGGGCGCAGCTGAGATGTCGCCTGCAGATCAGGATGGTTTCTGCCATTGCTGCTAGGGCTGGACATTGAGAACACGTTGGCGGGAGGGATGTTGGTAGGGGACTGGAGTGTGATGGCAGGCTGATGACGGAGCTGCAGGCGGCGATGTCTCGACGAGTTGGGGGCGGTTGGGGGGCGGTAGGAAGGGAGGCGCGACACATGGATGGATTGGGAGTGAATGGATGGTGACATAGGTAGCATTGGGAAACCGGGAGGTCTGGATGGAGTTACTGGTTTGGGTTCGCATTTGGCATTGTGGAGCGAGCGAAATCATGGAGGTTACCTTGCTGAGCGAATTGGGGTTTTTCACTTTGAGATGGCACATGTGGCGATTGCGGATTAGCATTGGCATTATAGTGGGCATGGCAAGGGCGTTGTGGATTCAAAGCGGGGGTTTTGTTCTTCTGGACCATCAAGTCGTTCTTTCCTTTCCACGGAACTTTGATATTCGGGCCTGTGTACAGGTCGTTTGACTTTGCTTCATCATGAGATAGAGGTACCTTAGATACCCATGAGGCAGCCGCCATGCATTTCCAGACCTCCCGCTTGGGAATTGAAAGCACCGAATTTTGGGAGTGAAGTTTCGATCTAGCGGATGTCATGACATCATTCGCCGACGGCGGATGAAGTAACAATGTCATTCAACTGCTACCACATATAGCCCTTTCAGATATTGTTTGGCTGCGAACGATTTGTCTCTCCTTGTGATGGCGGTGGTTGCGAACCCTGCTCATACGTCTTGTCGGTAGAGCACCTTGTGTTTAGGATGTGTGTGCTTGGTACCAAACAAGGCACTGCTGTGAAGTGGAAGGCATATGATGTCAGACACTCTCCTCTGATTGCCAGCCCTTTTGTTTCTCAAACTATAATCTGCTCTGAAGAGTAAGTATTTCTTTCAATTCAAACGGTAGACGACTTCGTGATTTGTAATGTCCAAACATGTTAACAGAAACTGCCAGTGTCCTCACTGCTGCATCCTCTGTTTCCTTGGCCTACCCCTGTAGAAAGAAGTGGGTCCATGGGTTTCTGTTAGTGCGCACTTACTGTAGCCCCTGCGTTAGGGCTCCGCGCTATCACTTACACATCTTCAACTTTCCCAATTTGCTCCAATTCAGCCCCACTTTTCTCACTTTCGACGCGGGTCCATTTCGACTCATGCACCCGAGGGGACGGAGTTGGGACGAACAGACGAACTCTCCAACTCTTACAACTCCGAGGCTTCGGCTAATTCTGCTCTCTTTCAGAGCATGCGCAATGATTCTTTCTGTAGAAGAAGTCTTAGATTTGACGCTGCGTTGACCTTACAAATAAAATGAGATGACCTTTGGATGGGCCGTGTCGGCGGTCCTCACGGCAGGAGGATGATCGTTCTCCCTAGTATGCAAATGGTAACAATCGCGCGAAGAGGGGAATTGACAATTCAAACGTTTGTGAAAAGAAAGGCTGGGCAACGGGATTGTGTAAAACTGAACGAATGACGCAAAAAGGTTGTGTCCGCGGCAAAAATGCTGCCGGTCAGTGGCAGGCAAGAGGGCAGACAGTCCTACAGGTACCTACCGCGTTCCTCACCAGCTGTGTACCAGCTGTATGTATACCAGCTGTACCAGCTGTTCTGGCTATCTGCCCGTTCTGAGGTACCGACAGCCCGGCACCTACCGGCAAGCCTGCTGCAGAAGGAGGGCCCTGTCCCAGTGCGCAGCACCTGCCAGGCGCTTACCAGGCGCTGAACCTTCCACTCGGGCCTTATAAGGTCCCCCTTCAGCACCCCTCAGTAACCCCAAAACCCTCGGTCCTTGTAAACGTTCCCTCGTGGTCTAGCGGTATGAGGTGTGGCGGGGCCAGAATAACATTGCTCGTTGCGTGGTAACGGTGGTACAGTTTTCGTAGGCGTGTCAAGAGTGGACGGGTTCGGCCCTGCTCTGGCCGCTGAGCTTTTTGCCTTTTTTCGTCTTTTTTGGTGTTTGAAGTTGCTTCTTGTCAATCAGTCTTTCGAAGTGGCTTTTTTCTTTCTTTTTTTTTTTTTTTTTCTTTTCTTTTTCTGGCGAGTTGTTCCCTTGTTTGCAAATGTCTTTTTCGATTGTCTCCGATCTTGCGATGCTTTCAGTGTCGTTTTCACCTCTATGACAATGGTAAACATCACGGCCTTCGCATTCAACGCTTGTGCTTGGTCTGGCAAACCATAAGGTTACCTACCGACCGTGCCGTCGCCGGCAAATGCACCTCTCAGATGAACCCATCTACTTCCCATCATCACCTACCATCTTCTCTCGCCATCTCCACCCTCCTCCTGTCCAACGCCTTATCAACCTACCACCTCCCGTCTGACTATCTTCTCAAACCTCCACTCGTGATAGGCCTCCTCCTCAATCAACAGCTGTCCAGCCTTCTTTGCCTGCATCTGGTTTTGAGAGTTTCCCCTGGGTAACTTCTTCATCTCCCGCTGAAAACGTCCGCTAATGTGCTCAATCACATTCGCGTACATTTGCCTCTCGCGTTGCATGAACTCAAGGTTAGGAAGAAGGGATTTGTAGAGACTGGCTCTGAGTCACAACCTCAGCCGGAGTCAGTCTGGTCAGAAGCGGTGTCTTGGCCGATGCTGCGGCTGTCACCTCGATTTAGCCACGATATGGGTGCAGTGACGGGCGATGGCGTCTGCTATCGGGGTCGGTATTCGCATGGATTCCGGTGGTCGCAGGGCCGTATCATGATCGGTACTCGAGCGGATTACGGGTTCTACCGCATTTGAGTCCAAATAAACCTTGGAATAACTGCTGCGGCTGCACATGCACACGGGGGAGCAGGTCGAAACACGAGAACTGGGTTCTGGCGGTCTGTACCGGCAGCTGCGGTGACGATGTCAACTTTCCGGAGACGATGTGAGGAGGGATGATGTGGTCACCTTGCCTTTGAGAAGGTTTTCGATCTCCGAGACCATAGATAGTGGGGTCGTCTTCTTTGCCCCTGGGGTTCAAGTTCCCGTCATCTCCGCTGATTGCTAAGGTACCAGCCGAGGCTTGCGCTCACAGAGGGAAAGAGCAAGGAAGACCTGCATTGGTGGATCCGTACCTATCTGGTGACGAGTCAGAGGAGTTCAATTGGCAAGTTCTGGATACTTGAGAAAAAAAGACCAGCGTACCTTACTTACCGCAAGAGGAACCTGTGGTTTTCGCAGCTGACGGGAAATGTGCCATAGCTCGTCACTCCGAGCTGTTGGGATATGGAGAGGAGTTGTGCACTGCAGCATTTACTGTGCTGGCCAATAGTCGACGATGACAAGGAACACGATATCTTGTTTTGAGATGATGGTTGATACTGTTTTGCCAAGCCAAGCAAAAGGCAGCTTCTTCAGTGATCTCGTGTTACCGCGGTTCCATTTCTCTTTCGAGGGGGTGAGTAGATAAATTGGTCGTCGACAAAAACAGGGGTGTTTTAAAGTTTCTCTTCATCCCGTGACTTTGGTTCTCACTGCTTCCATCTGCGTCTTGGGGCATCAAGTCTGAAATGTCGGGTTCGCGATGTGTTCACAGACCCCGATATGTACTGCCTTACCGTAACGCACTCTTCTGCAATGAACTGGGATAGCTGCGTTAGATACCTCCAGATGTTGATGCAAATAGCATTTTTTTTTTAATTTTGCAATGCCAGACTGACCAAGGAGGTGGGTTGGAGAAGATTTGGCCGGTGTCCTGCCGTGGATAAAAGACTGCATTTCCCTGGAATTCTGGACTTCTTTTTCTTGACTACAACACTTTTCATTCCTTGGAATCCAAGACAGATCACTTCTTTGCAAGGAAATCCCGAACGTCTATACATAGCATCACCATCACCATCCAATAACCTGGTTGTTTGTGCAGCAAAGACCACTCAAATCCAAGTTCTAAAGTCTCTTCTTCTCCCCAAACTTCCTCTCTTCACACTTCGAGTCATCGGGGTCCGAGCTTCTGTTGCTTGAGTCTGTCACTGGTTGGAACATCTTTATCCCGTAGCTATACACTACCTATCTGGTCTACTAGTGAGTGCCTGGTTGAGTCTCCGAGTTGATTATCAACTGTTTACCCCATCACAGGTACATACATTCCCTCATTCCAACATTCCACCAAAATGTTGCATTTGACACTGACATCCTTTCCCCTGTGCAACTCCAGAACTCCAAATCCTCCTCCACCTGAATCTCTTGACCACCAAAAAAACAAAGACAAATCCCACAACCAAGTGCTCAAGATGAATACTCACGATATCATGATGGCGATGCTTCAAGCTTTCAATGTCTCGGAGGATGATGAGCAACGCCTGCCCGGCTCGGAAGCTCAAGCACCGGCTCAAGCCAGCAGCAGCTCCTCAAGACGCGAATATTTCATGAATGCAATGAGGGAGGAAGTCTCCGACGACATGTTTTTCCCGACGCCTCATACCACTCTCCACGGAAGCCCCATGTCTGAGCCGAATCTGGATCCGAATCCGACCCCGACCCCCCCGAGCCCCGGCCCCAGCCCCACACGTCGGCCCATGGGGCGTGTCCGCTCCATGCCCCCCAACCTTGATGTCGCTGACTCCTACATGTATGGGAGATTCTCTTCCGTGGGCACTACAGCCACAGGCGGGGAGGAAGCCGCCACCAAGCCACCCCTTCCCATAAGATTGCAGGCGCCCACACAAGCCTCTGCTCCAAACAGGGTAACCAAGGCCTCCTCCCATTCTCACCACAAGTCATCTGGAAGCAGAGAACCCGCCATGCGCGAGCTGGAGACGTCCCTGGAACAGACGGCGTATGCACGGCGTATGGCAAAGCTTGCCAGGAGGTCGAAAGCTACAGCGCGGGTACAGGAGAGGAGAATGGCCAGCGAGAACAGGAGGAATGTCACCAGACTCTGGATATTGGAACAGCAACTAATGGCACAGGTTCGCGCAATGGATGCATCGTGGAGATTAAAGTACCCGGGATATGGGATGAACAAATCTTCTGCGGCCGCGGGGGCCGGGGGCGGCGTGCCGCCCCCTTTGGGTTTGGCGATGGAAGAGGACGGATCTTCTGGCTACGGCCAGGTCCAGGAGGAGGACCCGGGTCACACGAGCTCACTTGATGCACACGTCAGCGATAGTGACCAAATGGAGATGGAGGTTGAACAGGAGGAGGACTTGGACTCACTTCAGGGAAACGTCTCTGGTGATGAGGAGATGGATGACGGACTGTCACATCCGGACAGATTGGAGTCACGTCGAGCAGGTCTCTTCTACCTTGGGCAGATCATGGACATGATGGACCCGCTACCAGACACGGCGTCAATTGATGGAAACGCCGGCAGTGATGATGACCAGATGGAGGAGTAGGCACCCGTCACCTCGAACACAACAACTTCTGCCTCCGATATGGAGGTGGCATCGGCATCACTGGCACTTGGGTCATGGTGGACATGGCCACCTGAATTAACCCCTCAATGAAGGCCGGATGGAAGCCCGAATCAAATGAAGGACGGACTTGCTGATGGTTGATGAGGGGCTTCTCGTTAGGGAAGATAGTGGAAGGAGCAATGGTTGTTGGCGGGGTATTTTAGGTGCTTTTGGGTTTCTGTCATACTTTCCTTCCTTTGTTCTCCTTACCAGCCACCCTCTGACCTCCACGAACCCTGGCATTGGCAGTGAACCTGGGCTGCAGTGGCACCCGACTTGACGAGTGCAACCCACAAAAGGCACTCGTCAATCACATCCATTGACGAAGACTTTTTTCTTCCCCTGTGCGATCATCATCATCATCAGATAAACGAATCATCAGATCAGGGCGGACGCACGCAACTTCCAGCCGGTGGTCACCCATTCTTTTCCTTCTCCAACCAAGCTGTCAACCAAGCATTTTCCCACGCATTGTTCTTCCATCGTGATTTGATAGATAAGACCGGACTTTGGATAGTTCCAGAGTGCTCTACTGGCGACCAACATACCTTTTTCCTTAGCATCCTTCATCCCCCATCCATAGTACCTTCTCCGAAGTAATATAAATCAGTAGTTTCATCGAGCCTTTTGGCCCCGCTATGCCTCAGTGCACTCCAATTAGTAACAACTAGAAGACATCGCCCACCACACTGACTTACATGCGTTTCAAAGTACAAGTTTTGGCTTGACCTGTAAGAATATTCTCTCTGTCTGGCGCCCGATCAGGAAATTGACGGTGGTAACAGGAATATCACCAATTTCTCTGGTGTTTGAGGTGGTCTTGTCAAGCCATGTCCTCTTCTACCAATTAGGCTGCCAATCAAGTATTTTTCTACACATTGCTCTCCCAACGTTCCAATTCACGTCGTGACTGTTACCTCTAGAAATCCAGACGCTATCATCCAGACTTACTCCCTTTTGAGCCCAAGCTAGGAAGTTTCTGTAGGCCCATATACCGTACTTGATCCAGAGTATCTACAGGCTACAGTGCCCCTGAGGTGAGTTAGTTGCCTCCCATTTGCACGATGACCCGTGCTGCTTAGAGGTACTCAAGCGGACTACCTCCACCCAGCTTTCTGGTTCTTGCTCGACTCCTTGCCGTTTGCTGAGATCTTGTACTTCCTCCCATGACTTTGTAATTTACGAAGCATTTCTCTGAATCCAACATCTTCAGTCGAGCGTGGCCAACATTTCTCAACCAGCCTTCACGATGGATACTCGCACAACATAGACCCACATACAGTTCTGGCCGTACACCCCCTTACCTCCGCCTATCATGGGGTTAAAAGCAACATCTTGCGCAGTCAGTTCGACATGACGCCGCTCACCTTCAACACTCTGACCCCCCTCGACCGCGGCCATCACCTCTACGGACGCCCAGGCCAATGCCAACTCCAACGCCAACATCCATCAAGACGGCAGCGGCAACAGAGCCCCTCTCCCTCCTCTGTTGTTAGGCGCTCTTGCATTTGCGTCCAGAGACTTGGTCTTCTTTGTTGTATACCATCAAGAAGCGTTGCTGAGAAACTGAAGAGCATGCTCGAGACTCGAGTGCAGAGAAAGGCGGAGTTTGAGGAGATGCTGCGGCAAGCGTAGAATCATCGCCGCTTGCGGTGACTCTGCAGCAAAGGCCCAGGTAGATCATCTCGAGGTGACGATTGATGCTATGCAGGCTTTGAGGTATGGGCTATGGGCAGATCAAGGGCGAGATTGAGGTAGCTACCAAGGGGCGAGTGTCCGCCTCATTACCTAGTAATGTCGATAGGTCAGCATGAGAAGCAACAGGAAGAAGGCGCTGCGGATAAGAGTGGGGAGTAGGAGCTTATGTGAAAGTCGTCTGGTCTTTTGTACTGTCGAATAACTGACCTTCTGAGCGGGTGCGAACGTCTCATAATGTACAAGGATTGGGGACCCGTTGACTGCTCTTGGAAACGGCGTCATTCGTGCCCGCCGTCTTTAGTGTTCGAACTATTCACTTAAAGCAGGAGCTGCCTCTGACTTGGACGTTAAAGATCAAACTGTTGGTCTTCAACTTGTGCCATCCACGCCTAGACTATTCCATACCCACCAACAAATCTGCGCGCACCCTTACTTCTCAAAGGCAAGGCATTTTTCTTCATCATTCAACTTGTAATCATCGAAAGCATCCAATATGGCAAATCGGGGAGTCAAGAGAAACTTTGACACGGTGGACCCCAGCAGCGACACCACCATCAGCAACGACACCACCAGGAACATGCGCGAGGCCAATCCAAGCCCAACAACAGCATCCGCCTCGGAGCCTCACTTCCATCCAACGACGAGTAATCCCACAACCGGCGCCAATATGTCACGGGCTGCCGGACCATCAAACCAAGCTACGTCCAACGTCAACCCTACTCCCGACGCCAACATAGGTGATCCACCCAACGCCAACGCAACCTCACCTCGCGCCGCGTACCACCGCCGCCAAGCCGCAGCCACTGTACAACGCATCGTCCTTGAGGAATCAGTAGCGCTCACGGAACAAATTGCCGAAACTTTGACAGAGCACGAGCTCAGGCATATTCTGCGCACGTGCATAATCAGGGAGGCTTCTGGGATCCCGCAGAGGGCTATGATCAAGTACCTTATCAGAAAGCTTGCGCTGATGAGGATGGTCGATCACCCAGACTTTCCCGAGTTTTTTGAGAGGTTCCAGCGAGGGGAAATGGACGTTGAAAGTGGGGCGGAGGCTGATGATGAGAGGGAAGAGGGTGATGAGTATATGGGAGAGGCTGAAGAGGTGTGGGATACGGATGAGGGAGAGGCTGGAGAGGATATGGCAGAGGCTGGAGAGGAGATGGATGCGGAGGAGGGAGAGGCTGGGGAGGAGATGGACACGGAAAGTTAGAGCCAGGTTAAGGCACTATGAGTAGTGGGATCATTTGGTTAGGGAGATGGTTTGGGAGGATCATGAGTTTGGTGGGACGATTTTTGGATGGAGAAGAAAAGTGAAGAGGTCGTTCAGGAACTAGAACGGCGGGCTCTCTCCTGGGAGAGACCTGGGGATGAGCAGCGTTGGAGGAAAGGGTGATGGATGTACAGCGGAGCGGCTCCTGCAAGTTACGTGGAATGAGGAAGCTGGAACTTGGGTAAAAGGGAAGGAGCAATGCAGTGAGAAGTGAGGGGTTGAGCAATGGAAGCTGAGTTACGAGCAGCGTTTTTTGTTTCTGTGTTTCTGGTACACTTCAAACCATGGCACTCTCTTCACTTGCAGATCTTTTTCACTGTAGTAACCTTCTCCAAGAACGAAATATCGTCAACAAACTCTCCGTTTGCGAACCTCTTCTTGAGCCACTTGGACTCTAGGCAAGCAGCATCAACCCATATTTCGGAGTTCGGACACTCGGAGCAACATTAAGCAAATCCTTCCATTTGATCATCAACGGCGTGTTCGTTTCGGCAGCATGACAGTAACAGAAGCCTTTTGTATGGTGGCCCGGCAGAAAAAGTTTGGGGTCGGGGTCAGAAGCGCTTCCTTTACTGCACCAGGTACTGCCGGCACGAGGCTACGAACACGGTCTCAGCAATCTGCGTCTCTTGCACTTACGGCTAGTTCGGAAGTCCCTTCGAGTTATCGCAGAGCAGGGCATATGTTGGCGGCCCGTAAGCCATCAGGTGCCAGCAGATGTGTCTGTCCAGTTAGTGAGCATTCGAGGACATTGCCCACCACGGTAACTTGCATGCATTTTAATTTACAGAATCGGGCTTGTCCTGTCTAAGTATATTTCCTGCCCGGCGCTCAAGGAAGAGATTGATGAATGTCAATTTAGTTCTCGAGTTCCTACGGTATCTATTTTTGGTTTGAAAAGCATGCAGTATGTCAAGGCGCCGAGAAGCCCAGGAAGAAGTCCACTGCACACTCGCTGGAGCGGGATGTAGTGAACTTTCCAGGTCCTTGTCCTCGCCAATTCGTGGAGACCAGGCATATATGCATGTACGAGGAAAGTTTCTACCAAGGCTTGCCTGCAATAAAGCTGCCGGCTGCGGAGTCAACATAAATGTTTGCGGACTACCGGCACCGTTTAATATGCTGCAGCTACTGGTCACCTGCCGATGCTTTTGATTTTTTTTTTTCCCAAGCGATGCTTCATGGAGGCTTTCCTCCCATCAAACAATGCTTGACTCCTTGGACGAGCCAGGTCGACGTTGACATGTGTCATTCAAGGAGAGGATTCGTGATTTGAGTCAGTCAGGCGGTGATGGAAGCTGTCAGCGCCGGCATGGGCCTACAATAAATGGAAGTGCTGCTGATGTGACGGACATCAACCGATGGCTTGTTGAAGTAGGCAAAGTGAAGAAGAGGAAAAAAAGAAAGAGAGACAGATAGGGCAGGAGAGCAGAGAGAAGGAACATAGGTTTCTCTCATGTTTGTTCCGTTAAAGCGTTCTGGCGCTGAAAAAGTAGAGTTCGTGAAGTTAGAATTAGATGCACGATGGAGTCAATCTCCCCAGTGCGGGGAGTACCTCTACTCACAAAAAAAAAAAGCGAAGGCCAGAATAATTTACAGCGTGGCCAAGGAAAAGGTTTACCTAGAACGGAAGACAACTAGAAGAGATCCACAGAATATTGGTTTCGTAACCAGAAAAAGCCAAATGCAAGTCCACTTGCAGCCAAGGTGGGCTTTTCGGAGGTCATAGGTAGAACAGTTGGTGGGCGAAACATGCCTTTGCAACACACATGTCATATCGGTATGGCAGGCGGCCCACGAGCGGTGGAAAGCAGCGGACAGTGGTACTTTGCTGATAGCCCCGAGTACTGGCGGGCGTTATGGTTCGGACCCGAATGTACGAGCCTCGATGTCTTTGGATTTCGTGTGTCATAGTATGAAGAGAGGCGGGGGGCTGGGTTCATTACATGCGGATTATAGTCATCAATACTGTGGACGGATCAATATTATGCGTATCAACAGTGTCTAGTCGTGGAAAAGTTGGAACAGGAGAAGTGGGCGTCAAGGGTAGAACCAACCAACTAGGCATATAGCCTTGGCAGGTCAGAAATAATAATCAACAGTACATAAACTCACAGCCTCGTTTATCTTCCTCCATTTTCCACGCACGAAGATGCATAGATGTGTTGTCATTTTAATAACCTCAGGCCAGTCTTTTGTCCTCAGGCACTGGTATGAGAGTCACAGGGATTTCTGACTCTGGAGAGTATAAGAGCAGGTCCACCCCAGGTCCAGTTGTTCTTCTTCTTCCTCTCGCCTCCTCATCCTGCTTAGGTAACCATCAGTATCACCACTGTCAACCTACACCAACCTCACGTTCGAACATTCATCCAGGAACTTTGTCATCAAGACCAAGACAAAACATCCCCAACTCTTCATCACAAATCTAGTCCAAGCATCATTTGCACCCCTGAATCATCTCCCACTAACTGTCACGACAACATCATCACCCAGTCCAAAACACCATTTCTATATATCATCAACTCGGTAAGTTCAGACGCCCACGAGTGCCCCGTGCTCTGGCTTCGAATGACTTCCTGCTTTCATGAACGCTCTTGGTCCCGCGTTGCATTTGACCGCTTGGTCTGTGACTTTTGAAGTTCTGCTTGCTTATGAATCCTCCCCTTGTGTTTTGCTGTGTTTACTTGGCTTTTGTGTGGCGATTTGCCCCAACCTCGCATAAGTGGTATGCAGCAACGAGAAGATTGTCTCATTCGGCAGGTTCTCTGGTTCTTCGTCTGTTGCAAGCCCGGCTTTAGGGATCTCTTCACATTCTTCCTGGTGGTTGAGACCTCAAGGCAATCTACTTGCTTTGCAGCTATTCCCGCCGCTCAGTGCGTTCTGAATGCCGATTCCGAGCAGCAAGATGGTCGGGTGACACACTGGACACTGGGGCAAAGGGAAACCTTGACCACTCAATGCTCCTTCCCAGTGAGGGCCATTGAGAAGATTAGGGCCAGACCCGCCTGCCATTTTGCTACTGTACTCCTATCACAGCCTGAAGTTTCAGAAGGCATGACGAGCCCCGCAACAAGAACCTTCACGACAGCTCCGCAGTCGGGTCGGGTCTTGACATCTCGTTTTGGCCGTCCACTGTATTGCGTTCTCTACCTTGCCTATTGTGGCTCATCAGACCCAATCCATCCCGTCGTCATCATCACTGCCAGCGTATCAAGGGCGGATCTAGGGGCTTCATGTGTAATACCCGCAATTCGCCCGGACGCCTCCCCTTGTTGTTCTTATAGCAAGCAGCAGTCCCTATTCCCACTTCTTCCTAAGCCAGTCATGTTTCTTGTGCCTTCAAAGAAAGCAGCGCTACCGACAAATCTAGCACTGCAAGACCGTGTGAGGTTACTTTTGGTTTCGGCCATTGTTGATGGAGCATTTGAGCCAAAACCTTACCTACGGCGTCGGATGACTTGTATCGGCTCACTGTACCTCAAGACCTGGCCTACCAATCCGACTCAAATCAGCCATGAACAGTGGGTAAGCAAGGGATGTAAAGCTAATAATCAGTGGCCTACAGAACCAGACTACCATCCGACACAATGGCGCCTCTCCACAACAACCACTCATCGCGGACTCTGCAGCTCCCCAAGTCTCCTATCATCAAAAAGGAGGAGCTGGAGAAGGATCAGGCAGCAGAGATGATCACCAAGATCCCCGCAGCACCAAAGAAAAACGGAGCTGCTAAGACTAGAGGTACCTCCACTACCAGCACAGGGAGCAAGAAGCGCAAGGCTCCCCCCACCACCAGCACACAGCAAGAGGAGGAGCAGCAGCCTCAGCCTCAGCCAAAGAGGCAGAAGAAGCAGAAGAAGCAGCCTCAGCCAAAGAAGCAGAAGAAGCAGAAGAAGGAGACAAAGCTGGAATCCAGGTCCCCCCTCCTCACGCCCTCATCAGCTTCAGCTCCTGAAAACTTCTCGAGGCGGTCATCATCATCATCCCCGGAGGTGGAGGTGGTGCCTCGTCCTGAGCCTGTCAAGTCCAAAGATCAGGAGCCAAGCGTTGGCCGTAGTGTTGTCCCGGTCAAGGGTAGCGGCGACGACACCTCCCGTGAACTCAAGTACCCTGCTGCCCTCTTGAAGTACCGGAAGACGCTCCAGCTGAGAAGTTCCCCGAAGCGCGAGGCGACACTTCAAAAGTGGCTGCCGTTGGCAAACCGGCTGATGGCTGCCCATGTCGAGAAGCTCGCAAAGTTAAGAGCTGAACTCGAGGCTGCTGCTGCCGCGCCAATGGAAAGCTGCGAGAGCAGGGAGAAGGAAGAAGTAGAGGTAGCTGCTGCTGGTGCCGGAAGAGCCTCCTGTTGCCCTCACCACGAGGTAGAAGCGAGCGAGGACGATAGTGACGACGACGACGACGACAGCGACAGCGATGACGAAGATTGGTGGCCTGGAAAAGATTTGGGATGGTCGAGAGATGAGGGGATGGAACATCGGGATGGACAACCTGTATATGGGGATGGATACTAGTTATTTCGGAAAGGACACTGGAGATATTGGGACGGACATGGACGGGGATATTCTTTTGGACACAGCGAATTTTGAGCCTAATTTGCGGATCTGAAGCTGAGCATTGTTTTCCCACTAGATTTCGTTTTTTCTCCAATACATCATGACACCAACATTACAGCCCATGACTTGAGTAACTCGGCCATTTACAACGCCCTTGCACGTCGCACACACCGTGACCACTCAGCACTATATCTACTGTACGCTACTCAACGCTACACCCATCCTTTTGACAACCCGGAAAATGGATTGCGGGAGACTGACATCTAAACCACGTAAGAGGACAGCTAAAACACAGTCATTTACATAACAACTGCCATGGAAATCTTAGGGTGTTTGTAGGTAGGGTTTGGGCAGGGTGTGCGGAGGGCTACTCCTTTGAGAAGAGTTCACTCAGAAGCTCTGCATCACAACAGTCAGTTCGTTCCTTTAACAGACAGATAGATTGATGCATGAGATCCGCGTAGCGAGCAAATGAAGAAATGTCTTGATTCATCGTCTGTCTGACTCTAAGTCTGTCTATCAACTGACTGCCGTCAAGCTTATATACTTGAGGCGAGCGAAGGTTGAGGCTTCCCCCAATAGGGCGCCGCTTCCTTCTGCAGCTAAGGTGCTTACGGGGAAACCCCGTATTAATACCCCCTTTTTAGAAAAAATAACGATATCCTCGTTGTATGCTACTCTATATGTATGTGTTAATTATGCGTGTCAGGGTCTTCGTCAACGTCTACTAACAGCGCGCCACTTTGCCTCCTTTTGGTCCTTCGGCTCCTCAATCCACATAAATACCTCACCCGTCGCGTAAGTGAACAAGTACAGGCCCGTCCTCAGCCTCTGGAACACTCCTCCGTCAACGGTAATTCGTCTCTCCCTGGCCATAAATTTCGTTACGACCTTATTTTTAACGAAATCGTTGGGGTTTATTTCTCTCTTCTGCCTCTTGATTTCTCGTTCCCTCAACACTTCGGCCATGCTCCTCGTTCCTTTCCATCATCTCAATGTGTCTTGCCATCAATTCGTCGCGCTCCTTGTTCTCGGCCAGCAAGTCCTCGTAGAGCAAATGAAGAAATGTCTTGATTCATCGTCTGTCTGACTCTAAGTCTGTCTATCAACTGACTGCCGTCAAGCTTATATACTTGAGGCGAGCGAAGGTTGAGGCTTCCCCCAATGGGGCGTCGCTTCCTTCTGCAGCTAAGGTGCTTACGGGGAAACCCCGTGTCATAGATGATCAACTTGATTTACCAACAATGACCACCCAAACTACCGTGATACGAAAAGATGCAACATGCTCGTCGTAATGCTATCATAACAAGATCGTGACAGTAACAGTAACTGGGTAGTAGTCCAACCTTCCCTCTTTTCCTTCAATCCCCGTTTCACCCCTTCCAGTCCATCCATTATGCACCGAAACGCCCACTCAAGCAGCCAAATCCTCTCTTGGCCTAAACTCAACCATAACCCCATCCTTGGTACTCGTAAACGTATCCACCAGCTGCATCTCCCCCACGCGATGTCTTCCATACTCCGACCCTTTCTTCCCTCCCTCCGCCGGATCATCCACCCCCACCGCCCTGCGCAAGTCATACAAAAACAACACCCTCGCTAACGTGATACTCATCTCGATGTAGGCCAGTCCCTTACCGATACAACCGCGCGGCCCGATGGAGAAGGGGCAGAAGGCTGATTGGGCAAGCTGGATCTGTTCCTCCGTCTGCATGGCAGCGCCGGAAGCCTTTTCAGATGGAGATTGGGTAGACAGCCAGCGCTCAGGGGTGTAGGACCAGGGATCAGGGTAGTAAGCAGCGTTGTGATGGATGGTATAGTGAGGAACGCCAATGATGGTGCCTTGGGGAACGTGTTCGCCATCAATGGTTATCCCGCCAGGCAGGACTTCGCGAGGCAGGAGACCGCCGACTGAGGGTGACAAACGCATTGCTTCATCGATGCAAGCGCGGAGATAAGTGCATGACTGGAGGCTGGGGCCCTGGTGGATGTCTTCAACTGAAGCGAAGCGGGAGCGGATTTCGGCTGTGACGCGGGCGAGGGCAGTAGGGTTGCGGACCAAGTAGAATAGCGTCGCGGCCATTGCGGTGGAAGTGGTGTCGGACCCAGCAATGATTAGCAAGTTTGACTCCCCCCAGAGCTCAGGGGTGGTGAATCCCTGGCCTGTTTCCGGGTCGCGGGCTTTAAGGAGGTAGTAGAAGAAATCGCGGCGATCGGTCTCGTCACCCAGCGCCGTGCGTTCGGCAAGCTGCTGGCGGCTGTAGGCCATGTACTGCGCTCTACCCGAAGCAATTTTGCGCAGGAAGATACGGTCGAGCGAGAGCTTGTCGAGCATGGGCATGGTGCCGCAGATGAGGTGGCGGTGGGCGGCGACGGAGACGAGGTCGACGGCGTAGCGGTTGTCGGGGCGCTCGAGCATGTGGAAGGCTTTGCCGAAGCAGAGGTCCCCCAAAATGTCCATGGCTAGCCAGCTACACCAGTCGGACATGTTTTTCGGGGAAGACCATCCCTTCTTATCGGCTAGCGGAGCGAAGCTGGGGCGGCCAAGGTCGCCGATGGCGTCGCAAAAGGTGCGGATGTTGGACAGGATGTAGCGCTCGACTTCCTTGATGGCGGAATCGGAGAAGGCGTGCGCCAGGACGCGCCGCTTGCGGGCGTGTAGGTCACGGTCGCGCGCGTTGTGGGTGTTGGGGGCCGGGTGGACAAAGGCGTCGTAGAACTCGGCTTTGCGCACGTTGGCCTTGAAGCCATAGATGTCCTTGAGGGCGGTGTTGGAGTTGACGGAGAGCGAGTTGGGCCCAAAGCGGACGAATTTGCCGTATTTCTCGTGCATACGCCAGAACTCGAGGTGCCGGTCACCTTTGAAGGCGTGGTAGGCCATGTAGCCGTCGGTCAGCTTGGCGAGGAAGGGGCCGGGGTATTTGGCGAGGGGGTGGAGGAAGAGGCGGTAGAATATAAGGCATGATGTCTGAGGTTGTTTGTGTCAGTGGTCTTCTTGTTTGTTTGAGAGGATGGCACGTCAGAGGATAAGACACTCACGTAGATAGCACCGAGGACAACCAAGGCCCCCAGCCAGAGCTGGAGGTGGGCAGCGCCAAATGCCATTGTTGGAAGCTTGTCTTTCTTGTACAGACGTTGTAGGTAGACGAGACAAGATAAGTGCTTGTGTGGGCTAATAAGAGAAGGACAATTCCAGATGGGGGCCGATACTATAAGAGAAAAGTGTCGCCAAAGAGGTGATCGGTGGTCAAGTAATATCTCCCTGCCGTCATCTTGCTTCTTGCTGCTCGTTTATCTTGCTTGCGGTCGTGAGGAGGACGAGGATCGGTTTGCGCCGGCATTGCTGTTCGGACGAATGACATGTAAGGAAGGGCGGGGGTCAGACCAGGGTTATGCTAGCGGTTAGAGAGATGTCCAGGGTTATGAATGGACAGCACAAGTGCATTATGTCGTCGCAGTGTCATTGTTGACTTGTATGCGCCAATCGCCAAGAGGTCATCTGCCACCAATGCTGCGGCAATTCACGGTATTCTCTCTCCTTTTTCTTTTAGAGAGGACGGAATTCGTTGGACACGGAAGGTTTCCATCTCGATGACCGACTTAGTTTCATAACTTGTCGTTACATTACATGCTTCGGATGTTCAGGGGTTCGGCACCCGATGCGATGGAAATGAATTGCCGGGGATTGGACGTCATCACCTTGATCGCATTGGATGTGGAGTATTGTTTACTTCCTTAGTAAGTATGTACTTGCTCATTGATGGCAAAACCCCGAGACATATTACGCTATGTTCAACTCCATTCCGAGTTCTTGGCAGTGAAACAAACAAACAAACAAAAAACACTGAAAAGCGGTCGAGGACAAGAGCGGACAGGAAGAGCGGGCCTTGAGCGGAAGAGAGGGCCGATCGATGTCGTTGACAGATCCCCATCGTCTCCAGAGCCCCAGAATTGCAGTGGAGTTGCCCAGGGCAGACAGTGGATGAACTCCCCGGATTTCTTCCTCTTGGCACGGTTAGTGCCGATTCTAGCGGTCCCTAGACCGAGATGTCCGTGCACGCCGAGAATCCCCACTCACCTCAAGCCGACGTTCACTGTTTGTCCAACACTGTGCTTCTGTGGCTGACGGGATGGAACAAAACGAACCCACTGCTGATCCACCGAACCGCCGAGCCGCCGGATCATCCCCAATTCGATTGCAAGGCTGAGAAGGCTGACTTTCCTTTTGCAACTTTGAAGACGCGACGGAATACACGGGTTCTCTCTCTTCAGCATCTTCCACCATATGGGCTATCACCCCGCGACATAACCTCATACCGTCGCCATGACCATCTGCAAATTCTATCAACAAGGCACTTGTCGCTTTGGAAGTACGCGTTCTGGGAGCTTTCTACTCTACACGATTGGCCTTACTGACACTTTTCTTGTCCAGACAACTGTCGATTCGAACACCCTCCCAAAACTTCCGGCGGATTCCAAACAGGCAACCGATTTGGTGCCCTAGCCGGGGGCGGCTCCTCATTTAGTAACAACCGAAGCGGAGAAAACCCCTACAGCCTCGACGCCGATGCCATTCGAAAAGACTTGACTGAAGAACTCCCAACATGGATCCTCTCGGCCTACGCTCCAGGGAAACAACCGCCCGAGCAGCTATTTGGTGGAGAACAACGGGAACAAAGTTTCGAGGAGATCCGAATGTACTACTTGAATGGTCTTGCGGCCGGCAACCCCGAAGGAGCACTGAACGACATCAACAACCTCTACCAAAGCGCACAAGCGCAGAACCAAGCAGCACTGAGCAATATCCAGGGCGCTATCCAATACATCGTCGACGCCGGTAATAAACATCCGAACCGACACGACATTTGCAACCAAAACACGTTACCGGGAGGAACAACGGGCGAGTTCGGAAAAGACAGACCAAGGCCAAGTGCGTTTGGGAGCTCAACAACCACACTTGGTGCTCCTGCCACAACATCCAACGTCTTCGGTGCTCCCTCTCAGCCAGCGGGCGCCTTTGGCCAGCCATCAGCCCTGGGTGCCAAGCCAAATCCCTTTGGAACTCCGGCCTTTGGGCAGGCAGCACAGCCAGCTGCTGCTTCACCCTTTGGCCAGCCCTCAGCACTGGGTGCCTCAACATCAGCTTTCGGCGCGCCAAGTGCCTTGGGTGCGAAACCAAATCCCTTTGGAACACCATCAACAGGAGGAGCATTTGGCCAACAAGCTGCCACCCCCGCTTTTGGACAGCCTACCCAACCGACGAGTGCGTTTGGCCAACCAGCACAGCTAGGAGCCAAGCCGAACCCATTCGGAGCACCAGCCGCTCCAGTGGCCAGCGCCTTTGGCCAGCCAGCGACATTAGGAGCAAAGCCCAATCCTTTCGGAACGCCAGCTGCCCCAGCAGCAGCAGGAGGCGCATTCGGGGCTTCAACAACAGCCAGTCCCTTCGGGCAGTCCACACAGGCCGCCAACCCGTTCGGCCAATCAACAACCAGCGCTTTCGGCCAGTCAACATCAACTCCAGCAGCGAATCCCTTTGGGGCTCCAACACAGGCGACAGGAGGTCCATTTGGCGCCTCCACGGGCCCAGCCACCACTAATCCCTTCGGCGCCCCAGCTGCCGCCGCTCCCGCTGCAACACCCTCACCATTCGGTGCCTCCACAACAACACCAGCAGCCAATCCCTTTGGCGCCTCAACCACACAACAACAGCAACAACAACCATCCGCCTTCGGAACGTCAACCACCACCCCAGCCATCAACCCCTTCGGCCAACCCCCCGCCGCCGCCACTTCCACACAACCCACCAGTGCCGCCGCCGGCACCTCCCCCTACGCCCCTAACGCCACCCGCCAACACCCACCCATAACTGCCTACACCACACGCTCCCCGCTCGACAACCGTCTACAAACCTTCAAAGGAAAACCAGTAACCTACCAACGGATTCCCAAGCCTGGCGCGCCCGACACTGCGCCCCCCGAAAAGGAGGTACCGGTGATTAGGAACTTTGACGGCAGTTTCCAGATGATTTGGTTCCCGGATGGAGCGCCCAAGTACACGCCCGATACGGAAGGATTAGAGGGGGAGTATACGCCGGATGTGTTGAGTGCGTGGCAGAAATTTATGGAGACAGGCAAGTTTGAGGGCGGGGTGATGCCCGAGGTTGCGCCGAAGAGGGAGTTTTGTGCGTGGGATTTTTGAGCGAGGATGGTGGGGGAGATGAAGGGAAGGAGAGCAGGAGAGAGAAATTGGCAATGGAGAGGACAAGGAAAGAAAGAGATAGGGACGGATACACTGGGCTTCAATGGATGGATATGGATATTATGGATACGATTCAAAGACTGTACACTACGGGAAAACGCAAGAGCGAATTTTTTGTTGTCTGGATCATTACCCGATACCCAAACTTGAAGTCAAAGTCAGCGAAATTGGAAAGATAAGATCACTTGGGTGCGCAAGAGCGGCGGATTTTCACACATAAGGATGGACTGTTTGTGGTTTTACGATATATGGGAATGGAATGGGATTGGAATATAAACATTGAGCATGTAAGTGTTTACCAGTGGGTGTAAGGTTGGTTTATTATGTCCATCCCTATTTTTTGTCTAGCAAACGCCAACTCTCTTGTTTGTTTCAGTATATAATGACTGAATCGTGTATTATGAGTTTCGGTCAGTTAGCACATTAACAGATTTGTAGACGGATCCCCCTAGTAATCTGTTTGGTCCGTACCTGGATTCTCCCCTTAATGCAAGCGAGGTGCATCAAGGAAAATACAGCGGGCCGTCTTTACATATGGAAGCCTGTTATGTCTGAACTTTCTCATTATTCAAGATCAAACAAATGATCAAAGGGAGGTGAAACGGGGTTGAGTAGAAGTGTTGAAGGGTTGTTTGTTGATGATCAAAATTGCTTGTTCTTTTTTCTAACCTGGTATCGGTTCGCATGATTTGCGATCCCAATTAACCCATTTAGGCTTTACTTCTCTTTATAACAACTTGATTAAGGCTCCATCAGCCATGAACTCACGCACCAAACCCACCCCTAGCCATCTTCTTAGCCCTCTGATCCCTCCGATTATGATTCGCTCTGCTCCCCTTATTCGCCTCCTTCCTCCTCTTCGCAAGGTCCGATTCAGGCGCTCCTTGCCCAGTCGAACCCCCGGCCTCACCACCACCTCTTCCACCACCACCACCACCTCCTCTTCCTCCTCTCCCTCTCCCTCTCCCGCCGCCGCCACCACCTCCCGGACCTCTTCCACCTCGTGGCCCACCATATCCTCCACCCCTCGACGGCCCATCACCGCCGCCATCTGTATCCGTCTCTCCATCTCCATCCTCTCCTCCTCGATGATCTCGCCACCTAGTAGTCTGTATCTCAGCCTGCTGTCCACCAAACGCCCCCTCGCCAAACTTCCTTTCCAACTTCCTCTTCATCCCCTGATCGCGATTGATCATCACTCCGAACCCTTCCACCGCCTCATCACTTAGCCCCGTCTTGTCGCGTAACTCCTTCCTTTCTCGACCACGTCTAGTCTCTGCGTCGCGCCCAAACACACCTGGTCGCGTCTTCCACACCTCGTAAAGTACGGCCTCTGTCGCTTCCGCTAACCCACCAGCACCACCCTGAGGAGGTTGGGTGTTGTTGTCTTGCAGCCGAATGTCTTCGACACCGGCGGCAACGGTTGCTGCGTCCACTGTCCCGCCTACGTCCGCCGCGTCGTACGTGTCGTCGCGCTCGTCGTCGTCGGAGTCGAAGGCGGCGAGGGCGGACAAGATGCGGGATTTGTAGGTGGGGTTGGAGGTGGTGGGCGGGGCGGAGAGTAAGAGGTCGGCGGAGGTGTCGGTGCGTTTGCCGAGTTGGAGCTGGGATGCGGGGACAGACAGTAAAAAGTCGTCGTCGTCGACGAGGGGGTTGGTAATGGTGGTACCTTTGGTTGGAGGTAGGGGTGGGGTAGATCTTGGTGAGCGAAGGTGCCCTTGGGATTTGGGCTGTTTTGGGGATGGGGGTGAAAGGGCAGCGGATCGGTCGGCTGATTGGAGGTGGGGTGGGAGAGAGTCCTCGAGGAGACAGGCGACGACTTGCTCGGTGTCGGAGGAGTAGTGGTCGAGGAGCTTAGAGATGAAACCGGAACCGAGGTCGGGGAAGAGATCTTGGATTTGAGAGATCTGGGACATGCGGTGGATGTGGATTTCTTGTTGGTGTTGCGTGTCGTCGAGGGATGAGAGGTCTTTGCCCTTGCCTTTGTCGATTGCCTTGCGCTGGCGGTTGACTAGCCTTTTGGGGCGCGGGATGCCACCGCCGGGTTTCTTGAAGGCTGCCAATTCCTTCAGGACGGATTTTGTTCGGATGTTACCAGACCCAACACTTTCCAACTTCCGCTGCAGCTGTTGTAGTAATGGCGTGCAAGTGACTAACTCGGCCACCAAAGAATCGTTGACATTCGTCGGCCCAGCCTTGTGCGCATCCGCCGCCGCTTTGAGAGAATACAGCTGATCCGTCAAAGCAGACAGTTTCTGATCCTGGCTACCGTCCGCCAGCCCAACCATGCAGAGGTACGTCGTGGCAATGATCACCCTGCGGAGAGGAGGGTTCATGATCTTGTAGCAAGACACCAGCCCGTCGAGAAAGTCGCTACCGGCCAAGAAGAAGCTGGCTACTTGTGGAGAAGATCCAATGAGGTCATTTACTCGGTCCAGTCGCTGTTCCACGCCCTTCAGGTCGCCGCCTTCTTGGAGACCGAGGTCTAGGTTCTTAATGAGGAACTTCTTGAGGGCGGATAGTGAGGCGTCTAGGGACTTTTGAGCTGATTCGGAGAAGGATGATAAGAGCTCGGAGGATCGCTTCTTACCGTAGACACGGCAGAAGTCGGAGAGAAATTCCCATTGCGTTAGAGGAACCGGTGGCGATGAAGAGCGGAGCAGTCGTGAGGTTAAGAGGAAGGAGTCCTTGAGTAGGCGCTTTGCTGACTGAGATGGGCCGAGAATTGAGATGCTGCCGAGTGCGGTTTCGCGGGTGGAGGAGGTGAGGAATGCGGTAAGGCTTTCGTCTCTGGCTGAGATTGAGAGGAATGCAGCATCGGGAAGCGAGAGGTGGCTGTCGATGAGTACAAGCCAGGCGTCTAGGCAAGCGATCCATTCATCGGGGAGCAATTGGTCTCTCAATGCGGCGAGGGGAAACAGCGCGAAGGCTGGAAGTTTGGAGGCCATGGTCAGCCACGGTGTGATATGTAAACAGCTGGCCAGGAGGGTGTTTGATGCCAAGACTTGGAGATGTTGACGTCGATGAGCGAGATGCAGTGAGCTTGACTTGACCACGGGGGTGGCGTACTAGTAAACAGTGTGAGTGAGAAATATGGATACAAGAGAAAAAGACAACCCCGTCTATTTATCAACAAGTCCGAGTCTATTAAGAATCGTCAAGAAGTGGTAAGGGGACAAATGAAAGTGAAGATGGGAAGTTGGAAATGGAAGTTGAATGTTGCGCCACCGTGACATGCAGTTGGACAACTGGGACGGGGAGTCGTGAAAGGTACAAAGTGACTTCAATTCGATTCATTCTTACGCCGAATGTGTCATTGCGGGGAGATGCCGGCCGGCAAGACCTACGCTGGACGATCCCCCGTCGAAGATCCTCAGCCACACACATGATCCTCCCAAGGTTCTCTCAGCTTTCAGCCACACTTCTGAGGGGTCAAAGAGACCAAACCGAACAAGCGCAAGCCACACGCCAAGCCCACAAAATCGCCAATGCCCCCGTCGCGCGCAAAATATGGAGTAAAAAAAATAATCTCGACGGTCTGTTGAACGCTCGCCGGAACAACTCAACTTCCAGTTCGCCAGAATCCCAAGCTTCGCCTTCATCACTTTGCCGAAGCCGTACAATCTACTCCTTCGAGTCGTGAAGGCACCTTTTTGCAGCCCAGCAGCCCCTTAGCAGTCAATCATCTCAACACCAGTCAAGATGTCTTCCTACAACAAGGACCAGAAGGATTTCGGCGAGGCCCCCGTACGTTTTTGCCCGTTGATGGCGCTGTCGTCGTTGTCATCGCCGCCATGATAAACCTCCCGGTGGTCGAGGACATCAACAACAGGAATAAAAACTAACTGACCCCTCCCCAAATACAGAAGGTCCACCGTGTCCGTATCACCCTCACCTCCCGCAAGGTCCAGGCTCTTGAGAAGGTCTGCTCCGAGCTCGTTGAGCGCGCCAAGACTAAGGACCTGCGCGTCAAGGGCCCCGTCCGCCTTCCCACCAAGATCCTCAAGATCACCGTATGTCACCCGTCCCTCTTCTTTTTCTTCTTCTTTCTTCGATCGCATACTAACCCGTGTCACCAACAACAAAACAGACCCGCAAGTCCCCTTGCGGTGAGGGTTCCAAGACCTGGGATCTCTTCGAGATGCGCATCCACAAGCGCCTCATCGACTTGACCGCCCCCACCGAGATCGTCAAGCAGATCATTGTCAACATCGAGGCCGGTGTCGAGGTTGAGGTCACCATTGCTGCTTAAGTTTGGCCTTGACTGGCCAAAAAAAAGGCAAGGGGGCAAGAAGCTGCTGCTGCTGCTGCGAAAGCGAGCAGGGGTTCCGTGTTACCCGAACCGAAACCCTCCAACCAGGGGAAGGAAAAAAAATCAATACAAAAAACAATTGGAAAAAAAACAATTGCCTCAAGGGGGCTTTGTGTTGTGGTGGGCTCGTTGGGCTGGTGAAATAGTGCAATGATCCATCGTTCCTTTCCCCTCGATTTTTTAAATCTGTTCCTTTTGCGCCTTTTCCTGTGATGGTGATATGATCCTGCGTATTAAAGATTGGAGATGATCGCACGAGGAGGAAGATGGCGTGGGGGATAGCTGAAGTCGTGGGCTTTTGAGGCTGGTCGTATCATCTCGATGTAGTCAATGCCTATGGAAGGCAGAAAGGGAGGACCGCACAAGGGGAAAAGGGCGCGGTCCAAGTCGTGCAGAAATGTGATCAACCGTTCAACACTTCAAAGAACGGCTGTGGTCTCCGGGCTAGATAACCAATACCACCGCAGACACAGGGTGATATTGCGTCAGACTTAGGTTATGACATTATTTCTGCGAACCTCTTTAAGTAAACACTCCTGAACGGCGAAAGCACGGGAGACCAAGATTCTAGAGTTCTTCCTGTTCCTTGATTTGGTATCAAACCTCGTGATACATACAGTAGTCTACATACGCCTCGCTCCCAAGAGGTCATTACACATCATACAAATTCCCATCCCATCGAACTATTCCCTCGCCCGGCTTTATGCGTTCCAGTTCACCGTGCCCAATTGCTCCTTAGGCTGGCGCGAAGGACCCTCATTCTGAGCCTCCTCGGGCTTCACAGCCTCCTCGACCTTGGGAGCATCCTCGACCTTGGGTGCCTCCTCAACCTTGGGAGCCTCCTCGGCCTTGGGTACCACCTCGACCTTGGGTGCCGCCTCCTTAGGCTGCACAGGGGCAGTAGTCTCCTGCTTAGGAGCCTCCTTCTTGGGCAACTGCCCCCTCTCCTTCCAGCCCAGACCATGCGCCTCCGCCACACCAATAGCCAAAGGAATCCCCCCTTCCTTCTGCGCCAACCGCCACTGCAACTTATCCTCCATGGCCTTGTACACCTGATGGCTGATATACGTGCCCTTGAGCCACCTCTCGGCGCCCTCCGCCTGTCCTTCCGTCTGGAACTCCCTGCGCCCATGCAACACTCGCCAGTTATCGAAAATCACACACTCTCCTTCCTTCATCTTGAGCTCAAACATGTTCTCCTCCGCGCTAATCTCGCGCTCAAACTCCTTGGCCGCCGGCACCCACTTGGTCATGTTCTTGCCCTTTTCCTCCACCACCACCGCATGCTCGTTCTCGGCATAAGCACCGCCGCCACCGTCTTGAATGACGCGGTTCCCAAGCACGTTCGTCGCCGTGGCGCCCGTCTGCCGGCTAAACGGCGCCTGGAACGGCGGCGCCCAGTGGATCCGGCTCAGAAACCCCTTGCCTTCGCCCGTCCGCCCGGCGTACCGGAACGTGTTGCGACCCATGTGGTAGTCGTTGCCGTTGCGGTGGTAGTGGAACTGCGGCGAGCGGTTGCCGCGCAGCTGGTCGAAGGCTAATGGGTTGTTGAGTTCCAGCGAGTAGGCGGCGCGCGCGCCGTCGCTGAAGAGGGACTCGCCTCCCTGGAAGGAGTTGGAGATGCAGTGCAGGAGCTGCAGGCGGGGAGGGGGGTCGATGTACATCAGATCTTGGTGCAGGCCTAGAAAGACGTTGGTGTAGGCTACGTTCTCGGCGCGAGGCTTGGAGCGCACGTCCCAGGTGAAGCCGTAGAAGGTGTGCATGAGGATGCCAATGCGGTTGGCGATCTTTTCGACTTGGGATTCGACGAGGGCCCGGTCAGATGGGATCGAGTGCACGAAGAGAATGCCGAAGCGGGCGAGAGACTCAAAGGCTTTCCAGAAGGCGGCGTCGGAGGTCAGCCAGTCGTTGTACGAGACGCGCAGATCGCCCGAGTCGATGTGGGCTTGTAGCTTGGAGCGGTCCCAGAGCGTGCGCTCGACGGGGAGCAGGTTGCCGGCGAGGTCGTACGGGAGCTGCCAGGTAAAGATGTCGGAGGCGTCGTAGGTCGAGGTGTGCGTGGTGGCCTCGGGCGTGGCGTTGGCGCTGACGGCGTCGTTGGCCCAGATGATGGTGATGGAGCCGTCAGCGGCGTTGACCTCGGCGGCTTGGACCTCGAGGGTCTCGGGCAGAGAGGTGCTGGAGAAGTTCTTTTGGCCGGAGTCGGGGTTCACGCAGTGCGGGCACTTGCAGGTGTCGCGCAGCCAGTGGAGGGACATGGCCACTTGCTTGGTGGTGCCGTCGGGCTGGGCGAAGGTGATGAGGACCTGCTGCTGGCCATCGACCACCTCGACGGACTGGGGAGTGCCGGCCTTGAATCCGCGTGCTTCTTTGGCGATCTTGTCGTATAATTCTAGCAATTGCCCCTCCCTCTGCACTGGCGACGTAGGAGGCACCCCTTTGAAGGCTTTCTTCATATTGACAATGTCTAGCCGTAAGGCCCCCTTGTCTTTTCGCAACTTGTTGTTGGATTTCTTTAGCTGGGCGAGGTCGTTTTGTAGCCGGCTGAGTTGAAGGTCGAATTTCTTCTGGGCTTCTGCCAATTTGTCCATTTCTTCGTTGGCGTTCTCGTCGGCTTTCTTATCGGATTTTTTGATACCTTTCTTGTCGGTATCCTTGCCGGCTTCCTTGTCGGCTTTCCCGTCGGCTGTCCTTTGCTTTTTGTAAATCTTACGGAAAAGCAGCTTTGGCTGGGTCGGCTCGGTAGGTGCGGCACTGTCTCCGGCGGCGGGAGAAGGGGTAGTAGCATCGTCGGCGCGAGCTGCTGATGAGCAGGACAAAGTGCGGATCGCCTTGGTTGATGGCGTGACGGCGAACCGGCCGCGCGCGAGAGGAGCGGCTCCAAGCTGGCGAAGCATGGTGTCGCCGTGGGGAACGGGGAGCTTGGTAGACAGTCGACGGCGGCGGCGTACGACGGAAAATCTAGGTTGGAAGAAGAAAGGTTGTTGGAGAAAAAGAATTGCTTTGGCGCAAGGATGGATGGATTACAAGTTGCCGGCCAAGCTTGTAGACTAGTACCTGAAGCTTCGAGGCTCCGTAACGTAACGTACGATGAGCTCCACTCCAAGCTTCATGCGGGGTACAACCTAGCGGGAGCTTGGCGTTGGCGCACAACTGAGTAGCGCTGAGCTGTTATTCTCCGTATAAATACCGTCGGCAGGTTTCGGTATCTTGCACTACTTACCCCTGACTTTTGTTTACTTTCCGTTTTCGTCAGTTGGTTCTTTCAAACGTCGTCTATTTTCTTTTTCTCAATTGCCCTCATCATTTATACCCTTGTATGGATCTCCCCGCGTTCCCAGATCCTTTAACGCATACACGTGTTGTGTCTGCGCCCTCTCATTCAACACATCCCTCTCATGCAAAATCTCAGGATGATGATGGTATTCCACCTTGACCTCCTGCGTCATCAAGATTCTTCCGCTATTCCTCGAGGTAGCCACCTCACTCCCGCTTATATCGCAACTCTCAACGTCATGAACCTGCAAGATGGCCTTGTCGCTTGCGCTGTCATCAGTCGGGGCATGACACCCTCCACCACCTGAAGACAACGACAAGCAATCACTTCCCGTGCGACCATGTTGGGAAAGCTTGTCGGGGACGGAATGAAAGTTGCCACTGTACAAGGTGGTTAAAGTCGTACTACCCCCGACACCATTCTTGCCCGTCGACGGAGGCGTTGAGTGTGGCTTGCTGCTATGCAAGCGGTGCTGCGCCAGCAGCTTCTTGCGAAGTTGGCGGCAGAAGGCGCGGTGGACGGGGATGCAAGCAGCCATAATGGTCGTGCTCGTCTCGGCGGTAGACCACACTATGATGGCGCCAGAGTCGTCTGTTTTGTGTCGTATGTCCCATCAGTAACCATCCACCTCCGTTCTTTTCACAATTCTCAATTCTCCCCCTCATCAACAAATCAACAGCATGAAGCAGAAACCGAGAAGCACAAGTAACTCACAAGTAAAATTCTCACTCGTAATCCTCCTCATCTTCACCGCCAGCACAAACGCCGCCACCCCACTCACCGCCCCCACGCTCATCGTCGTCGCCACTCCCACCTTTTCCCTCTTGCCCAAATTCGTGCCCCAAATCGTCTTCCACGGGACCACTGCCAACAAAATAGCATACGTCCCACTGACACTCCCCGCGAACGTCGCGAACCCGTTCAGCGGTTCGATCCTCAAACACACATCATGATGTGACACATCATCATTCGAATCCCCCAATGCTGCAGCCTGCGGTGATCCGCATTTGGGTATCCAAACCAAGACCCCCTGAGCGCCCTTGATGAGACAGATGGTGATGATGACGAGCCAGACGATCCAGACTGCGTATTGGCGCTGGTGTTGTCCCGGGAAAGAAGAAGAGGGCGTGGTGCAGCAGGAGGAGGAGGAAGTACTAGATCCCCGGCGGACAAGTCGAAGTAAAGTGACGGCCCAGGAAGTCTTGGAGAGAGCGACGGCGAACATGGAGAACATGGCGCCGAAGTGGTCACCTACGAGGGTCAGACGCGGGATGGAGGTAGCTGGGGAGGGGATGTCGCAGGGGTAGTGGCCGAGGCCGAAGAGGGAGATGGAGACTTGGGCGAGGGTGGCGGAGAGGGTATGCGTGAGCTTGTTTGTTGTTGGTTGGATGTTAGCTACCTCTAGGTAGTCCTGTGTGGAAGTGGACCAAGGTGGAAAAGTGAAGAAAGAAAAGAGAGAAACAAACTGACCCAAGCAAGAACAAGAAAGTAATCATCCCACCATAACCCCTTCAGTCGGTACATCTTGAGGTATAACCTCGCAGCGAGGAAGGTAGTAGAGAAGGAGACGAGGATCCAAAGCCCAGCCGAGGTCTCGGGGCCTCGGTTGGGAACTGGCCCTGTTTCGAGCCCGGCGAGGCGGCGGCCGCAGTAGCTGTCTGGGCTATACTTAGGTTCTGGTCCGGCCGCTGCTCCGTCGATGTGGGAAATGCCACGGTCGATGAGAGTGGCGAGGAACCCCATTGCTTATTGGTGCTGCTACCGGGCTGGCGGGATATCGTCAGTTTGCTTGTAACGAGATGATGAAGGGTCCACGGAGGTGTGATGAGCAAGGTCAGGGTCAGGGTCAGCTTCAATGGAATGAGTTTGGCGAGTCGTTCGTTAGCTGGGCTGCTTGTCCATTGAACTGGAATGGCCGATGGAATAGCCGGGAGTTCAAGAAGCAAGAGGTAACACGAGGTGGAGAATTCCATGGAGAGGGAGAAACGGTCTACTAATAGTATCGCTGTTTATGAGACATATCGCCGGAGACAGACAGCAGAAGACTGGAACAGAAAAGGAACTTGGGAGGCTGAGTGGCGTTGGTTGGCGTCGGCGACCACGTTTTTGGGGGCGCCAGAGTCATCCACATCCCAAGCGTATGCATAGTGGCACTGGGTGTGAGTGGTGGTGTCGTCAAAATCTCGATTACACCTCATCTGTCAGGCGGATGGGGTTATCGAACCGTTGTGGCGTCCACTTGGTATCATCATCTAATTCCGGTGATACAGAATGGCGCACACTAGTTCAAACCGAGTTACGGCGACCGGATCAAACACCGTCATCTGCGATGGGTACGGTCGGAGGCAACCATCGTGTCATGGAGCCAACCCAACATCACCCCCCTTGCCTGGGGCTTCGGGTCGAGACCACAATCTGAATACGATAGGGCAGATTCATCCAACCAGCTCCTCGTTGGGGCGCCATACGGGCCTCGAAAATTCAAAAGGATTCTAAACCATACCATGCACTCCAGATGTTTGTTTGTATTCGGCAGAGACAGTGGAGATATCGTTGTCTCGAGTCCAATTCCCTGGTACAGGCGCAGGGAAGCAAAAGGTAGTTTTCAGGGAAATATGGAAGCAATGGCAAGCATAGACACAGTCCGCGCCAGGCAGATTGGGAAACCAACAGGACCGCGCGGTTAGGAGCTCTAGAAAAGGGAGACCATCTCCGGGACCTAGACAAAACCCATACCTCCGCTCGAACAATCTCGATGAACAGCCATAATCGACGGCACCGGATGCTTCGCCTCAAGAATTCGGTTAGAATACGCTAACAACGCTATCTGTCTTTTCTATGCCTGGAATACGAATTGTTTGCGAGCCAAGAGACAAACAATCGCCCTTTCACCTTCCCACGTTTTAGCCCCTATTCACGGCGGGGGACAGCATCGCTCTCCAATGACGGTTTGGAAGAAGGACACTAACGAGCGAGTGGCTTGCATACCGGTTCACGCCAACCGTCATCCTGGTACTTTTTTTGGTCCATTTGAGATATAGTTACAATTAGGAGTCCCTCCCACGACGCTTGAATTAGACCCTCGTTGCGGATGTCCCTTCGGAACCGAAGAAGGTGAAGGAGGTGTTTCGGTTCCTGTCCCGGTTTTTGAATTGTTTGGGTGTCGCCTTGGGGTTGCATTCGCTTCGAGGAGTCGAGGGGGTCCTCAGAAACATGCTGATGATGCGTGAATACTTGGAGATTCGATATCCAAGACAATCATGTCCAGTGGTAAGACTTCAATCCTCCCCTTTGCTTCTCTTTTGTGGAGGTTCCCATGTTGCCGCGCAATCAGGAAGGCATGGCGGCTAGCTTGGTAATCTCTTCCTTGTATGTACCTCCACCTCCCTCCTCTGGCTCGATGGGTGTGGAACTGGAGTCCTTGGTGGAGGGGGAGGACTCTGTTTGTGTCTGCTTGTTCGCTCTATCCTTGGCCATTTGTCTCCTGTATGACGTTTTTGTCAGCGGCTGGCTCGCCAAGAGGAATCATGGGTGACGGGGACGCACTCCTTGTCGTGGATGTACTTGTTCTCGAACGCCTTCTCGCGATCAGAAAGGGGGTTTGAGGAGTCCATGGTTGCTTGTCGTCGGTCTGTGGTTGTTTGCGAGATTTGGGTGCGGCTGTCGTAAGAGGTTGAATATTGGTTGTTGTAATATCAATCCGTCGTGTCTTCGTTGACAGAAAGAGGAAGAAGAAAATGAAGGCGTAGGTCGCCTACGTCACGACAGCTGATGCGCTGCGTTTACGTCACTACCTAGGTACGTACATCAGGTGGTGGGCTCTGGGCTGAGGCACGTGCGTTTCCACTTTCAACGACATTTAATCGATGTCAACGGCCAAAACATGTCCAAGACACTCGTCAACCGCAGGCGGACTCATTATGAAAATATCTTAAAACTCATCTTGAAACCTTGTTTAATAGTGCGAGACTCATCGTAAACTACACACACTCCTCCATCTGCATGTCAAAACGCAAGACCGGTCTCTTCCTCGGCTTCTCAACTGCCTTCTCTACATCCTTCACTCCAACAAAGGGAGGCGATCATAATGCTGCTCCATCGTTTCGTTTTTCCCCTCTTGAAGCAGAGATATCAGCATACTCTGTGTAATGGAGGCCTTTTTCGCAATAAAAGAAAAGGTACAGGACCGTCAGGAACCCCTCGAACAAATGTACACACGTCTTTGTCCGGCGTGTTCGCACCAAGTGACTGTGTCTCGCCTTTTTTTCCATCAGCACAATGCTTGTTTTGCAGACATAGTAAACATCAAAAGATTGCACAATGACACAAGAACGTTATACCAAACAAGCAAAGCCATCATTGAAAATTCCACTGCGTTTGTTGTCCTACCAACGAAGAGACACACAACAAGTGTTCCACCGTATTATAAACCTGCTTACTCAATTACTTGTAGAATGGATATTGTCGTGGTTTTCTATTCTTCTTAACCCGGTCCTCAGCTTTATGCTCGTGTTTACTCTTCCATCGCCAAGCTTGGTTCCAGTATATACCCCTTTGCCTGCAGACGGCAAGTCCATCATCTCTCAGATGAGAATGAGAGAGCATTTCCAAGGTTCCTTTACTGATTTCGTTCTTCTCTTTTCCTCGTCTATAATCGTCTCCAGCCATCGACAACACGCATTTCTCAGCAATTAACTTTGTACGACCAGTTGCTCGTATATTTCAGCTTCGTCTTCAGAGCCAGTTGACTCTGATACAGATAGCCTATGCAGCGACTCAGCCGACGGGCGCTCGCACGCCCTGAATGACGATCTCGACTTCACAGAGGAGGCTGACTTTGAACGGCTCCTAGAAACTCGTGCCATCGATCTGGAAGGAGGAAACATTATCCGCCGCCGCATTGCCTACAAGCGGCTGGAGAATGAGCTCGGTAAACTCGCTGGACAATATAAGGGTTATGCGCCAGCACTCTACGATCAAACCAAATTGGTCCTTCACACCCTATATAGACAGGTCGATCACACCATCAACACTTACGCCAATGCAAAAGAAAATTGCTCAGAGATACCTAGGGTATCATCAAGTCTCTAAAGCGCTTAGCTGTCAAAACGGTCACCATCTACCTCTAGCGTGAAGAAGGACCTGGCGGTCCGTGGAAGTCACGCTTACCTTTCCGACCGACCCTGTTGGCTTGCCGTATGGTCAATATCTCGAACAGCCAAAACAGATTGGCGGGTGTCTCTACCTCCTGGGCCAATCTCGTTTGGCCGAGATTGACATCAAGAATTTTGACGCAACCGATCCTAAGCGATGGGCAACATCTCACGCCATCAGAACCTTGGAGCGTTTCCTGGAAAACTTTCCGTGAAGGGCGTGAACACATGGGATGACAGACTCTTTACAGACAGTGAGGTACAAATGTATCTTTTTCGTCCCAAGTGGGATTGTCACCCCGCATATGAAGGTCCTCCATGTGAATGCTATTGTGTCAATAGGTTCTGTCCTATTTGCCAGTGGATCCGACTTGGTAACTATTACTTGCTATTGTTGCTTCCCAATTCTTATTCAGTCAATTTGTTCACAATTGAACTGGACCTGTAAAAGTGTAGTAGGTCTTTGCGTTCCACACAACTATTTCAAGCTCGCTTTTCACCTCAAATCTCTTGCTGATTGTGTTCCCTCCCAACTCTTCCAAGGAACTTCGTCAATCGAGAGCTGTACCTCAGAATTGATCTCAAGGCATCTAGCAAGCTCTCTTCCGTTTACGCCTTACACACTACTTTCAGTCTTTTCCTTGCCACTCGCCAGCGATGGAGCATAACAACAACTTTCGTACCATTGTGTACATCGACGTCGAAGGTAACCAGCCAAACTCTCATCTTGTGCCAATACAACGCAACTAACAAAATTTGCAGAATTCCAGCCAACCTCGAGGCGCCCACTTTCTTCCCCGGACCCCTTGTTTCGACTCGTCCGTGGTTCTCCCACAATGGCGTCTACATCCCGTATCGGACCCCTTGCATCTCCCGATTGGGTTCCTACATCGCCTGGGCCCGTCCCGCCGTCTCCGCCGTACATTCCTCGATCTCCCGAGTGGGTTGCTGGAAGTGTGTCTCCGGAAAACTACGTCTACTATCCTACATCGCCTGGGCCAGGACCCCAATCTCCGGCATACGTTCCTCGATCTCCAGAGTGGGTATCTGCCTCGCCGCCTCCGTCAGCCCTCGGTCCCACATCCCCTCCGCCAGTATTCCAATCCCCGGCATACACACCTAGTTCTCCTCAGTCGGTTTCCAGAGGCACATCTCCGAGGTACTATCCTACATCACCTGGCCCGGTGCCCCCGTCTCCGCCGTACATCCCCCGTTCTCCTGAGTGGGCGTTCAGAGACACATCTCCGGAGAACTACTATCCTACATCGCCTGGGCCAGGACCCCAATCTCCGGCCTATGCCCCTTCATCTCCTCAGGCGGATTACAGAGGCTCATCTCCCGTGAATTATTATCCAACATCTCCTGGACCCGTGCCTCCATCCCCGCCATATGTCCCTCAATCTCCCCAGTGGGCATTTACATCTCCAACCCCTGTTCCGTTGTCGCCCTCTTCGCCCGCCACCGCCAGCCACTTCGATGAACATGAGCGCGAGCTTGACGGCTCTTGGGGCAGTGGCCGCTTCGTCTACAACCGGGCGAGGTGGATTGTCCCCGAGGAAGAAGAGCAGAGGCAGCGTGGTGAGCACGAGACAACAACCGAGCCTTTTCCCGAGCTTCCGGACTGGGAAGAGGACGAGAGCACAGAGGGAGAAACAGAGGAAGATGTTCAAGATGTCATGGTACATGAATCTGCTGCTGCCTTCCCGCAGAAAGAGGAGGGGGGACTACCTGACTACGGATACTACAAGCAACTTGATCAAGAGGAGGAAGGAGTTGCAAAGATGGACGCAGAAGATGTTGAAGTGCAGGAACCCGTCTCTGCCGTCCCGGAAGAGAGCAGCAGTCCACTCTCAAACTACCTCTACTCTGGATTAACATACGGCCATCCTTCAACACCCTTCCCATGGAGACAAAGCAGCCCATTCCCGTCTACCCCTTCCGCTTCTACGGAGGAGCCTGAATTATCTGAGTCGGAAGACCTCCCAGACCATGAGTACTACGAGCAACTCGACCAAGAGACTGCGGCAGAGACTCTCATGCAGCTCGAGACGCAGCATTCGGTTGCCGATCCGTACCCTGACATCGCCGCTCTCAACTACGAGCCTGCTCAGTCCAACTTTTGCCAATCCTACCCGTCGTCTGAAATCGGCATGCACCAAAGCGTCGAAGATAAGCACGCCAACTGGATCTCTTCTTGCTCCTCCTTCCACAGCTCCTCGGCCATCAACAACCCCGCTTGCCGAGTTTCCCAGAGGCTGATTGGTTGCGTCAAGGTCCAGAAGAGGGTCGATAGGATGATGTGGAACAAGTTGATGCAGAAGAAGATGGTGCGTATGATGGAGGTGTGCGAGAAGTATGTTCCTGCGGATGTGCTGAAGGGGTTGAAGCGGTAGTTGGAGGATGCTAGGAGGTGGAGGGGGGTAGTGATGATGAGTGGAAACGCTGCACTGATGGGTCTAAATGAGGGAATGATGATTCACCTGGAGGTAGCCAAGATATGGTAGTGACGGGAAGAAAGCGAGAGGTTTATTGTTGCGAAGACGTACCACAAAGGCTTCATCGTGACATGAGAAATCTAGAAATCGAGAAATTCCCTTTTTTGGCCACATATTCACTATATATAGCTTAGTCCGGTTTGGTGCATCAAAACTCACACAGAGCTTTTGCGAAGTGGCTGGCATGTAATGCAGGACATATGTCCTTTTAAACGGCATAATGTGTGCAACCGCAAAAGGGAAATCCATTCTAGACTTTCGGAGTTTATGCGGCATACATGGCCCTACCGTGGCTTGGTCGAAGCGTTGAAGCCGTCAGAATTGTTGAAAGTGGAATCACACAAATCACAGCATGACTTCTCTCGCCGCCTGGGGCTACTATATGATATGTAGGACCTTGGTCAGGTGGTCACATGCACGCATTCCTACTCGCCGCTTCCTCACTTCAATCCTCAAAACTGCCTTTGGTTTTGTCACCGAGCGAGTATGACAGTACTATTCTACTCAACACAAGCCCCGTCTCATTCTCCGCCGCGGTAGGCACCGATGTCGTCATGAATTCTTTGGCTCGTATCATCATCTTCGTGACGCTGCTATCACCCCAATGCATAAGTTGCCCCCCTCCCAAAAAAAAAAGACTGTTATAAATCCGAAAGTCTCCTCCACGGCCTGCTGGCGATTCTTCACAATGTTCATCCGATCTCTGGCGTAGGCGGCGGGGCGAGATGCGCGATTAATACTCAGCGCTGGCCCGGCACGCCTTGTGGTACCGGTCTCGATTATCAGGTAGGTTTCTTCCGGGCCGCAGTCTCTTTTCTTCGCTCGTTCGTCTTTTCTTATCCCAGCATCATCGTAGATTTCTTCGAGGAGGGGATTGTGGCTACTGAGGCCGCTACCTATTTTGGAGAATCTCCCAATTTCACAGACACATCTCTTACCGAAACGGTCGCCGAGGTAGCTATTATGGTGATATCTGTTGTGCAAGGACAACAGAATGCAATGGAATCGAGATTCTATCGCCAAAGCAAGCGCCCAGCATACCCAGCCCCCCGGGCTCTGCCGCTCCCAGCTCTCCTTGCCCCACGGGTGCCCGGTGCCTCCCTCCGGCCTCCACCCCTGCCCCCCGCCGCAGTATGGCCTCGGCCGCCACCCCCTCAAGCTCGTGCCCGGTGAAGAAGTACCAGCTCGAACGGTGGGCGGCGCTGCCTCACCCAGCGCGGTTGCTCCGCCTGTGCCAGATGCCACAACGACGGCAAGCGGTGCGAAATTGCCTCCCCCATACTGTCGCCGACTAGGAGGCGGCAGGCGCGAGCCCGACGCGATATTCTCTGTCAATTGCCAAGTGAAAAAGAGAAGAAGGAACAAATGATAAAAGGGCGGTGGTTCATGATATACGCGAAGCATAAGTAAGTTCAGACGAAAACAGTGCCAGGACAACCGTCTTTCTCAATACAGTCACAGGTACATGTCGATTCTATTTCATCCGATTAAGCTTTCTAGTAGAAATGGGGTTTACCTCCCTATACGCACTAAAAACCTATATGTACGCACCCCCATACAGAAAACTGTAGTCTCAGTCAGACCCACACCTCCAAAACCACCAATACTAGGAACGAGGTCCTGGGGCCCCTCGTCTTCCCGGCTTCCTTGGACACATCTCTCGCTCCAGACACCATGCACGAACAATTACCACACAACCAGCTTGCCATCAAAGCCATAGGTTTGCAGGATGTCGTACTACAAACCCGCGCGGTCAAGCAACCAGGGTATTCCCCTAGTGAAGTCGACTTTGAGAGGTTCGGCTACATCGGCAAAATAGCGTCCAGAATATAGAGGTATTAGAGAATTGGAGGAGGGAGAGAGGCGGGAGGAAGAGAGGAGTGCAATCGGACAGCACGCAGAGCTGCCTTCCAACACAGACGCCCATATCACGTAATGAACAATAACCAAGTGTTTGTGATATTGCGTTCCTTGAAGGTTCTATCTTTTTCTACTTCGTAGTGTGTTCAAAGCCTCTTGAATGAGGCCAGTAGAGCTGTAATCCCGAGGACTTCGCTGACTCTATGGTTGACTTGTTCTGGAGCGTCATATTCCCAAGAGGCAATTGGTGTATTCAGGGCCCTCGCTGTTACTCTTCGATTTCGGTCGGCAAGTATCTTTATTATTATTATTAGTCTTATACACGCTAACTATTTACATAGTTCGCCCTGTGGGCATGCGGTGCTGCTTCGTTCGTAGTCAGTGGGAAAAACCGTACTGTGATAGCCGGATAAAAACCCTCCGCTTTACTATCGTTACGGCACTATATCGGCTCCGTACTATCCCGTTTTCCTTCCTCTCGGTATAACCTCACCGTCATAACCGAAGTTATAAACTTTTATTATATACGTAGCCGACCCTACCCCGATTAATCGCCGCCCTCCTTCTATTTTCCTACTGTTATTTCCTTATAGTCGGTAGCCTTTTATCCTATTTTTCTTTAATTATATTATCCTAAATCGCCTAATTTATTTATATTAGAAACTTCGACCTAACTTTCTCTTTCCTTCTCTCTTTCCTTCCTTATACTATATTATTACTTCCGCTACGTTATATCCGCATCCTAACCGAATCCGCCGCCGTCCTATATCCGTATTTAACCTAACCCGGTATTACTACTACTATATTATACTATATAAGAAACCTCCCGGCACTATAAAGAAAACGCCTACTTCGAAGGCGTCGGAGGTTGCGGCCCCCCCCGACGAGTCGGAGGGCGAAGTCGTAGTGGAGGCCGTAGTAATTAGTACCGGCCCCGCTAGTTCGCCTTACAACGATGCCCTGGTTAAGCCCGTTACCCTTAAGAAGGTTAGAAAATACCTGTCGAAGGAGACGCAAGAGAGGAAGGGCGCCGCTATGGGACACTTCCAGCCTCCCGAGTCTCATAGATAGTGCAACTCTTGAGTATCTTTATTGTTCCCTTCGAACACGCAGAAATGGTGAAGTCAAGGCCAATTAGTTGTCTCGTAGTAAGCGGGACACAGTCTTCCCCATTAATGACATTGCCGATTATAATAGAATACCTACAAAAGTTTCTCAAGAATGCGTTGGTGGCCTTCCGGTATAACATGAGTATGCTCTTCTTCCTCATTCTCATCGGCAAAGGAGAAAGAACACCACAGGATGACGGTCATGACATACTGAACCACGAGCACCACGAAGCAATGGACCGCCAAACCTGCTCTTGCGAAAAACCCAGCTTGGTGAGATGAGTATGTCGCCGCTACTGAGCCCGAGTCCAAAGACGAGAATGTCAAGCTTCGAATTTGAGAATGTTACGAGCAACTAGCGCGAACGCAATAGATTACTTGAAGATGTCTTCGAAGCTAAGTCTAGACTGTCTAGGAGCAGGCTGGCCAAGTCACAGAAGCGCGGCACTCAAACCGTAGCCGCCAGCGCCCTTCCTGTCTTTTCCTAATTTTCTAGCGACGCCGGCCACCCACATGCTTGCCCTTAGGTATTGACGCATACCCTACCTTTTCTCCTTATTTCTCGCCGATTGAAATTTACATGCAGTACGACGCAAATATCAAATCCAGTTCCGCCCCTTCAAACTGTCCCTTTTTCCCCGCTCGCTACAGGTTGATTGGCCTGGTCAAGGCCAAACGAAAGGTCACCAAGGTGATACATAACTGACTCCGTCGCATCAAAGGCCGCAAGAAGTACAAGAGTGCCACGCTGGAGAGCTTCAAGAAAGAGTTGGGTGTTATCAAGGATGGATGAAGGGCAAGACCTGGAGATGAAATTGGGTATGGCGCAGGTGGAAGCGTTGGTTCGAATGTAGGGTGTTCGAAAAGCGAACGGGAGGGGCTGGGAAGTAGCTTTCCTAGATCTCAGGGACCTTCACTGTCAATTGGGAGACTTTCATTGAGATTTCATAGGGAAATGGTGGAACTATTATTGAACAGAGGGTTTATGGGATGTATGGTGGCTTAGAGTCTAACCGGAGGATGAAGACATATTGTGTGAGGCAGTTTCAGGTGTTTACGGTTCGAAGAAAGCATTGCTGGCTCAGCATGAGCAGTCATGAAAAATTTCAGTTGATTTGATCCGAGTTGAACAGAGAATTTGAGGGCAAGTGCTCTGTTGTTGAGCCCTCACAAGTAGAAAACAGCCACGATGTTCAGCAAGGATTACATCATGTTTATCATCACTCCATTGCCACCCCTGTCTTAATCCTCTCGCGTAGTGACTTATGCCTTTCGGTTCTCGTGACTTTTGAGTTTTTGTGGTTTGGGGAGGTGGACTGGAGGAGATATCGGCGAGTGTCGCCGGCGCATATGAGGCAGCAGCCACACTACGACAATTTGGGAAGGCGTTTCTCAGAAAAGTCCCATCAAGGATACCTCAATCATGTCAACTAAGCAATTTTGCCCACAGAATAGAAGGAACAACCCAAGCAGTGAGCCGGGACTACTTTGCGCAGGCATATTGACCGGACATCCATTCATCACTAACGGAAACAATCGACATCGACTTTGTCGCCTCCCGCTCAGCAGCAACCCAAAGAACCTGGACCATTGAGCACAAAAGATAGCTCAGCACTTTGCCCGCCATCTTCGTATATCTGTCTCATTCCCATGTTATCCAAGCGCTAATATGGAGTCAGTACCTACCAAAGGCAACCCCCAAAAGCGAAGATGTGTCCAGCTCGGCTCGGAAGAGCCACGAACATCGGATGACAGCCGTCTCATCCAAGGCACCAAGGCATCCAACCGAACAACTTGCCCTAAGCCGCCAAGGCTCCCGTCTCCAGCAGGTTTTCCAACCACAACGAGTAGTTGGTCGAGCGGCAGTTGGTGTTGCCCACAGCACACCCATACTTACACCCGCTCGAAACGCCACGGGTTCGAGTCCCGTGGTGGCAGCTTTCGACACAACTATCGCTCGGGCATTCCAGTAGTCTATATGACTGCTGTCTATATGACTGCTACATCCGTCTACCTGGGCTAACGAGGTCGAGCTGTGACCGACGAGGGGATACCTTTGGGTGTCATTGATCAACTACACTTTTTTTTTGTCGATTTTTTATCTTTGGTGTTCGTGATGAACGCCCGTACCCGAACTACGCCACATCTGGATACAGACAGGTGTGGGCGTCGAATCCGTGCTTCATGTAAGTTTCTGTGCATATATGTCGGGCGCATGTCGCCTTTAGGATGGTCATCAACGACCCTGCGCGCAAAACATGAAGTCAGGTGAACTGCATACTTGGCCGCTTGCGCTTCTCGCTTTCGCTCACCATCGGACACCAATACTTCCCCACACCATCCCCTCCTTTGGGACAAACACCACCCAACTTTTGGCCCCCGTACTTTTTCTCCTGCCATACCCTCCCTGTACTGGCTTCTATCGAAACAATTGTCTCGACCCCCGTTCCCGCGCCCTCGTCTCTCCGGTATGTACCTTTCCACAACCAGATGTTTGAGTCTCACGCTTTACATGTCCGTAGAAGTATCTGACACAAGGAAGCTGAACCACAGCGTCAAAACACCGGCCCCATGTCAAAGACTGCAAGAAAACAGAGCCCTACTTTGGAAGAAAAGGCCTTACCGGCCAATCAGCCGCTTTCACAAAGCAGCGGCAACGTCAATGTTTCTATCAAAAGCGAAAGCAGCCATGGGGAGTCAACATCGTCCACATGTTCTGCGAGTCCCTACCCGTTCTGGAAGAATGAGTCGGTTTCTAATAGTCTTCTCCAGTCTCAACAACCAGCTGTGTCGCCATCTCCTTCCTCCAGGCGCAACGAAGTCGATGAAGCCACCCAGACAACAAGCGTAGCGGAAGAGAGCGATAAGCCTACCACTACCTCAGGCACCCTGCCGAACCCGAAAATTTCTCAAGATGCGCAGTCCGGTAGCCTGGCAGGTGACATCGAGAAGTTCTCAATTCGTCACTTTCCAGTGCTTCGAAAGGAGCTAAACCGCAAGATTGAGGAGAGGAGATTGGTAAACCGAAGTATTCGGAACAGTTTGGCCAGAATTGAGCATTGCGAGAAGTATGTGAGGATCTTGAAGACAATGGAGGAGGAGCTGGAAGCGGAAAAGAGCAAAAAATTCGAGCTTCTGGCATTGTTCAGACAAGCTGAGCAGAGGTTTATAGCCTCGATCGACGACTGGGAGGGGATGGTACGCGATCATCTGGGGTTAAGGACTCGGATTGTAAATCCTACCGAATGATGTAGGCAACGACTGGCCGTGACTGTCATATAAAAGGATGGCACGGAACTACATGGACAAAGGTACCTACGCCGGTACCTTGAAGTGTCCCGCACTGACTGATGGGATGATATAGGGAGGGATCAAATTGAGACAACTAGGTCTTTTGTTTGTTGATAATAGTGGGACGAATTTGCACGGATCAACTCCAAAAGTTCTCCATTCTTTCCATCTAGAAATCGGATGTCATCTCGAGTACATCGGAGGTTCAAACACCTAACCTTCACCTGTACCCTTCCTCCTCCTTCGGGTATAAATCCTCTCCTCCCCCGTTTCTTCCTCAACTCCTCTTCTATCTTCATCCTTTCACCGATTACTAACAAAACCATTCGCTTCAATTGAGCGCATCGCAGGTCTGACTCGGTTGATGAGAACTACTAGCATCGGATTTGGAAGCAGCCGCAGCAGACACTATCGCACATGACGCCAGGGGCTCCCTCTGTCACAAACTCAAAGTAACGCCGGTTCGATCACTCATCATTATCACTCTCGTCTCAGATCCTACCACTGCCTAGACTACTAACGCACACTCATACGACACTCAATCATCATGGAGCAGTGGGAGCTTCCGGATCTGCGCCCGTCAGTCGGCTATCAATTCCAGCTTCAGAGTAAGTCCCGCTTTACCATTCATCATCAGCCTTTTTTTGTGACAAACCTGAGATTTAACAAGTACTAGGCGGTAATTCTTTCTCGGAACACAGCGGACTCGCATCCACCTCTACCCCAGCCCCCGCCAATTCTACACGCAACGGCAACGGTATCAGCACCCATACCCGCACCAAAGCCGTCACTTTCAAGCCCTTGAGCTATTACACCTTGGATTCCGTCAAGAAGAGACACAAAGACACGGAACGTACACTCAACAATCTTCTTGAGATCTCTGAGAGGCAGAACAACAGGTATGCTGAAGACATCGAGAAGCTGAAGCAATCTCACAAATACTTGGCTAGTTTGAAGGAGTTGAAGAGAACGGTGGATAAGGCTCACGACAAGGCGGATCGTTTGGCGGAGGAGCGACAAAACTGGATGAGCTTGGTGGAGTCGCTGCAGTTCAAGAGCGTGGAAGATGAGACGGAGATGGCATCGGAGGACTCCAAGACTTCCGTTGAGAAAGAGTCTAAACATGAGTTTGAGCATGAGTCTGAGAACGGATCTGATGATAATTTTCTGAACGATTCTGACTATGAGTTTAACGATGACTCTGAGGAGGAGTCTGAGGGTGACTCTGAGGATGAGATTGGAAAGGGAATCGGAGAGGATGATGAGGTTTAGAACAGCGGCATAAGTCCAGGGAGGCTACCAGCAAAACAGCAGACTTGGCGAACCCGATGGACTTAGCAGACTCAAATCATGATGAGCAAGGAAAATCATGCCGCTCGGATTTCGAGAATCACCTAGGCAGAGACACGACTTGGAGATACCTACCTACCTAGGGATGAAGATGAATTTGGGATAACGGGGATCTGAGGGGGCGGAGAACTCTGAGCAGGACTCTGAGGAGGAAGAGGACTCGGAGTCCAATTGCTCCGAGGATGAGGATGATTACTGAGCCGGCAGGCTTTTGGCTGGCAGGTTGTAATGGTGAGATTATGGGAAGGTAGATGGACACATGAGGATCTAGTATACACTGCCTGACTCGCAATACTCTGATGGATTGGGGAACGTATCGATTTCACAAATTTGCTCATTTCATTGCAAATAGACGGTTTCTACGTTTGACTTTAACTATGGGTTGTTCATCATCCTCCATCTGTGGCATTATCACAGGATGACTTCTTCCTCTTCGTTGTGATGGCTGGCATCAACTGTCGTTGAGGTTCCGGCACAGGGCCGCCCGTCGAGGTAGATCCTGTTGAAAGTCCATGGCCTGGGTACCCATTAACTGGCGCTTCTTTCCAGGTAAGGTATTTAGGCTGCTCTGCATGATGGTTTCCATTCCTTCTCTTCCAATTGACAACTCTTCCGTCGCCTGCCTTCCAAACCTGGAGCAGTGCAAGAAGCGCCTACAAAGTATGCTGGAGCTTATGGTAGGGTTTAGAGACACATCTAGAGATCTCGTACACACAGACGAAAACAGATGCAAGCTGATGATTGTTATCTGAGTTTGGAAGATGAAACAGGGACCGTATTACAGACACTTTGTTTGCCTGTCTTTTCATCTGATTCTATTCTGACCGCCTTCATCTGAATAAGTCATTCACAGACTCTTGTTCACTGCTAGCTACTTGTCGCCATCTGGATAGCAGTTCATCCCACCAAGGATTCTTTAGGGGCCAATGCCTTAGTATGCTTCGAGAACGAGATCTTTCCCATTTCCAACATCTACAATCTAGAGGTTTATATCCTACTTCTCTGGCAACTTTAATTCACATCGTTATATCCAACAACAACACGTCCTCGCTTACACCGAGTCGCTCTCAATGACAGATCACAACTTGATCTTTCAAACACCCAATTCCTTTCACTTTCTATCTTAACTCACGGTACCGACCTTGAAGTATCTCACAATGACTCACTCTCGTCCACGTATCGGAGGCGCGAGAAAGCCTATACCTCAAGGTAATAAGCTCACTTCCTTTTCCGACTTCAGTCAAGTATTGTCATCACCTGAACCTAATGGACTGTTCCAGCTTCACTACTTATTACCAAACCAGCTGGCGTTCGCAAGCCCAGTCCTCGAGCAAAACCAGTCGTAGATAAGACGGCTACACGGCCTACGACCTGTGCCTACGCATGGCAAGCTGCAGTTGTACTGAAGGATGAGGAATCGGAGGAATCTGATTCCTCCAGTGAATCAGAATCCGATTCCTCCGATTCCTCCGATTCATCAGAGGATTTGAGTCCCATCCACCGTGGAGCGAGACCGAAGGCGTCCGTTGCCCATCCTAAGCTCAAACCAAGCGCCCTCCCCGCTCCCGCTGCCCCAGCCCACACAGAATCCGAAATCGAAAACCTCATGATTATTGGCCGTGAGCAAGTTGAAAAAAAATTGAAGGATCGCATCAACGAAGAGAAGGACAAGAACCGCCTGCTTGAGAAGCAGATGACTACGTTCGAAAACTACAAGAAGTACCTTGCAAAGCTGAAAGACCTAGAGGAGGAGCTGACCAAGCTGAAGGAGGAGAGTAGCTTGAATGCGACCATAGTGTCGGACCTCGCGGAGGACTTCCGTAAGAGCACGATGGAGTGGGCTGCGCTGTTTGAGAAGTACGCGGGGGACTTGGGAATCTCGGTTTTTGACATTCGTAGATTGGCTGATGCGTGGTGATGGCTTGGAGGGGGTGTGAGAGGAGGGAGATGTCGACTTTTGGGGGGATTTTGGGACATGAAGAAGGAGATGACGCCGGGACAGGGAGCTTATAGCATGGTCGCTCTACCTGCTTCTTTTCTCTTGCTGTTATAGCTGCTAGATATGAGGACAGATGGCAAAGATGATAAGGTCAACTAGGCACCAACGACAGAATGATAGTCTTACACATTTGATATGACAGAGATGGAATGACAAACAAGCTACCACATACTGGTGGGAAGGCTTCAATGAAGCACCACACACATATAGTCTTATGTCCTCTCCATCCGCACTTGAAAATGTGCCGTCTCTTGATTTCCGTTGACAGGTAGCCAGAACCCTCCCATAAAAAGTGTGACTCGCCGACGAAACCTCCCAGTCTGTTTGGAGTGATCCCAAGTCATCTCCATCTCTTCTCAGGAACAATACGCAAGCCTCTAAATCCATCCAGTTCTTCCTGCTGGCGACAGTCTTACTTCGCGACTTCTCCCACCATATTCCCTGGCTTCCTTCAACCATCTGAGAACTCACCTCCTCCTCAACACCAACACCGGCAACTTGTGAGACCACAGCCGCCAGTATCACTTGTCCATTTACTTTCATTGTTCTCAAAGCAAGCTTGCTACATTAGATATCCGTCAACAAACGAATCGCGGATATCTCAAATACTCCTCAGACACTCGCCCTCTGCTCCACCAAAACGCGCAGGGCTCACGACCGCTGAATCCAGATCACCATCAATATCCTGATCCTCATCCTTGAGTATTCTATCATTACCAAACCCAAAGCCAACACCACGGTCTCCCAGCGAACATCACGTTCTCCAAGCGAACACATCCATAATGCAGCGCTGGACCTTCCCCAGCTTTCGTCTTTCCGTCGGTAAGTCCCCTACCTACCACACCAGACCCCCATACATGAATCCCAACCTCACCATCCAGTCCAATCTCCAATCACCATCCCCTCTCACCTCACCCTCGATTGCTAATCAACTAACATCCCCATGCTCCCAACCAGGCTCCTACACCAAATCCCATCCCAAACCCACCCATCACCAACAAGTAGAACCCCAAACACACCCCAGAACCAACATACAGGCCTACAACCCCTCTCCCAAACACATCGAACGCGAACGAACCCTCCACTCCCGCATCACCAAACTCAAAGCTCACAACGACCAACTACGGCAAAACATCGCCAAACTAGAATCCCAAAGCGCTTACCTCCTGCGTCTCAAACAGTTGGAGAAGGAAATTGAGCAACTAAGAAAAGAAGGGAGAGAACTAGCTAGACGGGAGGAGGAAGTGAAGCTTGTTGTGATGAGGGAGCAAGAGGAGGATGATGGTTGGGTTGGGGGTGAGGAAGAGGATAATGGTGGGGGTGGTGATGATGGGAACAATGGGGATGAGGCTACATGGGAGCGGACCAGTGATGAAGGGACCTTCTGGGAGGGGTCGGTCAGGAGAGAAGCAGAGGACTTGAAAGAGGAGCGAAAGGGAAGGGTAAGGGCTTGGCAGCTTAAAGTGGAGGAAGAGAGTCTTGATGGGAATAAAGACGAGGACGAAGATAACCGCGAAGTAAAGCAGGAGGCAAAGGACGTGGCTAACGATTCCTTCGATAGGTGGGTTGAAGGGATGGAGTTGGTGAGGGGTGCTGAGGCTTGGAAATAGTTTGGATTCGCGTTTGGCGGTGGAGATTTAGAGAAGGGAAGTGGAAGGTTACTGACGATTGGGATGGCTCAGACTTGGGGAGTGAATCGATCTCTCATACACCAACGACAGAGAAATACAACGGCACTTGCGCCTGGAGATACGCACAATGTTGAAGAACAGGGCTAGAAGCAAAGGCGCTAGAGATTGAAAAACATTTTGGCGCCGCCAAATGCTATGATCGAGGAAACTACCTAGGTAAATTATGTGCTGAACTCGTCATCGTGAACATGGACTGTGAAGATGATTGACAGTGATATACTCCCAGCTCCAATCGTTATGTCCCCAAGTAGCTTGAAAACACAAGGATTATTCCCAGATGAAATCGCACAACGCCTCCAGTCCCTGTAAATGTTACCCATGTGTCCTGTGCCAACCAATTTACCCGTTGACATCCATATGTTCAGATACCGTCCTCCATCCATGCCAGCACTTAACACCAGTTGTAGTGTACGATCGAAATAACAAACCCTTGAAGCCTCCCAACCAAACAACGAATAACCCATGAGAATAACAGCGACACAATGATATCACAGACACATTGGAAAAGAGAACACCACCCTTCTCCCTCCTCACGGCGACAAAACTCCCAACCCCATCCCACTAGCCGTCCCACCACCCGCACCGTCACCGTCACCACTACCTCTCCTCCCTCCCTCCTTCCCCTGCTGAGCCTACCCAGAACCCCCTCTCCCAGCATCAATTCTTCCCGCACTCGGACTGTCAGACCTCGACAGCGAAGCAGAACCAGTTCCACTCACCCCATGTCCACGACTCCAAGGCCTATGCAAACTCCCCATTGACATGGACGCCATTGTCGAAGGCCTCCAAGGTCCAGGACTACTTCCGCTTCTAGCTCTCGTCCTTGTTCCTCGAACCCCTCCTCGTGCTGTAATCGCAATACCAGCACCAGGTATAGGACTAGATGTGCCAGCATTGGGATTCGCACCGGGGACTCTGGGAGAAGCAGGAACGTAGGGCACAGGTGAAGTAAGTGTTCGAGGCACTGAACCCAACGGAGTTCCAGAGGGTAACATAGGCAATGAGGAATTCAAAGGAGGAGTATTGGGATTTGGGTGTGGAGACTGTAACCCAGGCGAAGAAGAAGTCAGCTGATGAACAATCCTTTTCCTCCTGGCGATTCCCAAACCCGTAGCGGTCGGGGGCGTGGGCAGCATGGTTGGCGGTCCCATGCTGGAGGTATTAGGTGTCGTTCCAAGCCCAGCGTTCATAACTCCTCCCTGAATAGGCGTGGCCATCGGTCTTGAACGTGACTGCTGGAGTTCCCATGCCAATCCGGAAGCAACCGGCGACCCAGGCGGCGGAAAACCATGTTCTTGTCCCGTCGGTCGACCAACAACAGGGGATCCAGTACTGACATCAGTCACTGGAGTGAAAGGTGATGTAACACCGCTGCTGCTAGGAAACTGGAAGATGGTTCCGTCGCTGAGGAGGATGCCTGCTCCTGCCCCTACTCCCGTTCCAAGAGCTGGGGAGGATGAACTTCGCTGTTCTTGATACTGCAGCAAGGGGATTGATCCAGGAGCTGGAGTAACAGGTGAGCTAGCCACCGCGGAGAGTGAGCCAATGGTGGTTTGTTGTGCTGGAGTAGACGGCATGATAGAAACGGCAGATGCAGGAGTGCCAGGAAACTGTCCGCCCATGTTCGATATAGATGCCATCAAATCTGGACTTCTCGCATGTTCCTGGCCTTGCGTTGCACTTCCAGCAGTAGTGGTTGAAGTGGCTGAACTCGCCAATGGATGTTGTTGCCCTGATCCAGAATGCTGTCCACTCCCTCGTCGTGATCTAGTTGGGAAGGCAGATGGACTCACGGATTGCGATCGGCCGCTATTCGCACCAAGCACATTCTGAATCCGCTCCTTTGTCTTCCTTCTCGTTAACCCTCTGCCCAGATTCCGCCAGAGGATGGTGGGCGCTGGTTGTGGATGGGGGGCTGAAGTCGAAGATGCTGTGGTGGCCGTCGTTCCAGGACCGGTGGAAGTTGGCAGCTTTTTATGGACATGGTCACCGGCCGTGGGAGATTGGTAGGAAGCCGAAGCACCTTGTTGATGATGGCCATAAGCATGCATCTGATTCTGGTCCCACCGCGAATACCTCGTGTCAACACCTGAACACGCACTCTCCATCCTAGGCGAGGGTTCGGTTTCTGTGTACGACGCTGGTCGGTGTTGCTGCTGCTGTTGTTGAATCTTCTGAGGTAGTCGACCGGCGCCTGACCCAGTAGCGTTGATGTTGATGGGCATCAGAGGCATCTGCAGCTGCATGGATGAAGGCCTGTTGCCCATGCCACTTGCATTCAGGTTGGTGCCGGGAACTGTGGGATTGCTGTTGTTGCTCATCCCCGATGAAGGACTTCCAGCAGCCACTTTCCCAGTGTTCACAATCGGCCTAGGCTTCGATGTCCCCGTTAACATTGGCGAAGATGACGAGAACCCTTTGACACTCTGCACCGATAACGACAACGGACTTGGACTGTGATCACTTGCTCCGCCAGATGATTGCCCGATCCCCGATGCGGACGATTGATGTGACGGATCCCTAGACATCGGCTGGGAAGTATATCCTGTGGGAACTTGACCCTGGACCGCACCGGGAACTATCAGTGGTGACGGCCCTGGACGAGTCGCAACCGTGGTATACGGCAGTCCGGTAACAGGGTGTAGCGGCGGCGGCGCATTTGTGGGTCGATTGGGCTCTTGTCCGAGGGTCGTATACCTCGGAGAATGATCCCATTGGGGTAAAGGACCAGCAGGCTGGGAAGACGAGAGATAATCCGCGTCTTGATTCCAATCGACCTGACTTGACGGCTCGGAGAATCGATGGGCGGCTTGAGACGGGCGAACCAAAGACTCATCGAGATCAGCAGTAGCAGCAAAAGAAGGAGGTGGAAAAGGAGAGGAGATAAGGTCAGCCGGACTCGAGCGGGATGTTCGACTTCCTCTAAAGATAGGACCAGGGACGATCATAAGCTCATCTTCCTGCGGCGCTGATCGAGAAAGCTGCTGACCCTGAGGCATGCCTGGCGATGTGGAACCAACCGCCGTTGGTACACTCTGCACACTCGAGCCAAAGCCCTCCCTCAACCTCTTCAACCATCCACCCGGAGAAAGCAACCCGCTCGATGACGGTGTAGGAGGAGAGAGATCGCTCACGGCAGACAGCCCCCCTCCACTCATCTTCCTAGGCGGCATTGGCGGCGTCAAGCTATCACCGAATCCTCCAAGACCTCCGTCAGTAACCGCCTGAGCCTGAGCCTGAGCCTGAGCAATAACAGCTTGCGTGCCCGCGACCTTCTGTCGAATTTTGTTCAGCTCCAGCTGCGCTTCACTCTGTGTCTGGGCCGTCACCCGCCTTGTTCTACGCGGTGGCCATACAGGCACAACACTTGTACTTGCACCCGTCGCGGGCTTCCCAGCCAACGATCCAACAGCCACATCCAGCGTGACTCCCACTCTTGGATCGCCGACAGTTTTGACATCTCTCCAGGCTCCGGCACGGTCGTGATACCGACGGGCTTCTTGCTTCTTGATGACGCGGTGGTTGGGAACGACGGCGTTCCACTCCTCAAAGAGTCCTGTTTCAAGAGCGGGCGTGGGAATCTCCAAACCGTCTAGGGCCGTGTAAACACTCGGGGTTTCGACGATAGGTGTGAGGGCTGCTTGGTCAACTTCATCGTGAGAATGTTCGTCAACAGGTTCATAATAAGCCGAAACAGCGGCTGGGGCCACAGTCCTTTCGTCTTCCCGCAAACCTCTGATTTTGTTATCCAGTCCAGGAGTCGGGGGCATCACTCCTTCGGTCGGATACGGCGCCGTGGCTTCCATCCCCCTCTCCCTCCACGAGAACGGACCCGAAGCTGCCTGACCTGCTATCGTCATCGTCAAGTTCGACGGCCTCCGACGACCCGAAGCAGTCGAGAAGTGGTAACTACTAGGCGACTCCATCGGCGTGAACCCCTCATCTACCGCGACGCCCCCAAACGCCCTCTCCCAGCTTCCCGGACCGACGTGACCTTCCTCTTGACTCTCTTGACTCGGCGCAGTCGTATCATTCGAATCTGTTTCCGACATACTACTACCCTCCTGGCTCCCACTATTATTTCCATCAAACACACTTACCACCTCCACATCTTCAACCCCCATCAACCGCTCCAGCCGACTCAGCTCCTCCACCCCCCTCCCGGCCTCCTCTACCCTCTGTCTTACCATCCATCTCCACTTCTCCAACCTCCTTTGGGGATCCCTCTTCTCATTGCCAAACCTCTCAATATTCTGCAGCAACTTCTGGCCATGGATGCAGTACCTCCTATAATCATCCGGCACTCCCACCCTTGGACCCTCAAACTTCGCGTGCTCCTCTCCAACTTCTCTTCTAGACGCCTCAATACGCCTATGCGCCTCGTCAAAAGACCTACACCAAACCGCCGCAGCCCTCTCGATCCAAGCCACGGCCGTCTTTTCCTCCGCCAGCGTCTCGATGAAAAACGCTTGGATAACGGAGTGAATCCGCAAGAGGTCGAGCGAATCAGAGGAGTCACTGTAATTCCGGTGTTGATTCGTGCCAGGAGTGTCGAGACTGCGGTTGGCGGAAGTGCGAGAGCTGACTGTGCTAGCGCTGCGGGTCAGGGGTGTGATGCTGTCGTGGGACTCGGTGGTCCGCTCGATGAGGGCGAACTTGATAAGGACTTTGAGGGTGTTGTTGAGCGTCGTCTTCCTATGGGACGCATCGCAGGTTTTGACGGGGGCATCACGAGATAAAGCTGAGAGGCCTTTTAGGTTGGGTGTTAGTATCAGCCGTTTGATTATTGAATCGGACCTTTTTCTTCCATTTGGAAAGGCACTTGCCTTCCAGGTTTTCTTTTCATGACTTCATGAAAAATGTTCTTTCTTCTGATACCTAGCTGACTTTATTGAACTCCCCCTTACTCCATTACCCCCTTCCACCTCCCAAATACCCCCTTCCAGCACCTTCGAAAACACCTCTTCACCCCCTCCCCTGCTCTTTCAGGAAAACAAGAACAAAGAGATCTCGAAAAACTTACCAAAAACCACCATCTCAACCGGCACCAACTGCTCCCACCACACCAAAACCCCCACCAAATTCAACGCCGCCACGTTCCCCCTCGCATCCAACTGCTCCCTGACCTTCTTATACGCATGCAAGTTGCCCACCTGCTTTGGCTTACTTGCCCTCCACCCCGCCAGATACCTCGCCAACGGCTCCCTCGTCGCTTTCAGATGCTGCGCCGCGACATGGATCATGAGCGGTAACCTGCCCATCAGATTAACCAGCTCCAGCGCTCGTTTCTCTTCTTCTTCATCTTTCCACCCTCCATGTTTTCGGTCGTTGCCATTATATCCCGTATTATTGGCGGAGGAGGTAGAAACAGTAGGCTTCCGGTCCAATTCGGTCAACAGCAGTTCCACTGCTTGTCTGGGAGTCAACAATCCCAACTCCATAACCTGCGGATTATCAAACCTCGGATCGCCCGTAACCGCCCTCTCCGTGCTCGTATAGATAATACTCGTGTGTCGTGCATCCGGAATGAAGTCTGACAAGCCTGGGATATCGAACTGGATCCCGTCCAACACCAACAACCAGTCCCTGTGGGAATTAAACCACGCCTTGACTACCTGCACCATGGTCTTTGCATCTTCCCTCAAGGCTTCCAATCCCAATCCTAAACTTGTTACGTGGTTGTTGGAGGTGGCATCAGTAGTAGTACTACTGCGCATAATCTCCATTCTGGCAACCCTCCAATAACCTGATTCCACCTCCCCTCTGCTCTTGGCGCGCACCCAGTACACGCCGCCGGGGTAGTGGTCGCGGTAGCGATAGACGTATTCGCGCGCTAGATGCGTCTTGCCGCCGCCGGGGAGACATTGGATTAGCACGGCTGAGGTGCCTTCGAGACGGCGGCGGCGGTCTTGAAGCATTTCGTGGAGGCCGCGGAGTTCGTCTTCGCGGCCGACGAAGAAGGAGTTGGGCCGGAAGGAGTCGGGGTGGATGAATAGGGGTTCTGCCTGTTCAAGGGAGGAGGTTTGGGTTTGGGAGTGACGGTGGGTTTGTGCTGCAGGTGAGTTTGGTTGTGGGGGTGTAAGGGGCGCTGGAAGTTGTGGTTGAGGTTGGATGTTGGTGGTAGTAGTGGTGATGGGTTCGTCGTTGTTCCCATCAACGGGCTGGCTAGGGGTGATGACGCCCGGCTCCAACACCAACGTAGGTTCGCGTGTGGACAACGTGGATGGTGACGGAGACGACGGCAAAGGCGTTAAGAGCTTGGGACGTCTCTGGTTGCCATGAGGGCGGTGTTGAAGTAGAAGAGTCTCATTACTGTAATTGTCTATATGACCAACGCCAGAGATAAATTCCCAGCAACTAAAATCAGCCCATGTTCCTGTGAAGACTAAAGGGTGTGTATGCGACGAAAGATGCAAAGCGCTCTAGGTATGAAGATGATGATGTGTCTCCTCCTCTACTTCTATCGATGACCAGACCCTCGGGCTGCCATTCGCCTGCTGTCCAGAACCAGGAGGCGTAACAGGAAGGGGATAAGGAGCAGGAAGATATCGGCCGTAGCCATAGTCATGGTCATGGCCATAACGGGGTGAGGGTGATCTGCGGAACCTACCGATGGAGGGAAACTGCTGGTTGCTATAACCCGGCGAATGCGAGCGTTGCTGTGATATCTCGTTAGCACCTCTTGATCTACCCCTTCAAAGGAAGAGAAACCTACGTAGGACTGCATAGCCTGCACACTCCTCTCATAGTACTCATCCGCCGCACGTTTCTTCCGCTCCTCCTCCTCTGCCTCCCAGCGTATATCAATGACTGCCCTGGCCACCGCCACCCACTCCGTAATGGCCGTTGACACATTCCTATACCCAGGCGCGTTCTGTCCATCAAACTTGCACATGCCCGAGTGTGTCGCTTCAATCCCATAGTATATCACGCCCTGCAACTGCGGACTAGCCGAGTTCGCATCCACCACGAGCGCCCTTGTTCCTCTCAAATCCGTGGTATGGTTCTCATGCACCATGTGGATCTTGAAACGCTGGTAGATGTCGAGGAAGTGGTTGTTGATTCCCTGCAGGGTCTCGTTGTCCTTCTTGAGTGACTTGAGCAGGACGGATTCGGTTTCAAAGAAGCGCCGGGGAATCACAGCGTCCGACATGGCTTGGAGCATGCGACCCCAGGTGGCCAAGTCTGAGCCTTGGTGTGGGGTGCCGAGGAAGATGATGGCGTACGTAGATACGAACACTGAGCGCAGGTCTTCTTGCTGATGGGCTCGGATATCATTCGAGTAGAGCAGTGCCCTTTTGGTTACTATACCTCCCAAACTGTGCACCACCCATATTATCGGCAGTCTCTCGGTCCCTTCACTCTTGCGGAACGATGTAAGCGAGGTGACCAGAGACTGGGCGTGCTGGTGAATGAAGTTGTTACTGGGGGTGTTGGTGCCCCTTGAGTAGACGTCGGCATTGTAGCCGTAAACCAGGACGTTGGCATGCTGGTTTTTCAGCTCCAGAGACGCTGGGAGCAGGTCGGTGGGCCAGAACACGCTGTTGGCAGCCGTCCATGTTTTCTCTGGGTGGCCGTTGAGGCCGTGAACCAGGACAATGTCCGCAGTGGCCTGCGGATGGGTATAGACCGCTGTGACTTCGAAGCGCGAGATTTGCTTGTTGACACTTCCCTGTAGGTATCATGTTAGCCAAATATCTCTTGAATAGTTCACATGCCATACTGTTTAGCCAGCACAGGAGAAGGCTAAGAAAAAAACACATACCATGCTCGTCGTGAAGTCAGGCCGCAGGGCCAAGTGAGATAGGGAAGAAAAAGGGTTCTGACAGCCGACTGAAGCTTCACTTCCACCAATAACCGCAAAGAATTGTATGAAGACTCGAGGCTGAAAGAGTCAAAGTTGGTTGCAAGAAGAGACAACCGAGAAGAATGAGTCGAAAACAGGAAGCTCAGTCGTAAGCAACCGACACTGAGCAAGCCGGCAGATAAGGCAGAGTAAGAGGGCAAGAATTATCGCGTCAGTCCGCGGGCCCGAAAAGAGGGTTCGGGTGCTGATGGAGGGGGGGCTTGTGACTCTTTTGTCAAGGCAGATGTCGTGTGGCTATGAGGGACTCTTCTTGACGATACGTGTTTCAGCTTTTTAGGCAGGCCACTTATACGGCAAGTTGATGGAAGGAGCCTCACCTTGGTTAGGTACTCTCCTCGGTGGGCAGGAACAGAAAGGAGCTGCGAGATTGTAACTAACGACTTTGAGATAGTAAGTTGAAAGAGAGCAAGGCAGTTGATAAGAGATCTCAAAAACAACCCGGCTGTAGTGCTAAATAAAATGGGCTTTTGAGATGGGCGGATGGGTGGATAAACGGGATCTCAAAGTCTCAAATCGCGGCCGCTAAAGTGAAATATCCGAGGTGCAAGTGCAAAGTGTGACATGACCAGTCTTCCTCCTCGTTTCTCCAGTTATTGCCATTTGCCATCCGTCATCAACCACGAGCTGTCTTCAACTCCTCGGAATGGTCAATCATGGTCAACCGAGCCGGAGAGGCCTTTCAAGTTTCCTTGATGTTGGTCAGTCTTGAACATCTTGGCCGCTAGCCACTATGGAGATCCATCACGAGCATGTGTATAAGTGAGTCTGTCCTACAGTCAGTTTCTCTCAGTCTCTCCTCGCTTGAGGGATTGACAGAGTGAGTGACTGTGACGATCCATTAGGAACTCCGGACGAGTGTGGCTGACGACTGACAAAATGCGAACAGAAAGCATAAAGTTCCTAATATGATGGAAGGAGGAGTTGCCGTTGAAAGTGGAAACTGGAACGTCGTCGTTGAATGGTCCGTCACGAGGCCCGCCTATCGAGTGACCGAGGGGTGCAATCGTGGGCGGCAGCTGAGCCCCCCTGCTCCCCCCCCCCCCCCTTGAGCCCGCTTTTGCCCCCTGGCTGTTTGGGGATCTTCCCTCCTCCATCAACAGACTTGATGATGTACCTTTCCGGCACAGTCAGGGCTTGGAAAATCTGATAGAAATGGATGGCTTCGTTTCCCGGTTTTTTTCTTGGAATCATTGCCGGATATTGTACGCCATGGGGAACCTGTGATGTGATGTAGTGTTGTTGACATTTGCAAGTGCCGCGGATCGCGGGGCGGGAGGAAGGGGGAAGCGAGGCCAGGGGTGGTGAGTGCGTGCTCACTACTACCTCTACTGACAGTGTACACCTGCCTGCTGTCGTGATAATGCCATGCCATGCATGTGCCGTGAGACGGAATGCACTGTACTTCAAGGCTGCATACATATGGATTGCCACTGCAGTCTGCCGCCGTCGTTCTCCAGGGCAGAGACTCTGAGTGATAGGTGATGGATGAATGACTGGATCTCGGTCAGGTGTGTGTGACCATCCATAATGCCCTTCAACATTCCATCCCGTCTTTCGGTTGTCCCTGCTGTGCTCTTTCTTGAATTTCGACAAAAAGTTCAACCGAGCTTATTGATCTGAAGTTCCGACTCCCATCGTCGCCATGACATTTTTGCTAACAAAAGAAGACTTGAGGGGCAGCATCATGCTTTCCCTTTTCGGACCAGTTACTGGTCATGCACGTTTGAGGCACAAGGCAGACGGGAGGCAAGGCAACGAAGGAAGCCTTGGCGGCAATATCTCCCCATCGCGCCGGCCCCTTTCAAACCCGCCCAAACTTGTAGGCAACCGTCCACGCCGTACAGTGACATGACATGGTAACGAAGTATTCAGGGGCCAAGACGGCGGCGGCGCCGGGTATCACTGGCTAAAAGAGATCCAATCGATACTTTGGCAACATTGTTGACGCTGTGATACCTGACTACCTTACCTGACAGAACTCGCAAAGTAAACTGAATATCCGCGCTGAGCCTCAACATCATGTAAGATGATCTATGGTAGGGCAGGTCTGGGACTAGCACAGCCTTGCATGTTGACGTTGACGCTGTTCTACCCTGACCGATAACCCGTTTTGGGAATCCGATCGCCTTTTTTCCTTGTGAGACTGGATTGATGTGAGAACATAAATGTAAATTGAACTGCACGATTGGACAATCCATGGGACAAAATACGTATCTGTTCTTCGGCATATCGAGTTTGGGGCTGAGGTAATGGTAGCTAGTAGACTAGACAAATAACGTACATTGACTAAGTATTTGTCTACTTGGGTAAATGAATCGTGATGATTCACAGGTATGGGCAATATTTTCCGCCAGACGAACACTGAGGAACCTGTCACGGTCTCGTCTTAGTCACCGTCGTGATACGTGCCCTCGTTTCTGTTGCAATTTCGATTTCACCGGGCGAGGTCCGTTGTTTGGGAAGCAAAGGTATGGATGGGGTGTTTTAGGTCAATAATAGACAACCATGGATGCTTATCGGCCGGGCTTTGAAGGTTCGTTGTGGTAACTTTCCTTCACCGGACCGCTTGGCCCAAAGCCAACACTGCTAAGTCCCGAACAGTCAACATTATCATTCTTGGCCCGAGACTAATCCAGCAAATTGAGGGCCAAAAAGGTCTCGAGATGCCAACAAGACGCCGGCGGTGAATGAGTCCATCCCACGCCCGGTGAGAGGTTGCACCATGGAACTCTAATTATAAGCGTACCACCGGGTATCCGTGTCCTTGGTTAACCAAGTCATCCGGGCTGTTTGCTCTGCCGTGCCATGCCAAAATCCAGTTGAAGTCAGACGGTTTGAACAGTGGGGGTCATCATAGCCTCTGACTGCCCAAGCGACAATGCGTGTATTGTTCCACCATGGTAGGCAAATCCGTGCTGATACTCGGCATAAACTCTGCCGAGGTCCCGGATCGGTTGAAGAGTGACATCATGCACCTGGACGTATGGGATTACCAGGCCCCGTCCATCATCGAATTTGCAGGGAGAGGTAGTATACCATGGCTGCGCCCCTTCGTGTCCTCCTTGGCCCAACAACACGAGCAATAATACCCGTGTTGCCCGTCTCTCAATCCTTGGGCGGGAGCATAAGCACGTACTCCCTCGTACTGGACCCGAACTGAATCATGTCCTTGTCTCTCAACTCCAGGTACCGACTATCCGGTACCTTGTCGCCATTGAGTTTGGTACCGTTCGCACTCTCCAAGTCAATCAGATACGGCTTCACGCGGCCGATCTTATCCCCGTACTCGTTTCTCTTCTCCGTATAGCGGAACTGGATGACGGCATGCTGCTTGCTGATGCTCGGGTGCTCGGCCGGCAAGTCGGCAATGGCCAGGTCCCTCCCAACCAGCCAGCAGCTGCGCGTATGCAGCTCGATGGTGTCAATGACCTCGTCGCCCTTGAAGACGTACAGGCGCCACTGGTCGCGCGGTGCGGGCTTGCGGGCCTCGGGTGGCTCGTGGTATTTGAGCGTAACCGTGGTCCCGTCGGCTTGCGTGACCGTGTTGGACTGGGCGGCGAGCACGCCTGTGTTGCCAAAGTTCGGCTTCTCCTTGGGTTTCTCGGGTTCTTCGCCAATGCTGACAGCGAAGCAGTCACCTTGCGACGGTAAAGGACCGCTTCGCTTGATGAGGCTGCGCTTGTTGTCGGCATTGTCATTTGGTTGCTGTGTTTCTCTCCGGGTCGAGCGTCTTTCTGATGAGCGATGCCTGCGGCGGTCTCTGTCTCTTTCCCGGTCTCTGTCTCTGTCTCGATCCGAGTAGCCGTCCTTGTCCTTGTCTTCGCGCCGGCGGTGTCGTCTGTCACTGTCGTCCTCTCCTCGGTCTCCACGTCGGTCCCTGTCCCTTTTCCGCTCCCTGTCTCTGTCTCTGTCGCCGCCTCTTTCTCTCTCCTTGTCGCGTGGAGACCGCGAACGCGATGGGCGCTTTTTGGTGTCTGGTGATCTGGATCGTCTTCGGTGATCTCGCCTTGGAGACCGAGATCTGTTGGGGGGCCGGTCCCGAGAGTGCCTGCGATGTCTATGGGAGTCATCTGCAGAGTCGCGCTTGTTGTGTCGGCTGGTGCTTGCGCTGTCTCTGTCTCTGGGGGCGTCTCGATGATCGTCACGGCGACGCGACCTGTGGTCGTCTTCTGTACGTTCTGAGCCCATTGCTGTCGTTTGGATCCTTTCTGAATGATTAGAGTCGGGTGTTGGTGGAAAATTAGTATCTTTCTGGAATAGGGAAGCAAGCTTAGTGTAGTTTGGGGGCAGCCTTTGTCGCGTGCTCGGCAGGGCCCTACTATGACGCTAGCAGGAGTTACATTCTGCACTAGCGTATCTTGTATGCACCTCTACCTCTAGTGAGGTGAACTACTATAACCCTAACCCCCATATGCCTCTCTTGAGACTTCTCCGTCATTGACCACCCGACCACCTTCCAACTTGATTGACGCGGCAGTCTCTCCCATGATCTGAACTCCCCCCTTCAAGGTGAAACGGGTCAGGGAAAGGCACACCTGAACAGCTGGATATATCGGAAGTTTTTGACTCCTTGGATTGTCCCATGACCACCCCGTTCCTTCCAGACTGTTCACTCGTGAGCTACTTGACCACTACCCACTGACCTCTGCCAATCTATGGCCTCTAGTGTACGAGAACGAACGCAAGATGGGGAACATGTCTACTAGGTACCTCTACCTACTTTTGCACAATTTGATCATCCTTTGACCTTCACTAGAGCTCAGAACAATGAATCTTGTCAAACCAATGTCCGATTTTTCCAGCCTACAAATAATAAGGTATCTTTGCAATCTCCCCCATGTTGAGGGAATGGTCCCTTTTCCATGTTCCCCGGAATCCACCTTTCGATGGCAGCGGAGTTTCAAGTGGAACTCTGGGGACGGCATTTGAAATCAAAATCCTAACTCTACAGAATGCTGACTGAATTCCCTGACAGCAAATGCGCGTGTACCTTGATTATTCTGTAGTGTACCTAGGTACATAACCCACCTTTGTCAATCTGTTAGCTCAGCAAGGGTCCTGTCACGGACTGACTTGCCTTTGCCGTGAAGCGGCCAAGAAACAGGCATCAGCAAACAGGGCAACAGTGAGTCGGGCAGGAGTGACAGGCAGGCACCGGGCACAGGTACGTCGGGTCGGGTACCTAGACACATAGGTAAGTGGAAGGGAAGCCTCCAGCTGCAGGTGATTGCACGGTACCTGCCTCCAGCCAGTAAGCACACTAAGTAATAGTACGTAATGGCCTCTAACATCTAACCTCTACTGTAGCTGGTACAAAAGATACTGTACTCTATTCCCCTACACTAGCATCCTGTACGGGCCTCTGCCCGCTTTTAGGGAGTTTCCGCCCGGAATCCCATCTTGACCCAAAACAACAAGCCCACCCAAGCAATCATCCCATCTCGCCCGACTCCCCTTCATTCCGTCACATACAACTTCAAGTACATATTGCCCGGCATCGTCTTCCGCGACCGACATCGATCAATACATCTGCTACCCCGCGCTACTCGGCATCAACCCCAACAATCTCGACTCTCGACGTCACTCCCAGGTTTCTCTGCTGCTGAGTCATTCACCCATCGACGCCCTTCCACCACTCCCGGCCTCGGTCATCCGCTACGGCATCCGGGTGGCGAGTCCAACATCTTTCCTCGACTCTTACAAAGCCGGCACCATTCCTCCCCAAACTAGAAAGCGGAAGGCCGCTGAGGCGACGACGTCCCCCATCTCGGACGATACTCTCCCAAACAAGAGAACCCAACTCGCCTCAGCCGGCAAACAACACCAGGGCCCCGAAGCCGCTCCCCCGACTCCCCTCACCACCACCACCACCTCGCACAACGGCAACGACGACAGCCATAGCGACGCTGACCCAGCCGCCGACGACGCCATGGACTCCGAAGACGATTTCATGTCCAACCTCTCCTCCGAGGATGACATGATGCAGGAGGATGACAGCGACAACGACATGTCTAATCCCGAGGGTGAGACTACTCCTACGATCCTACTTCTCGCCCCCAGACATTTTGCCGTATACTGACCCCGCGATCCCGCCAGACTTTGACTTTGACGACGAGCCCGATCTGGACACCGGCAATAAGGACTCCCAGCAGGCCAAGAAGCACAACTACCTCGATATCGACTTCAACGTGTTCCGCCCCGAAGACATACGGAAACAGCAGGATGGCCTGGTCGACGAGGTCAACATGATTCTCGACATCTCCAAAGAAGAAGCGGCCATTTTGCTACGGCACTTTCGGTGGAACCGGGAGCGTCTGATCGAGGACTACATGGACAAACCCCGTCAAGTTCTCGATGCGGCCGGCCTCGCACAGACCGCCGCCGACAAGCCCCGGCTGCAGGTCATCCCTGGCTTCATGTGCGATATCTGCTGCGAAGACGGAGACGGCCTCGAGTCCTTCGCCATCAAGTGCGGCCATCGTTACTGTGTCGACTGCTACCGCCAGTACCTATCACAAAAGATCCGTGAAGAAGGCGAGGCCGCCCGTATCCAGTGTCCCGCCGACGGCTGCAATCTCATTATCGATGCCCGCTCGCTCGACATCCTAGTCACGCCCGAGTTGACGGAACGATATCACGAGCTGCTCATGCGCACATACGTTGAGGACAAGGAAACCCTTAAGTGGTGCCCCTCGCCTGACTGCGCAAACGCCATCGAGTGCGGTGTCAAGAAGAAAGACCTCACCAAGGTGGTGCCCACAGTGTCATGTCTGTGCGGCCACCGCTTCTGCTTTGGCTGCATCTACACCGACCACCAGCCCGCTCCTTGTGAGCTCGTGAAGAAGTGGCTCAAGAAATGTGCAGACGACTCGGAAACGGCCAATTGGATATCGGCCAACACCAAGGAATGCCCAAAGTGTAACAGCACGATCGAGAAGAATGGCGGCTGCAACCACATGACCTGCCGCAAGTGCAAATACGAGTTTTGCTGGATGTGTATGGGGCTTTGGTCCGAACACGGCACGAGCTGGTACAACTGCAACCGCTTTGAGGAAAAGAGCGGCGCCGAAGCCCGCGACGCTCAGGCTAGGTCCCGAGTCTCCCTGGAGCGCTACCTCCACTACTACAACCGCTACCACAACCACGAGCAGTCAGCCCGGCTGGACAAGGATCTATATGTCAAGACGGAGAAGAAGATGGTGGAGCTCCAAAAGCAGTCGGGCATGTCCTGGATCGAAGTCCAGTACCTGCAATCTGCATCGCAGGCGTTGCAGACGTGCCGGCAAACGCTCATGTGGACCTACGCCTTTGCATTCTACCTGGCACGCAATAATCTTACCGAGATCTTCGAGAGCAACCAGAAGGACCTGGAGATGGCAGTAGAGAACCTGTCTGAGATGTTTGAGAAGCCGGTCCAGGACCTTGCCCAGCCCGGTCTCAAGGTGGACATTATGGACAAGACGTCGTACTGCAACAAGCGGCGCGTCATCCTTTTAGAGGACACTGCTGAGAACCTTCAAAAAGGTAAGACTTTCGTTGCGGAATTTGTTATACTCGTCGGTACTAACCCAGCCGCTAGGTAAATGGACCTTCAACATTGATCTGGTCAGTGGTGCGCCTATCGTGAATCCCACGAGCACTCCTGCAACTACCTCTGGCAGCCGTCGCTAGGACGACCTCTTGGCGTAGCGTGCTCATACTGTACGAGACATGTTGGGAGTCGGGACCCGTGTGTTGAGACGCAGGCCTCGGGGATGATTTGGCCCACCCCTCGCACCAAGGCAAGCGAATGCCGTCACCTACGTGATGGAGCATATTCTTGATACCAGCCGATTGATGGTCTTGGGCACTGGGTGATGCAAGCCATGCTCGAAGAATATCTTTAGCACACTTTCCCTTTGACATCTGGAGCCGACGAGGAAGCCAATCTTTGGGTGTGTGCCTGGAAAGAGTGGAGCACAGCAAGGAGAGCACTCGCAGCCGATCTCATCGCACAGCTTGTCCTTGCATCTTCTCGGGTCGCACTATGAAGGCGGGCACAAACGAAAGAGGTGTCTCAGGGGCGTGTAGCGCAGTTGCGAATGGTGAATGCCATCGGGAGAATGACAGAAATGGCGTTCTATGGGCGTTTTTCTCCCTACCAAAGACCGCCAGTATCACCACAACCACCACAACCGTCTTGATCTAAGCCTACGCATTTTTAAGTCGGGAGACGCATTGGTGTAGCGGATGTTTCTTGGCTTGATTCAACGGCTTTCCGGCATTGCACAGGCATACATATGCCGGAGTCTGTCGACGGGCGCATAACGTCAAGGGCCTTTCATGATTGGGTTGGGCTTGACTGCACCGCAAGGGTGAAATGATGGGGTATTTGCCTTTGGAACATGAGGATGAGAAGACCACAGGGAGCATGGATGGACGGATGGATGGATGGATGGATGGATGGATGGATGGATGGATGGATGGATTGGAATGCGGTAGGAGTTTTACTCGGATTCGGGACATACAATCATATACATGTTTTTAAAGCGCAGCTTTTTCCTTCTCTGTCGAACAACATCTCAACGGGCGCTGGGAGAATGGGTAGATACACACGCGACATTAGCATAGCTACCTTGATCATTTCATATACATAACCTCTATTAGATGATGATGATGGATACTGCACTGGGTTCGAGTACGAGTGATGAAAAGAGGAAGATGTGAAAGTCAGCTGGGGAGATACAGACGATTGTTGATAACTATGTAGAATACCAAGTGATTATAATGTGTGTCTGAAATTGTATCGATATGATGCTGGTTACTGAAGACAGGAGCCGCGAGATGTCAAATGGTGTGGGATGAATTGTACATAGTGGTTTCCCCCAAGTAGATTTAGTGCTCCACGACGGACTAAAGTGTTGGAGAGCGAAGACTAGTTAATATTTGTTAGTGTACTCTATGTGAGGTCCGCTATTAGGTCACATGTAGTAACAAATTCCTGGGCATACAAACAGGAACACTGCAATAGTGAATATTATTAAAGTCGTTCGAGTTGTTAGTCCTTGGTAAGAGAGATCTCCAATTACATAACATGACAAACGATGTCGCTTGACCTAAAATCTCGGACCAGGAACATGCATGTAACCCCCGGATCCAACTAACGCCCATCCCATCATCCGCGCGTAAACACATTTCCCCGCGGCCCCGTCGCGCCCGCTTAATGCCGAGCAAACCGCGGAACAACAAGGATACAATGGGGCCTTGGGGACAAACTCTCTGCCGATGGAGGGTTCCGAAGCGGCTACCGGGCGGGCCAGGGCGGGAGATGATTAACACGCTGGAGCATGGAAGCTGGAGGTACCGTTGGAGTCACGGCAACTAGTTCGGCCTCGATTTAGTCCACTCAACCAACACCACAGACTATGTGGCGGAAGGACAAGGGGAGAAAAAGATGGGGAAAAGGGACGGTATGTGATGGTAACAGCAAAGAGCTACCGGGAAGAGCTTAAGGATGCTGCTGTCTCGGGTGTCCAGCAAGGTGCTCATCCGTACATACACAAAAGTGGTGTAGAGATGGTCTCACTATCACTGATAGATACATATCTCCCGCTGCTGCCGCATCTGCTTCTTGACTCTTTTCTCTCCTGATCTTCTTCCTTTTCTGTTTCTCTTCTCTTTTTCAAGATACCCTTCTCCATTTCCGTTCTTCCCCTTCTCCCGTTGGGTTGCTGTCCTGTTGTCGAGAGTCAGTCGAACGGAAATCAACGGGTCAAGTCAACACTACCGGTTCCGACACAACGTACCTACGTACACAACCTCATCTGCCGCTTCTAGCCCGCGTTGCTATTTATTAAATAACCCGGACGAACCCCTCCCCCGCGAATCACCCACCCAGGGCACCGAACTCACGAACCGACATACGATTGACGATTGACGACTATAATAGTGTAGAGTCAGTACTAGGACTCGTCCAGATAGACTAGTGCTCTAGCCTCGTTCCGATTCTTCGAGGTGAAACTTCCCAAGGTCCAGCTGCTTGCCGACCGAGTTTCGATTTCCAAAGAAGCTATTTAAGAGAAGCTTCAGTCGCCGTCTCTGGGGGAAATAGAAAGCCTGTGAGAAAAGAAAAAAAGTCACACCAATCACCAGCCAAAATGTCTACAGCTCTTCGTACGCTGAGGGCGTATGCCAAGTATGGCAACAACGTAAGTAGTTGTTCCTCCAGCTTCTTCCTTGCGAGCGCAACCACTGCGAACAACGGAGACCCCTGGTTCGGTTCAGTTGGCATCGATAATTGTCAACACCACCACCAAAACACCACACACCTTTTCTTCTCACCACCAAAGAACTTTCACCTCCCCCCCCAAAAAATGGGCATCACCAAACTAACAAACACCTCCAAAATGTAGCACTCCGCCCTCCTAGCGCGATGCTTCTCCACCACCATCCGTCGCCCCGAGATCAACAAGCTCTACCCCTCCGCCTCCGCCGCGCTCGCCGACATGAAGCCCAACAGCACCCTCCTCTGCGGCGGCTTCGGCCTCTGCGGCGTGCCCGACACTCTCATCGACGAAGTGATCCACAAGCCCGAAATCACCGGTCTGACCGCCGTCTCCAACAACGCCGGCACCGACACCTCCGGGCTCGGCAAGCTGCTCAAGACCAAGCAAATCAAGAAGATGGTCGCCTCCTACATCGGCGAGAACAAGACCTTTGAGCAAATGTACCTGACCGGCGAAGTCGAGCTGGAACTCACCCCCCAAGGCACGCTCGCCGAGCGCTGCGCAGCAGGCGGCAAAGGGATCCCCGCGTTCTACACCCCCGCCGCGTTCGGCACCGTCGTGCAAACGGGCGAGTTGCCGCTCAAGAACAAACCCGACGGCACCCCGGACGTCTTCAGCTACCCCAAAGACGTCAAGGTGTTCAACGGCAAGTGCTACCTCCTCGAACACTCCATCGCAGGCGACTACGCTTTCGTCAAGGCCTACAAGGCCGATAGGCTGGGTAACTGCCAGTTCCGACTGGCCGCGCACAACTTCAACGGCGCCATGGGCCGCAACGCCAAAGTGACCATTGTCGAGGCCGAACACATTGTCGAACCCGGCGAGATCCCGCCCGAGGCGGTCCACTTGCCGGGCATTTACGTGCAGCGCGTGATCCAGAGCACGGCGGAGAAGAATATCGAGAAATTCACGTTCGCCAAGGACCCGAATGACCCGGAAGCGAAGAAGTCGGCTTTGGGAAGCGGCGAGACGGCCAACAAGCGCGAGCGCATCGTGCGTCGGGCGGCGAAGGAGTTCAAGAACGGCATGTATGCCAACCTCGGAATCGGCATGCCGATGCTGGCGCCCAACTTTGTCGAGGAAGGCGTTGAGGTGCTGTTGCAGTCGGAGAACGGCATTTTGGGCCTGGGCCCGTACCCGAAGAAGGGCGAGGAGGACGCGGATCTGATCAATGCTGGTAAGGAGACGGTCACGCTGGCGCCGGGAGCGGCTGTGTTTGGGTCCGAGGAGTCGTTTGGCATGATTCGTGCTGGACGCATCAACTTGACGATTTTGGGCGCCATGCAGGTCAGCGCGAATGGCGACCTGGCGAACTGGATGTTGCCGGGTAAGGTCAAGGGGTTCGGTGGTGCTATGGATTTGGTGAGTAACCCGGAGAAGACCAAGGTGGTGGTGACGATGGAGCATACGGATAAGAAGGGCAATGCCAAGATTGTCAAGCAGTGCGCGTTCCCGTTGACGGGCAAGGCTTGTGTGTCGAGGATTATTACTGAGTTGGTAAGTTTTTACCTACATGGATTGGACCGCCTCCCCTTGGATATGAGACAGAAGCTAACAGATGGCAATAGGGTGTGTTCGATGTCGACTTTGGCAAGGGTCTTACTCTTATTGAGATTGCTGATGGTGTCACTGTTGACGAGATCAAGGCCAAGACAGAGGCTCCCTTTGTTGTTGCCGATGATCTCAAGCCCATGCTTTAATTGACATGGTGATGATGAGTGAAGACTGTATGACCAGGAATGTGGTGAAATAGGGTCAGGAGTTGTATATACTGTCCTATCAGGTTTTGGATGGCATCAAAATACTTCTTGTTCTCCTTGGGCCGTTGAATATCACAGGGCGTTGTAAAAGACGGATCTGGTGATTCCTTCAGTACGTCTCTTTGATAGCTGTGCATTCCGACGTAGTTCATTACTCATATTCTATATATGTGAAACTTTTGAACTCCACCACTCCCCATCATCATCATGTATCTCTTTCCAGTCTAACCCAAGACCTTGTCGGCCAACGACACAGCGGTACCAGTGTTATCCGGCTCGACGGCAATTTTGGTGACCTTTCCGTCCTCGACAATCATGGCATAGCGCTTGGAACGGTCGTTGCCAAAGATGGCCTTGCTGTCGAAGGTAAGATCGAGAGCCTTGGTGAACGATCCCGAGGGGTCGGCGAGGAAGCGGATCTATTCACCGTGTGTGTCAGGGATGGTCGTGAAGAGATTACGAAGATGGGAAAATAAAGGGAGAAGAACTTACACCAGACTCGTCGGCGGGGTCGAGGTTCTCCTTCCATGCCTTCATGCTGTTGTAGATGTTAGCTTTGTGTCTTTAGGTAACATGGTTTGCTTGCCTCATTATCTTGCTGTTCTTCCTCTCTCCAGTTTCTCCTTGTACTCTTCACCTCCTTTCCCTTGCACCTTTCGCCCGTCTTTCCTTCCTCCCCTTCCCTCCCCTCTCAACCCCCAACCCCCCAGCCCTATGGAGAGCTGAAAAGAAACAAAAATACTCACACAAAAGCATCATTAACCGACACCACCGCCTTGACATCAAACTCCTGCGTCTTGGGATGCTGGATATAGCTCGGGATATGGCTCGCGCTGCACGCGGGGCTGAAAGCAGCGGGGACACCGATAATCAGCATGTTGCGGGCCGACTCGGCCTCCTTGCGCAGGTCGACCTTGTTGCCGGGAGAGCCTTCCTGGAGGAGCTCGCCTTCGGGCAGGAGCTCGCCGATCTTGACGAGGCGGGCGGGCGAGGAGGAGAAGAAGCGGCTGGCGGCGGCGGGGGCCGAGGCACGGGCGATGGGCGACGCCGTGGCGCGGAGGGCGGTGCGGGCGAACATTTCTGCTGTTGTTTTGAGAGTGGTGTTGGTGGTGGTTTTGGATGGATGGTAACTCAATTGGGAGGAAATGTAATGGGGGGGGGAGGAGAATGGATTGATGAAATTGGATTCAGTTCCAGGTCAATTCGACTCGACTCAACTCGATCCGACCCGACGAGGAGTGCCGCGCCGTCCCCCTCCCCGTTAGCGGCAGCTACCTAAGGTACTACGTACAGGGGGGGAGCGGCAGGGGTTGAAAAGATAGCGCGGGCATGACATCACCGGGGATGGCGAGCATATTGAAGCTCGGTATCAACACTACCTCTAGGTAACGCTGTCGATAAGATATTTTGTTTCAGTATCAAACGTAATATGGTCTTGTATGAATTGGACGATTCTTTGAGAGCAAACACTATTTTTTCTTTCAATGGGCACTGAGACCTGGGCTATCGCTGAGCTCAATCGCGGACATCCCGTCAGAGCTCCAAAGCTACAGGGGCCAAGCTCCCAAAGCTCACTCTAGCGGATACTACCTCAGGTACCCCGCTGACCCGGAGTTCGGATCGAACCATTTCGCGAACTTCAACCGCCATCACCACTTACCTTTGCTATCGAATATCAAACCAATTATGTTACTTGCAAAGAGCCTATAGCACCAAAGCCGAGTCAAAACCGAGTATCAGTACAGCCATCCATGTCCACCCAAAGAGCCCTCTGGTTCGTCGCCAGCAAAGCCAGCAAAAAGCCCTCACCACAAGGCACTCAAGCTGGCACCATCTATATCCACTGCCACGTCAAACCAGGCGCGAGCAAAACCCGCGAAGGCGTAACATCCATAACCGACGAAGCAGTCGAGATATGTGTCGCCGCTCAGGCGAAGGAGGGAGAGGCGAATAAAGCTGTGGTCAAGGTTTTGAGTGAGGTGAGTTTCAGTTCCCTCTGACCTGTTTGTTCGCCTGTGCTATCTTCCGCCACAACCAACACACCAGGCCGGAATTACCTTCGGCCCATCTCCCATGAATGATTACATTGCGAAAGAGCAAGCAGTAGACACAACTCCTAGACTAGATGTACCTAACTATACAGGCTCTCAATCTCCCCAAGTCCAACCTCGAGATCACTCAGGGTCTCAAGTCCAGAGCCAAGACCATTGCTGTTGCTGCCCCTGGGTCGTGGGTTGGTGGTAGTGGCGGCGAGGCGGAGTGTCTTGAGACGGTGAAGGCGCATTTGAACAAGGCGACCGAGGCATAATTCCATATGGCCGGATAATGCTCTCAAGACAGCGAGCGCCATCTGAATGATCGTACAATAGTCGACACGGTTCTGTATGTTCCCGCTCAATCTCGGGAAGCAAGGGTATACAAAGATCTCCACAGACCAAAAGTCGTCCGGTTGACCCTTATCGACGCGGAACCAGCTCCGCGCATCCCGATCTTTCTTTAAACGCGGGTATCGATATCATATCCTCATTAATCATAACATGCGTCAATCTCTGGATGGCAGCATCATCGTCTTCACCTCAGGGCCCTCGTACCAACTCGCCCGTTCGATGTACTCCTAGTAATCGCACCGCGGCTCGTCGTTCGAGAACTGGGCGTAACACCACGACCAACACCTCTTCCACTCGTGCCTCTGGTCGTTCCAGACGGCGCGGGCACCCTCGACTGTCTTGGCGCAGGTGTCTTGGGCGCCACCAATGGTTTTCGCGGTGTAGGGCCGGAAATGTTGGAGGTGGGGTTATCGACAAAGGAGGTATCGGTGGTCCTGCACGCAAGAAAAGCAGATGTTAGCAAGAATGGCCATATGGAAAAGATACGGTACGCAGGAAAACAAACATAAAAGTAGTCTCCCCATCAAACCCCTCCCTCTCCTGCTTGACTGTCGCCATCCCAGCCCCTGTGCCCATAATCCCAGTCTCCATGTTATTCTGTCCCTGGCCACCACCAGCAGCAGCCTCCCTCTCCTCCTTCTCCTTCATCCTCTTGAAGCTCTCTGTCAACGGTCCCTCTGGGAAATCCACACAAAACGCATTCATATTCAACCCGTACAAAAAGCTGGCAAAGTCCTCACTGAACCGGGCCAGGCTTTCGTGCATCAGCTGGAAATGCATCATGTTGGCTTCGAGGTCCGCCATGGCGTCGGCCAGCTCGGCGAAGGCGGGTTCAAAGGCGTTGAGCGGAAATGAAGCGCTGGAGCCATGGATGGATTCGCGGGCGGATTCGCGTAGGGAGGAGCGCGAGGAGGGGCGGAGGGGAGTTGTTGGTCGGTTGGGGGTGCGAGGGCGGGAGGTGGAGCGCTGTGGCGCGGGGGTTTGGGAGTCGGGCATGGTATGGTGTTGGCCGTTTTTGTATTTGGAATCTTTGACTGTGGCATACAATCTCTGAATAGATGCGATGTTGCGCCGGTTGTGGTCTCTCTTGTGTTTACGTTGGTGATAAGGTACCGAAGATGGTGGGGGAGACGCGAACACCAAGCAGTGAGACGCGACGGCATTAATTGACCCCACCATTCCGGGTCTTGTCCCCTCTGCGAATGTAACATTGTGACGCCAAGCTTTACGCAAAAACCATAAAGAGGCACGTGCACCTGCCTGTAAAGGAGCAGCACTGCATGGGTCGGGGGGCCATTTCATCATTGGTGACCATCATCGATTTGTCCCATGAGGAGGGGTTCTCGCTTCTCCCTTCCATCCAACCAACCAACCTTCCATGTTCCTCTTGAAGATGGATGATTGCTGCCCAGCTGACTGACGGCTGCGATCGTCTGGTCAATTCCAACCTTGTCTGATTGAGCCCCTTTTGTTACACGGCCTTCTGGGATTTTAGTTGGATCTCGGGTTGCGAGTCAGCCGGGACAAAGACAAGTCGCCAATATTGGACGGTTCAAGTTATTGGAGACTAGCGTACCCAGAGGTAGTATGTTCCTGATCACCTCTGGGAGTCTCCATGAAGAGGATAATGTACACCAGCGAGGGAATTCTCTGTCTTTTCTTCTCTTCTTCTTTTCTTCTTTTCTTCATCTCCCTTTCCAGGTCAACAATGCACTGTGATATTCAATGGTTCCCTTTCAGCTCTCCAAGTTGCCCCACCTGTACGGCCAAACGGCCTAGGATTGATGGAGGATTTCCGGTTTTCTGTGCCGATTAGACACCGTCTTTTGCCTTCTCCCATTGCCCGCTCATCACTGACTTTTGTACCTTTTGCCTTTTGATCGACGCTTTGGTAACAAGGGGCTTTTCATCCCATATCCCCGGCCATCTCTCACCCAGAAATTGCGCTTCCAAAAGCTGACACGGATCGCCCGGGGATTAGCCTTGTCCGGCCTTGTTAATTGGGGCAATATCATTTTCACAGCCCCCATCACCACAAATCCCTTTCTTCTCCTTCTGTACCCCTCCCCTCCGAATCTGGTGACCACTTTGGTGACCGCTTTCCTTCTCGGTACATACCCACCTACCTCTACCTACCTTACCCTACTACTGTACCTAATTACACTACACGACCATCCCGTCCTAGGTGCCGCTGCTGCCGCCTTGCCCGCCCTTCCGCCCTACCCGCTACTACACGTGCGTCCAGTGTTAGTAGGTACATACCTCTTCATATCCTCTGTCAGCCTGCTGTATCCCAATTCCTGGTATCTTACCTTCTAGACTCCATTAAAGGGAATGAGACTTCCACCGCCATCCACGCCGACCCAACTTCTGCGTCTTCGGCTGACGAGATCCGCTCTGTCCAGATCTGCTGTTTCTACCACTTCCCCCCTTGCTACCTCTACGTGTCCTTCGAGTCAACGAACTGTTAGCACCAAAGTTAGGGCAGCGGCGATCACTCCAGGTCCCCGGTTCCAATCCCTCCTCTTCCCTCCTTCCACCGCTACCACCACCACCACCACTACCACCACTACCGCCTTCTTTAGTCGCAACAACCTCTCGACTAGTACTACTACCGTCAATAAGCGAGATCAAACAGTAAAAACAACAGCCACCTTTGCGCCTAGTACACCCGTTGTCCTTCGCGCTTCTGTAACCGGTCTCAGTCTCCTCTTTGTCCTTGGTCTAGGTCTCGGCTACGGTATCACCGGTTTTCTCGGTCAAAAGTCTACCGAGCAGCAGGAACTTCCGTCCGAAGCCTCTTACACCACTATCAAAAACAACATCCAAGACATTCTTGACGACGAGTCCTCCTCCACAAACATGTCTCGAGAAATCGCCCCCGGCCGCCCCGGCAACCTCACTCCCGAGCAAGAGGAAAAGCTCAAGCAACTATGGAAGCTGATCTTCCAAGTCTGCGGCGTCTCCTCCCCTTCTCCCTCCTCCGAGTCCAGCGCTCCCGCCGCTACTTCCGACGATGTGAGCATCAAGGGCGATGACAAGAAAAAGAAGAGCAAGCTTTCCATGTTCTCGCGCAAGCACAAGAAGGACTCAGACGACACCACCACCGACAGCGCCTCTACGGCCTCGGGTTCCACGCCCGGCTCCCCCGCCATTGTGCTCAACGCCTCCACCACCTCGGGCGACGACGACAAGTACAACCAGCTGTCCAAGTTCCACGAGACGCTCGCCTCCCAGTCGCCCGCCGCCATCCGCGAGACGATCTGGTCCATGGTCAAGCACGACCACCCGGACGCTCTGGTGCTGCGCTTCTTGCGCGCGCGCAAGTGGGACGTGGAGAAGGCGCTGGTCATGTTCATTTCTACCATGAACTGGCGCGACAATGAGATGAAGGTGGATGCGGACATTATGCGCTCCGGCGAGGGCGGGGCGGCGGAAGCGGAGAAGATGGAGGCTAAGACATCGGAAGAGATTGCAAAGAAGAAGCTGGCGATTGATTTCTTGACGCAGACAAGGATGGGCAAGAGTTATGTCCATGGCGTGGATAAACAGGGGCGGCCGATTTGCTTTGTGAGGGTGAGACTGCACAAGCAGGGCGAGCAGAGCGAGGAGAGTCTGGAGAGGTACACGGTTTATCTGATCGAGACTTGCCGGATGCTGTTGCAGGGGAGTGTTGATACCGCGGTAGGTTTTTGGATAAAAAAATTTGGCGGAAGAAGGACATGAGCTAACGGGATGACATGACAGACTATCGTCTTCGACATGACTGGCTTCTCCATGGCCAACATGGACTACGCCCCCGTCAAGTTCATGGTCAAGTGTTTCGAGGCCAACTACCCCGAATGCTTAGGCGCCGTGTTGGTGCACAAGGCGCCATGGATCTTCCAGGGTACGTTTTTTCTTCCTTGCTTCTCCTCATCGCCCCTATTTACTCGCATATACTAACGTGTCAAACCCACAGGCATCTGGCGCGTAATCCGCGGCTGGCTCGACCCCGTCGTCGCCAACAAGGTGCACTTCACCAACAACATATCGGAAATGTCCGAATTCATCTCCCCCGAGAAGCTTCCCAAGGACCTCGACGGTCAGGAAGACTGGGAGTACAAGTACGTCGAGCCGATCCCCGGCGAGAACGACAAGATGAAGGATGAGGAAACCATTAGCAAGCTGCAAGCCGCGCGCGCCGAGCTGGTCAAGAAGTACGAGGAGGCCACGCTGCAGTGGATACAGGCTAGTGGTAACAGCGAGGAACTGAAGAAGAAGAGGGACGCGATTGCGGAAAAGCTGCGGGTGGATTACTGGAACCTGGACCCGTACGTGAGGGCGAGGAGCTTTTATGATCGCATTGGAGTCCTGCTGCCGGGCGGGAAGCTGGACCCGTTTCTTGAAGGGAAGAAGGATGGCGTGAGCGGGATAACAGAGGGTGTGGCCAAGGTGGGGGTGAGTGACACGCAAGCCGATGATGTTGACTGATTTGGTTGTGAGAGTGGTGTATGATGGCCCCTTGTTTTTTCTGTTTTGGAAAGTTGTATTTGTTTCATGGATATATAGGATTAAAGTGTTTATAATAGATGATGAGATGTGGCTGGGTCAGGACATAACATGGCAGCATGGTGGTATATACGGTAGAGCTATAACGGGAGGAGAAAAGGCGTAAATGAGGACAGCTTGGATCAGTCTGTCACAGACACCAACATATCTGTCTTCTCCCGGGACTCCCATTCAACTTCATTTCATTCTTCACCTTATCCATCCATCTTTCTGTCCGTCTGTCTACAACTTCTTAATCTCGGCATGCAACTTCTTCAACGCCTCCATGTCCGTCGCCTGCTGCGGCCACCCGACAATGAGCCCTTCCTTCTCGTTGGGCTTGGGAATCATGTGCACGTGCACGTGTCCGACCTCCTGGTGCGCCAGCTTGCCGTTGTTTTGCAGGATGTTGTAGTCGACGGCGCCCGAGGCGATGGCGAGCTTCTTGGCGATGGGGAGAAGCTCGGCGAGGGAGTCGTCGGGGATGTCGGCGAGTTTCTCGCCGTGGTGTTTGGGGATTACGAGCTGAGTTGAGGATGTTAGACTGGAGTTTGGGGGGGAGGGGGGAGGGGTGATGAAAGGGAAACGTACGGCATGACCGCGGGAAAGAGGCTGGATGTCGAGAAAGGCAAGAGTCTTTTCGGTCTCGACGAGCTTGAAGCAGGGGATTTCACCTGTTTATTTGTTAATGACTGATTGATGGTTGAGTAGGTGAACAGCTGGGAATAGCTTGGGGATGAGCTCTTTTACTACTCATGACATGACATGACATCTCTTTACACTACAACATCATATGATGGATGAGGAAGTACTCACCCTTGACAATCTTGCAGAAAATGCAAGTCGCGGAAGAAGCCATTTTTCGTATCATTAATTTGGGATAGTAGACAATATGATGCCTTTGGGGGAGAAGCTGGGAGAGCAGAGGTACCTAGTTCTAGGAGTAAGTGAGAGCTTCAAATACAAGAGGAGGAGGGGGTTTCCGCTTGACGTAGCTCGAGCCTCTCAGGTACCGTAGCTTCTACATTCAGCATTGGAACTGCCACGCCATATCCGCGATTCGGCACAAGGGATCGCGGTCAGATGTCACTGCTACAGGGGCTGTACGCGGGGTGCGTTTCCCCGCTGGTTACCTATCGATGCGACCATGGCTATAACCCTAACCCTACATCTACAAGTTACCTAGAGGTTGCGGTAGATGTAGCTTCTTCGATAACGTTGAACTACTAGCTGAAGAGAAAATGGAAAGCGAATGAAGATTCAAGTGACGAGCTACTAGCAATAAGCAATTTAGTCATATTTACCTCGCTACCTGACTCTAGAAAGACGAAACACCAGCCAAGCTCGGGGAAGAAGTATGGTTGGTTCAGCTTCCAAGCCAACCGCTCGCTGCCTAACACTAATTGGTGTGACTCCTCGCCGCGACTTGTTAGGGGCCTGTCTAAGAGAGCTCTTGGTCGCTCACAGCCCCGGAAAGCACCCCGCCATGACTGACAAGCCACCTCTAGGCAGGCCATCCCACTTAACGACATCATAGGTCCTGCCTCAAGACTGCCCTGTCAGCCCAAGTTGAAGGGGTGTGTCGCAAAACCACCATCATCTCAGTCTCACCAAGTTCGAGTTGCGACGAGTTAAATATCCGTCGAAACCTCCGTCACTTTCGCAGCGCTCTTCATCTAACAATCCCAAGCAGCAAAAGCCAAAAACACACCACAATATCAGACACACACCACCACACAATGACAAACTACAAGACCACCCCTCTCTTCGGCGGCGCCATCGTCTGCGACCTCCCCGAACACTTCGCCGACGTCTCCCGTCTGCGCCAAGTCCCCGACCACCAAGAAGTCTACATTGACAAAGACGGCTTCACCTCCATCATTGTCGAAATCACCGAGCGCGTCGGCCCCGACGGCCCAACCTCGCTAGAAGAGGACGGTCGCGCGCTGACCACCCACCTCGAAGAGCTCGTGGGAGACGACGTCGACACCGTCAAGGTGTGGAACACCACCGAGACGCGGTTCAGCAAGCTTGAGTATGTCTTTCTTCTTCTTTACTCTCTCTTTCTTTCCATTCTTTCCCCCTCCCCCGCTTTCCCAACTACTACTACCCCTGCTACTATCCAGCAAAACAGCCAACAGCTAACCAACCCCGAACTAACAAACAGTCCCTCAATCCCCGCCTACACCTTGATCGCCACCCAAACCCCCAAACAATCCGACGACTCCGATTCCCGAAGGAGCAGCAGGCAAGCCCCCGACTTTACGGCCCTCATCCTCACGCTCGTCAGACTGGAGCGCGAGAAGACGGATATCCTCATCACCATCAATGTACCGCACATCAAGGGCGAGTACGACGAGGAAGACGTGGATCTGGCGCTGGGCAAGCAAGGAGCGCTGCTGGGCAGGGCGGTGGAGTATGCGGCGAAGATTTGGGAGACTTTTGAGGTCAAGGATTGGGGTTTGTTTAAGGAGCTTTAGGTTGAGTTGGAGAGTAGGAGGGGATGTGGATTATGGCAAGATTGTATGGATGGGAGATGGGGGAAGAGGAGAATATTGGGTTTTTACTCCAAAGGAAAATGGGATTGGGTTGGATTAAGAAGTAAAGCGCTTGGACAAAGGGATACCTCGGAGGAAATAAAATGGGAGAGGAGGAGATTATTCAGGATGAAGGGATACCAGGAGAATGAATCACGGGGCGTTTGATATCAGGTCGGGTTGGCTACGATAAGAGGTGGATGAGTGACGATTTATCGGCTCCTTAGCAGAGAAGCGCTCTCACGCAGAGCTACGATATTTTTCACTTTTTCTTTTTTTTTTTTTTTTTTTTTTTTTTTTTTTTTGTTCTAGAACAGTATTTACACTTCACTTAGGTAGCGAACTGAATGTCCTCTGTTGTATTCGGGGGTATCAATATTCTTTGCATGTTCATACAAATAATCTACTTGTACAAGCACTGTTATGGACTACCAAGCACTACCGATGCCGTCCGCTCAATCATCCGCAGTCAAATCAACCACGTCCATTATCAGTTCGTCGTCGAACACATCCGGACTGTCCTCGCCATCGCCGTCTTCGTCAGCGACAACCTCCTCTACAACTGTAGAAAGCTTCCCACTCGTTTCCGCCAGCGGGGTTCCCTTCTTGTTCTTCTCCCTCCTCGCCTTCTCAGCCTTCCACCGTTCCGCAACCTCCTTCATCACCTCCCCAAACGTCAGTCTCGGTTTCTCAGCTTTAACCACCTTCATCTGATATTTGACAAAGACTTGATACTCCGACGTCTTTCCCTTTTCCTTCATCATTCCCATTCCTTTTAGTGTCCCAGCCCCGTCGCCACCAGCCATATCAGAGAGGTGACCACCTCCCTCACCTTGGTGATGTTGTTGTTGACCTTGACCTTGACCCCTCGGCGCAGGTTTAACCTGCCTCAAAATCCCCTTGCACAACCCACACCGATGTCTTTTGGGATCAATACTCTTCGAATGGCGTTTATATTCTGTGCCACATCCTTCTTTCCCTTGTCCTTTCCCTTTCCCTTTCTCTTTTACTTCAGTCTGACCACTGGTAAAAGAAGACCCGCCGCCGCCGGGAGGAGGAACAGGAACCCCATCACAAACCCACACATACCTAAACTCAATCTCATAGCCATGTCTCGTCGTGACTTCGACCGCATACCCGCCTTCCCATTCCACACCCTCTCCTCCCTCTCCTCCGTCTCGAATATTCATCTTTCCGACACCACGGTTCCTCCCCCCACCACCAGCACCAAACTCCGACTCGTTAACCTTCTTCGCCCAAGCTTTGAACTCCGCCCCATGCGGCCTCGCAGTCACCCCATCAATCATGAACACCGCCAAATGACAGAACTCGTGCGCAAGCGTATTGAATAGTCTCTCGGGCGTAGACAGGACCTTGGTAGCTAACTCGATGGAGGCGTGGTGTTTCACCGTCACCACTTCCTTCTCTCCTTCTTTTTGCTTGGCACCACCACCACCTGAGTGAGGGAGGCGAGTGGTGTTGGTGTTGGTGGTGGTAATACTCTCCTTCTTCCAATTCGCCCTCCCCGCCGTGGTGTTGAGCGTCTTACTCCATACGATCTTGATGCCGCCCGTTGAGGCGGTTAGAGCCGATAAGCGGGAGGAAGTCAGGCGGGCGTCGAGGAGTGCCAGGAAGTGAGTGGCGAGGGAGTGTTTGTGCGTGTCGAAGAGTTGGCGCGCAAGACGGGATTCGCGGGCCAGGAGGGCGGTGGTGGCTTTTGAAGGGCTGGCCGCCGGTGGGTTCTTCTTGGGGGAGGTGATGGAAGTACCTCTAGTAGAGGTGGCGTCCGAGGTGGGGGGTTTGGTTGACGAAAAGAGTGGTTCCTTCTTGGTGGGAGAGTGCGTGTCGTTCCAGTCGTCGACGAGTTCGCGAGACCAAAAGAGGTCGGAAGAGGGGCGGTGGGGGGTGGTGGGGATGCGGGGGAGTTTCTTGGGAGGGGATGGTGGTGGTAATGTTGTTGATGATGGCTTTGGTTTGAGCTTGGGGATTTTGGGAGGAGGGCTGGGTGTTTGAGTGCGCTTCTTCGTCGTGGTGGTGGCTGCTGGTGGACGAGACCGTCGTTCGGTTTCGGTGTCTGATGAGCTTTCGGGGTCGGAAGAGGAGGAGGAGGATTCCAGCTGGAGACAGGAGAAATCCTGCGTGACATCCTCCTCACCACAGGTGTCCTCATCGCTGGAAACTACCTGTTTCGCTGCTCTTCTTTGTTGTCTATCGCTCTCCTCATCATCGAACAAAGTCCGGCTTTGGGTGCCCCAGCTCGCATCCATCCACTTGCCTCTCGAGTTCTTCGTTGACCGAGGCTTCGTCGGAGAAAGATGACTCTCTCTGACTGCGGGAATCTTGGGCTTGTTGCTTAACTTTGAGAAGAATGCATCCAAGTCCTCATCTGAATCGTCCTCTTTGGAGTTTGATGCTGTGTTGGTACTCGGCACCTTCTTAACCATGGTTTCCGACCCAAGTTCATTCGACTCAGAAGACTCCTTTGACTGCGCAGTGTGGAACGACTCCTCAGCAAAATCTTCCAAATCTTCAAAGATGTCGATATCCTGCTCCTGGTCGATTTCCATCATGTCATTGCTTTTGCTGGCGCTTTGTTTCGGTGGCTGATCAAGACTTGCCGACGGCTTTGGCTCCTTATTCTTGGTTCCCACCATGTCCTTGCCTTCGCGGCGTTTCTGTGATAGGTTCTGGTCGCTGAAACGACTTTTGGTCGTCCTCACCACCGTCTGAGCAGTAACGGTGCTCTCGCCTACCCTCTTCACCTCGTTTACCTTCTTTCGATTCACAACCAGATTCTCAGCCTCAGAGTCACTGCCGTTCTTCTCTTCATCGCGCATCATCCCCAATCCCAGCCCGAATCCTGTACCAGCGGTCAAACCCCTCCTCTTCTTCCTAGCTGGCACCCCACCCTCCGCCTCTTGCGCTGGCGTCCACTTTCGAAAAAGGACATTGTCCGACACCGCACCCAGAAGTAGCTTCCGCCTCTTGACGCCGGCTACTGATGAAGAAGCCGCATTTGGTGATGTTGCTGATTCGATGACCGTCTGGTTCCTAGTACTAGTAGAGGCCGTATCCGTGGGAGGGGTCGGTCTCCTCTTAGTCGCCTGCAAAGGTGGCGAAACTTTTCTTTTCCTTTTGGGACTTGGCGGGAGGGCTGCGATATCTGGAAACTCCGAATCGGAGTTGGAGTCGTTGTTGGATTCCGGCTCAGATTCGGAGGACGATGAGAAGATTGTTGTCCGGGACCGAGAGGAAGATGGCGGGGGCCGTGATAATCTTGCCATGGTGTTGTGGTTCGCTGTTCTGCGGCCCTACAGTAACTGGCTCAACTGGATCTTATGGTCCCACTCCCTCGAAATCGTTGTTATTGCGAGACCTGTAGCCGAGTGAAAGCTATTGAAGGTGAGGTGACAAATATGGTCAATTGGATTCATGCAGATATTTCTGTGCAAATCTCAAGAAATGCTAAAAAACCACTTTTGGCTGCGTGCATTCGACCAGCTTAGCTTAGCTGAGCGCCACACAGTGATCAAAGGAATGCAGTGTCGCTATGTTTAAAGTGCTGTTCTCAAGCGGAGAATGTTGGTGATGTTTTTGTTTGGTTACCAGAAAAGAAAGCAATTGGTTGCCATGGGTGACGGGATTTGTTAGCGTACTGTTTCCAGTTAGCGTCAGGAACGCCAAGACCCTGCCGCCCGGCGCAGGTGAAGTGGGTGAGTGGGTGGTGGGCCGTGCACCGCCATTTGCCGGCCGGTGAACGACATTGCTGAACCTCCCTCCCACGGAACTTACTACCAAACCACGGTGAGGTTCAGTGTTGGAGTGACTCGTCCCCGATTCCATGAAGCGAGCAGCTACCTAATGCATCCCGAAATTTACAGATTGGTCGCTACCGCGTATCTGTCGCTTGATGCAGATCACGAATTGCAACAAGCAACCCCGAGTCCGAGTTTTGGCGTTTCCCTGTTTTCGTCCCCTGTCACTGATCACCATCCGGGCATCTGTTGTGTTCCGAGAGCGTTTCGTATTCCACACAAATCATGGCGAGAAGCTGTTTCATGTATACTCATTATATGACTATCCCACATCGCGACGGTTTGTATTATGTTGCATTCACCTACCCGCTCTTCCATCGACAATTTACTTCTACGTCTGTATGCACCGCACGTGGCCAAGCATGGCAGGCATGGGATAGGCGAATGAGAATTAAAAGCTTTGATCTTCAAATCAGAAAGGTTCGGCTCCTCCCGATTTCCTGGTAGGTAGTTTTGTTGTCATCGAGGTACCACACCATCTGAACCATCTGATCCAGAGTAAATGATTCAAACCGGAGTGTTGCCCGGACCTCCATTGGTGGCGATGGGTTCATCCGGTAAGCGATGTTCACTTTTTACTTGTTTCGAAATCTTACAGCCATTTTTCTTTTGTCGAGTTGTTCTACGTTTGAGAAGATATCCCCCCACAGGAGAAAATCACGATAACCTCAACCACGGGATACAAGACAAATATGTACAATATGTACTCGCACACATCTATTCACCTTGCAGACCACCACACAGCTGCGGAGATATCACCGTTGCCGATCCTCGCTCGCATCATGTGCCTCACTCACACCTTCTCACTCGTCTTCCCCGCGCAGATGATGATAGATAACTGTGAATATAGTATAGTATCTCCATCAATATCTTGATAAAGCTCGAAAACCGCACGAAAACAATCGCCAATATACCACACCCGCCGCCGCCTCATCCTCCCGTCGTGTCTCAAAAAGCTACGCCACTTAGAAAGCCCCTCCCTCCACCTCCTTAGCTTTCCCTGCCACTCCGGCACTCACAAACCGTGCTACCATGCCACGACATGCATCCTCCCGCCCTTCGTTTTTTTTGTGTCACCCACCTGATAACGTGATGCGGTTGTGTGACTGGGGTGTTTTTGTGGGTTGTGTCTTTTATTCTAGTGTGTCTTGTGTGTACACTAGTATATTTTGTATCTGGTGTCTTTGTCGGTGCCTCTGTGGCGCGTATGTACACTACACACCATCCATCCATCCTCCCGTGCTGACTGCCGGTGAGGGAGGGGTTGATTGGTAGTTATGTTATGAATCCGAGATTATCAGAAATGCGATGGGAGGGAACAGAACGGCAAAGGGGGTAAGATAGGTATTAATTTGTAGATGGGCAAGTCGGACACGGATGGAAAAGTTGACAATGTGGAGGGACTTGAGCGAGTGAGTATATCTGCCATACGGCTTTTCTTCAGTAGCCAGTGATCAAAGCGAGGCTTATTAAATCAAAAGATTTGGCGCGCGCGGTTATATGTCAGACAGCTTGTAGACCGCGGTCTGTTTCTCTACGCAGAGTCAACATCGTGACAGATATGCTACACCAACAACATATAACACATTTTGTGCTGCTCAAACTGCCACGTCTTTCCTGGTGACGCCGCCCCCTCAGGGCAGAGACAAAAATAGTTACGGGTTCGGAACAGGATCGGCCTATATAGTGTACACTACATACCAAAGTAAGTCTCCCCGGTGCTGGACCCATCCGATCCGGGCCCGAACGGAGCGGGGACCTGGATCCGGGACGGTTAAAACTTCCGAGTGGGTTCCTTCACTTTAGTGAAGTCACTTTAGTGAAGTACCCTTTGCATGATGTACGCTATATATATACGAGCCGGATAAAGTGACTGTATGTCTCGCTAATGTGACGGATCTCTAACCCAAAGGAGAAGACCACAGCTATAGTCCCACATTCAATCCCATCGATATATTATATCTAATGAATGTTAGCCAAGCTGTAATTTCTACTAAAACAATATGGATATAGCATTTATATAAAATTCTTATATTGCTACAGCGGGTATATTATTACTAGTAAGATTAATACGGTAGCGAAGGTCGAGATATTAGGTACGCCGATACGATTTCTATAATAAGAATTGTACTATGTTATTCCTTGCGAAATTCCGGTATGGCTGACATCCTCCTATACTATGACCTAGAAGTGGGAGCCTTCTCCTTTGGGTTAGAGATCCGTCACATTAGCGGGCATACAGTCACTTTATCCGGTTCGTATATATATAAGAAAAGGAACGGCCTCTCCGGAATGTTATCGATTGATCAACACAAAGTAAGACCGGCTGAAAGCGATTTTCGTTGCAGTCCTTCCATGCAGCCGAGCTGTGGGTGGGCATGGAGCGTCAGTGGCAAAAAAAAATACTAAAGGATCGCCAAGGTGCATGGAGCGGAGCGTTCGGCGGCGCTGTGTACCTGCGTCTGAGTTGTGTGCATCCGGGGGAGGGCGCGTGATGGGAGGGAGAATGGAGAAGACGGTCCGTTGCTGTGTCTGCTTGTTGACGACGACAACGACGACCGATACCGTCTCTCCGCGACAACATGACCGCGTAGCCACCAGGTATGGGACTGCCAAGTGTCCTATAGTGTTGTGAGCACTAACGACGTAATTGACGCAAGATCATGTCTGACATTTGGTATAGATTCCATTTCCCTTGGCGAAATCGTCTCAAGTGAGACCGAAACCCCTCGGCATCAATGGTGGTTTTCTGGACGTTGTGTGTTGGTCACGCATATTCGATCGCTTCTTAAGTTTCCGAGGTCAGCATCAATCGAACCACGCGGATGGGATGGGATGAGAGCTGGAAACTCTGCTGCTGGTCGTCTTCCGACTGCTTTTTTTTTTTTTTTTTTTTTTTTTTTTTTTTTTTTTTTTTTTTTTTTTTTTTTTTTTCGTTCGGTTCCTGAATCCTGAGTGCATATGTGCATCCTGCATGTGCACCCATCCATACATACATACTGAAACCGGATCCAGAAAGACTTGTGTGGGTTCCTGACAGACGGTTGATGGTAGGAAGTCCTTGCATAAGCCACACTCGCGCCATGCACATCTTGTAATGCACCGCCTTTGGACCCTCAGCACATCATCGATCACTCACTGCACAGCCGCTGGTATCTCCATTTTCTTTCATCTCATCCATTCGCAGAAACCAACATCATCACCATCAACATCATCGTCGACAATCGAAAAGTCCGAGCGGGCCGGAGCGGCCTGGGAAGACGACAGAGGGGAAAAAAAGGATGGGGATTAATCTCCAGGTGGGCCCCCCCGTGCCATGATGGGGGGAATAAATTTAGCTTCGTGTCTGCTTCTTTTTCGGTTGAGACCGTGGTGAGCTGGAAATAGAAAAAAAGAATAATGCACCAAAAAAGAAGCTGAGGACTGGCAGAGAGCCACACGGACCACCCGGACGACGTGCCATTGCCCCTGGCGGGCGCAGAAGGATGATCCCTGACCAGCGGGGCGGGCAGCTCCACACCGCGGTCTGTGGTGACAGCATCGAAAATATGTCAGGTAGGATCCACAGAAGCCGTACTTTGGAAAGATGTCATTGGTTGGCGGCAATTGGCAAATGCGGTCCTCAAGCATTGACAGGTGGTATCGGGCCACCCACGCACACCGAGTGCCTGCTCAGTCAGCGGTCTCCGACGAGTGTTGAGACTGTGCGAGGGAGGTTTTGACTTCTGAGGGGGATATATGTAATAAGTGGAAGCAAAGGTCTGTCTGCCAGCACTGTGTTCGGAACAATCGGGTCGTTTCAAAATGACAGGCCTGTTCGATCTTTGGCGAGGACGGTTTGTCAGAGCAACAGGCACCTCACCTCACCTCATCTCACCTCGCCTAGGTGGCAGCGATGCCCAGCGGCCGGGACGGAACATCGACGGAATCTTGTTGGTTCGGTGGTCCTGGCGGTTTTAGTGGTGAACTTGGAGCATTGTGATGGTCCCTTTGTAGAATGGATGTTTGATCCTGACAATGAACAACTAACGGCATAGAGTGTGGTTCTCGCTATTCCCGCGGCACCACCAAAAACCAGTTTCCAGCCGTCCGCCCTCTCGAGGCGAGCCAAATCAAGGTACGTAGTAAGTACATAAATTATAGGCTAGTCATGGCATGTCAGCCCCCTGACTTGCCTTGTTTAGTCGCAAATTGCATACCCCTCCTTTATTCTCCGACGGATATACCTTTCTAACCACACTTCATGTGAGATTTTGGTACAGTAACGCGGCGAGCCCGGGTTGAAATGTACACTATGTGCAAGTCAATCAGGCAAGGCAAGTCTTGAGTTGTCCTAACAAGGCAAGGCAAGTCAACCCCCCCTGGCTAGCCTCAACTTGGCGTGTATGCTACGCTGTCGTGGTCTACACTTATCAGTCTATCAGCTACCGCCATTTGTGTGCGTGGGTGTGTGCGCGTGAGGCGATGAATGTTTATCATGTATCAACAAAGAATTGTGATCGTTATTGTGGTCATCATCATGTGTATTGTGTACAGACTCACCGTCCGGATTGTCCGCCGTGATACATTAAATAGCCCGTACGCGTTTGGGGATATTCTTAATAATCAAGAGGCTTTTCTTTTTATGTACTGTGCTGTAGGATAGTGGAGCCGTCGAATCTCGATCCCAGCGTGCCAGCGTGCCCAGATGGAGGATCACCGGTGGAGGAGCCCGGACGGATCGCGGAAGTCTGGAACGACAGAACGAACGGTGAACACCACAGCTGGCGAACTATATACACTATATACAGCACAGATATCAAGTGCGCTAGAACACGCATATTCTGGGCTCTCGATGCCTGGCGGGCTGGGAGTGGGAGCCGGGTGCCTTTGCCGGGTTGCCATCAACATTTTGCACATCACACATTGCACATCGCAGATGAATATCGGATATCGAACATTGCATCGCCTTGTCGTCCTATCGCTACAGAATCGCTTTCTTGCCTTGTCGTTCTAACCCGTGTATCGTGCTTTGAAGGCATCGACCGTCTGTCAAGGAAAGCTTTTGTTGCCGTCCTGCCTTGCCTACGTACCTCTATCGGCCGTGGACTGTGGTACACTCCTATCAGACTACTAACATGGTAGGCCATGCCATGATTGATGCCTCTTCCCGCCATGGCAGTCCCGAACAAGGCCCCCATTCCCATCCCAACCATTCCCGTCGGTTGTTCGGCCGGTTCAGGCTGCCATGTCGAATAAAAGACACGGACGATCTCCAGTAACAATGCGGTTCAAGAAAGGCATGAGGCTGGTGGCCATGTGGGATTCATCCTGGAGCCTGTGTTGTCGATGGTCGATAGCGAGCGAGTGGTGGTGTTTCTAGTGTAGTGTACCAAGTTTCCAGCTTTCTGCAGCAATCATCGTCATAACACTGCGAAACCAAGCTTTCTAATGCAAGTCGCAGGACGCCAAAGCGCACTAAATGGACACCAGATGGAAAAGATAAGGCGCAATACTTGAAAAGTACCAAAGGAGTACCTCGAAGCGATTGCAATAGGGGGACAGGTACGAAATTGTGGCGGAGCGAAGCGGCACAAATGTGGTACAATTACGGCTTGATTGGTTATTCGAGCGCGTTCGAGAACTTGACGGGTACCAGTTTACCCCACAAACTCCGGTCATCCCTTTTCATTGGGCAAAAGCTCCAGGTAGCGCAAGTCGTGGCGAGATGTCTCATGGGGTTGCGACAAGTACCCATTTCGTAGTCCGTCCGCCGAGTGTGGGTGCCACAATGGAAATTGCCAAGATTGATCAGGACCAACCGAACGGCATCTCCTAAAGGCGGTCGAGATTGGAGCATGGTTAAGGCCGAGATTCGCATGAGAGCGCGCGATATCTGGCAATGTGCAACGTGGAATCGCTAGATGGGATGGGATGGGATGAATCAACGGCACCTGCAACTGGCTGGGTGTCAACTGTCAGACGAACCTACCTAGGTATGTACAGTGAGAGCAGAGCACAGCAATGGAAGTAAGGAACGGGACCGGAGCGCGGGAACTCGGGCCAAGCAGGGCCAACATCCCATAACACGCAACAAGTGAATACGAGATGGCAAAAAAGCAATACTTGGCGAGGGGTAAATTGAGGCTCAGAGGCTCAGAGGCTGTGTCAAAAAAACCAAAAAAAAAAAAAAACCAAAAAAAAAAAAAAACGAAACTCTGACAGCGCTTTATGGTTCTTCGTTCGTTCTCTCGCGTCGCCCTCTTTGGAGCTTCGGTTCTTTTTCAAACACTCCCATCAGTATCTAACTGGGCACCTGGGGTACCAGAATTGCGGGAGTGAAAGACGCTACTAGGTCAGTAAAAATGGAAGAAAGAAGCAGGCAATGCACGGTGGGAATCCACAAGGACACAAACGGTTCCCCCTCCCCCTTCCACCTCACTTCCTTCGTTCCCCCTTGCCGGGTGCCACATTTCCCATTTTCCACGATCCCTGCCAAACAGTGCTCCCCCTGAACAGCGTCGATGAAGCGAGCGATGCAGCGACCAGTCAGAGACGCCGATGCCTTTTCGTCCAGTCCACTGCTGCCCACCCGCGGGCCTGTCGCAACCACTGAGGTTCTACCCTGCTGTCGGGACGGTCAGGTCCTGCCGTGAAGTAGGTGTGGTGACTGACTGACGAAACGCGTTGCTGGACGAGGCCGGATGGGTCATTGAGGGATGGATGGATCCCGCTGCAATTGCCTGGAAACTCCCAGCAGCCGGAGGTATCAGGTGTGGTAGACACACAACACCCACGACGGGCACTGGATCTTCCATGTTCCAGCGCAGTCCCAGTCCATCCCAGTCGCTGCCTCCTTTTTTTTTTTTTTTTTTTGGCTTTCGCTTTCCATCCACGCACCACACACTGCCCTTCCATTTCCATTCCCACCTGCCTGGCATCCACTTTTCCTATCCCACCCACTCCCACTCCCACTCCCATTCCCACTTCTCTTGCTCCAGTCCTCCCCCCCCCCCCCCCCTCCCCCTTCCCGGCTTCCGCCTTCTTCAACCAACGACACTAGTAGTGTACCAGGACTCCTGTCAGCTTGTTGACTTTCCACTTCGTTTGATTTTTTACCTTCCCCCCCTCTCCCTCCTCTCTTTCCCCTTTCTCCCTTCTTCCCTTTACACTCGCTCACCGGCAACTTTCTGTCACTCGCCTCCTCCCTTCCCCTCATCACTCGTTCCGTCGCGCGATTGATTGATTTTCCCAGGAGGCCTGCGTCGTTGGCATTTGCCCACCGCCAAGTCACCGCGCCAATCGTTTTGTTTGCAGAGAGGAAAAGCAGAGCGCGTAGTTTGGAAAGAAAAAAAAAAGAGAAATAATAAATCATTCGGTTCGACTCGTTATCGCTGCTCATCGACAAAACAACGCTTAAAATTGCAAGCAAGCCCGACACCCACCGCAGCACACTGCCTGCAGCAGCAGACAGTCAACGCCAGCACCACCTGCCTGCGCCCCTGGGCTACACCGGTTCACGACACCGATAGACGGCTCTTCAGCACCCACCGCTCACCATCATCAAACAACACCAGGAAGGAGCTGCATTGATTGCAGTGGCCCGCCACTTCTGCTATTTCTACGCATACCAGCTTTAGTAATCGTCGTTGCTGTTGTCGCTTTGCTGCTGCATTATCGCAAGCACCACTCGGCAACAATTCCCAGTTTTTGGCCCAAACGTTAATTATCCCATTCCTTGATTCGTTGTCTCCCATGCGCTTCTGATCAGGTAAGTTGTCCAAAATTCGACCCGCCACAGCCCATATTATATATTCTTTCAATCCGCTGACCTGTCCCGCCCAGCTTTAATTGCCCAATATGTCGGGATACCCTCAGCAAGGCGGCGGAGGCCATCACGATGATGGCTACGGCCATGCTCCCAACGCAAATGGAAATGGTGACGCGTATTACAACGACGATCAGCAGTACTATGATAACCGTAATGGAGGACACGCTGCCGGCGGTCAGCATGGCGAAGGTTACTATGATGAGTCGTATGTTCCCCAAATCTTGCTCTCTTCCCCCCTTTTTTTTTTGAACGCCTGCGACTGACGCTTTGTCCTGTCTTGCAGCGGCTACTATAACGCCGACCCAAACAACCCGTACCACCAGGATGGTGGTTATTACGACAACCATGAAGGGTTTCAGGAGGGTTACGACAACGGCTACTACGACCAGCATGGCTACGACCAGGCCGGCGGCTATCGAGACAACCATGCCGCTCGTGGCTCTGAGGAGGATTCCGAGACCTTTAGCGATTTCACCATGAGGTCCGACATGGCCCGTGCCGCCGAGATGGACTACTATGGCCGTGGCGATGAGCGCTACGACAGTCAGTATGGCGACCAGGGCGGTGCCCGGGGTTATCGCCCTCCTTCCTCGCAGATCTCGTACGGCGGAAACCGCTCGTCTGGCGCGTCGACACCAAACTACGGCATGGACTACGGTAACGTTCTTCCTGCCGGCCAGCGCTCCAAGGAACCGTATCCCGCCTGGACGTCGGATGCCCAAATCCCCCTCTCGAAGGAGGAGGTGGAGGACATCTTTTTGGATCTCTGCGCAAAGTTCGGTTTCCAGCGTGACAGCATGCGCAACATGTACGACCATCTCATGACGCTTCTCGACTCCCGTGCTTCTCGTATGACTCCCAACCAGGCTCTTCTCTCGCTCCATGCCGACTACATCGGTGGCGACAACGCAAACTACCGCAAGTGGTACTTCGCTGCCCATCTGGATCTGGACGATGCCGTCGGTTTCGCCAACATCAAGGGCAAGAAGGGCAACCTGAAGCGCACCAAGAAAAAGGCCAAGGGTGACGAGCCCCAAAACGAAGCTGAGATCCTTCAAGAGCTGGAGGGTGATGATTCGTTGGAGGCGGCCGAGTTCCGTTGGAAGACTCGCATGAACAGGATGTCGCAGCATGACCGTGTGCGACAGCTTGCCCTGTATCTCCTGATTTGGGGCGAAGCCAACCAGGTCCGCTTCATGCCCGAGTGTCTGTGCTTCCTCTTCAAGTGCGCCGATGACTATCTCAACTCGCCCGCGTGCCAAAACATGGTCGAGCCCGTTGAGGAGTTCACCTTCCTCAACAACGTCATCACCCCGCTGTATCGCTACTGCCGCGATCAGGGTTACGAGATCTACGAAGGTGTCTACGTCCGTCGCGAAAGAGATCACGAGCAGATTATCGGTTATGATGACTGCAACCAGCTCTTCTGGTATCCCGAAGGTATCAACCGTATCGTTCTTGAGGACAAGAGCAAGCTGGTGGACGTCCCTCCCGCTGAGCGTTATCTCAAGCTCAAGGATGTCAACTGGAAGAAGTGCTTCTTCAAGACCTACAGGGAGACACGCTCGTGGTTCCACATGCTTGTCAACTTCAACCGTATCTGGATCATTCACTTGACCATGTTCTGGTTCTACACTGCCTACAACATGCCTACCATCATCACTCCCATGTACGAACAGCAGGTCAACCAGTCACCTCCCAAGGCTGCCATGTGGTCCTTTGTCGGTTTCGGTGGTGCTGTCGCTTCGCTGATCAACTTTGGAGCAACTCTGGCAGAATGGGCCTATGTTCCTCGCAGATGGTCTGGTGCGCAGCATCTGTCCAAGCGAATGCTGTTCATGGTCTTCGTCCTCATCATCAACTTGGCTCCTGGTGTCTATGTCTTCCTTCCGGGCCTGTCAGGCCAGGCTCTGATTGATCATCAGAACAGCACCCCTGTCTATATCGTCGGCATCGTTCACTTCTTTATCGCTCTCGTCACCTTCTTGTTCTTTGCCGTGATGCCTCTGGGTGGTCTCTTCGGCAGTTACCTCACCAAGAACTCACGCAAGTACGTCGCCAGTCAGACATTTACTGCCAGCTGGCCTCGCCTCAACGGTCATGACATGGCCATGTCGTTTGGTCTGTGGGTTGTGGTTTTCGGCGCCAAGTTCGGAGAGTCGTACGTATATTTGACACTGTCGATTCGTGACCCAATTCGTTACATTGGTCTTATGGATACCACGTCATGTCTTGGAGACTCGATTTTGAAGACGTGGCTCTGCCCGTACCAGCCGCAAATCACGATGGGTCTGATGATCTTCACTGGTATGATCTTCTTCTTCCTCGATACGTATCTGTGGTACGTCTTGATCAACTCCGTCTTCTCGGTCGCCAGAGCTTTCTACCTTGGTTCCTCGATCTGGACTCCTTGGAGAAACGTCTACGCTCGCTTGCCCAAGCGTATCTACTCCAAGGTTCTCGCCACTACGGACATGGAGATCAAGTACAAGCCCAAGGTCCTCATCTCCCAGATCTGGAATGCTATCGTCATCTCCATGTACCGCGAGCACCTTCTGGCCATTGATCACGTCCAGAAGCTCCTCTACCACCAGGTGCCCTCTGAGCAGGAAGGCAAGCGTACTCTGCGTGCCCCCACTTTCTTCGTTTCCCAGGAAGACCAGTCTTTCAAGACCGAGTTCTTCCCTCAGTACAGCGAAGCCGAGCGCAGAATTTCCTTCTTCGCCCAGTCGCTCTCTACTCCCATCCCCGAGCCCCTCCCTGTTGACAACATGCCTACCTTCACTGTCATGATTCCTCACTACAGCGAAAAGATTCTTCTTTCTCTGCGTGAAATCATTCGTGAAGATGAGCCCTACTCGCGTGTCACTCTCCTGGAATACCTCAAGCAGCTCCATCCCCACGAATGGGACTGCTTCGTTAAGGACACCAAGATTCTCGCGGATGAGACCTCGCAGTTCAACGGCGAGACTGAGAAGGAGAAGGAAAAGGAGAAGGAGAAGGAGACCGTCAAGAGCAAGATCGACGATCTTCCCTTCTACTGCATCGGTTTCAAGTCCTCGGCACCCGAGTATACCCTCAGAACCCGTATTTGGGCCTCGCTTCGCTTCCAGACCTTGTACCGTACCGTCTCGGGTTTCATGAACTACGCTCGTGCCATTAAGCTTCTCTACCGTGTCGAGAACCCCGAAGTCGTCCAGATGTTTGGCGGTAACTCCGACAAGCTCGAGCGTGAGCTGGAGCGCATGGCTCGTCGCAAGTTCAAGCTCTGCATTTCCATGCAGCGTTTCGCCAAGTTCAAGAAGGAGGAAATGGAGAACGCCGAGTTCTTGTTGCGCGCTTACCCCGATCTCCAAATCGCCTACCTTGACGAAGAGCCTCCTCTTGCCGAAGGTGAGGAGCCTCGTCTGTACTCTGCTCTCATCGACGGTCACTCTGAGATCATGGAGAACGGTTCGCGCCGGCCCAAGTTCCGTATCCAGCTTTCCGGAAACCCCATTCTCGGTGACGGAAAGTCCGACAACCAGAACCACGCCATCATCTTCTACCGCGGCGAGTACATCCAGCTTATCGATGCCAACCAAGACAACTATCTCGAGGAGTGCCTCAAGATCCGCAGCGTACTGGCCGAGTTCGAGGAGATGAAGACCGACAACCTTTCGCCCTACACTCCCGGTGTCAAGAACGAGGTCCGCCACCCTGTTGCCATTCTCGGTGCTCGTGAGTACATTTTCTCCGAGAACATTGGTATCCTCGGTGATATTGCCGCCGGTAAGGAACAGACATTCGGTACGCTCTTCGCCAGAACCTTGGCCCAGATTGGTGGCAAGCTCCATTACGGTCATCCTGATTTCCTCAACGGTATCTTCATGACTACCCGTGGTGGTGTCTCCAAGGCTCAAAAGGGTTTGCATCTGAACGAGGATATTTACGCTGGTATGAACGCTCTGTTGCGTGGTGGCCGCATCAAGCACTGCGATTACTACCAGTGCGGTAAGGGTCGTGATTTGGGTTTCGGCTCCATTCTCAACTTCACCACCAAGATTGGAACTGGTATGGGTGAACAGTTGCTCTCTCGCGAGTACCACTACCTTGGAACTCAGCTCCCGATCGATCGTTTCCTGTCCTTCTACTACGCCCATCCCGGTTTCCACTTGAACAACATGTTCATTATGCTCTCGGTCCAGCTCTTCATGCTTTGCTGCGTTAACATCGGCGTACTGCGTCATGAGACGATCCGCTGCGAGTACAACCGCGAGGTCCCCATTACCGATGCCCTCTTCCCCACCGGCTGCTCCAACACCGACGCTCTTCTGGACTGGGTTTACCGCTGTGTCCTCTCGATTATCTTCGTCTTGTTCCTTGCCTTCGTTCCCCTGATAGTCCAGGAGATGATGGAGAAGGGTGTGATCCGCTCTGCGACTCGTTTCATCAAGCAGATCCTTTCGCTCTCGCCCTTCTTCGAAGTGTTCGTCTGTCAGATCTACGCCAACTCTGTCCAGCAAGATTTGTCCTTTGGTGGTGCCAGATATATCGGTACCGGTCGTGGTTTCGCCACCGCGCGTATTCCCTTTGGTGTTCTCTACTCCCGTTTCGCCGGTCCTTCGATCTACTTCGGAGCCAGATTGGTCATGATGTTGCTCTTTGCCTGCCTGACTGTCTGGCACGCTGCCCTGATCTACTTTTGGATCTCGCTCATGGCCTTGGTCATCTCGCCCTTCCTCTACAACCCTCACCAGTTCTCTTGGGGCGACTTCTTCATCGACTACCGCGAGTATCTCCGCTGGCTCTCGCGTGGTAACTCTCGCTCGCACGCCTCTTCTTGGATCACCTTCTGCCGTCTCTCGCGTATTCGAATCACTGGTTTCAAGCGCAAGATTATCGGAGACCCGTCGAGCAAGCTTTCGGGCGATGTTGCCAGGGCTGCCATCACCAACCTGTTCTGGTCCGAGATGCTTACCCCCTTCATCCTTGTCTGCTTGACGACCATTCCGTATCTGTTCATCAACGCGCAGACTGGTGTCAAGGGCGAATTTGGACCCCATGCCAACGACGATAGCATCAAGCCTACCGCCGCCTTGATCCGTCTCTTGGTTGTCACGTTTGCGCCCATGGCTGTCAACGCCGGTGTCCTTGGTGGCTTGTTCGGTATGGCCTGCTGCATGGGTCCTCTGTTGAGCATGTGCTGCAAGAAGTTTGGTAGTGTTCTGGCCGCCATTGCCCATGGTATGTCGGTCATTATCCTTTTGGTTATGTTCGAAGTCATGTTCGTCCTGCAGAACTTTGAGTTTACCCCTACGCTCCTCGGCATGATCGCCATGGTCTCGATTCAGCGCTTCATCATCAAGATGATTGTCTCGTTGGCCTTGACTCGTGAGTTCAAGACTGATACCTCCAACATTGCCTTCTGGACGGGCAAGTGGTACTCTATGGGCTGGCACTCGGTTTCGCAACCTGCTCGTGAGTGGCTTGCCAAGATCACGGAGCTCAGCATGTTTGGCGCCGACTTTATCCTTGGCCACCTGATTCTGTTCTCCATGTTCCCCGTCCTTATCATCCCCAAGGTCGATGTGCTCCACTCGGTCATTCTCTTCTGGCTCCGTCCAAGGTATGTCATTCCAACCTGTTCCGCGCTTTGTTTTGACTCTCTTGCTAACGCAATATCTTTGTAGCCGTCAAATTCGTGCCCCCATTTACTCGTTGAAGCAGACGAAGCTCAGGAGGAGACGTGTGATCCGCTATGCGATCCTCTACTTTGTCCTGCTTGTCATCTTTGTCGCCCTGATTGTTGGACCGATTGTGGCTGGCAAACAGCTTCCTACTGACACGCTCGACATGGTCAACAACTTTGGCGATGGAAGCTTGATCCTCAGGCAGTACCCCTGGAAGCTGGGACCTTCTGGTGACAATGACGACACCAGAGGTCGTCTGGAGACGGGAACCAAGGCTACTAACTACTCTGGTGTCTGGACCCCGACGACAACATCGGACTATGTCGCCAAGGCTACTAGCAAGGCTGAAAGGAGGATGGCATTTTAAGATGATGAAGCAAAAAAAGGGGGGAACTGGTATGGTAGCATAGGGTTAATTGGTTTGACACTCTAGTACCAGTTCTCTGGTGTTTTTTTTTTGTTTCGATATTTATTTTTGGTTTTGGGTTTTGCGTGGTTAGTAGCAACGGAAATCATGAATTGTGGTGTAAAACTCGGTCGAATGGTGTGCGTGTGTGAGAAAGAGGTCTTGTTGTGTATTCGGTGTTGACATATCTATGTTTGTTTCTTCCCTCTGTTCCCTCATCTTGCTCCTTGTGTAGCTACACCTGGACTGCAACGGGGCAAAATCTTTACATATGGATGAGCGTGACAGTAGCGAAGAAACGGGGATTGGGTTCGGCGACGGTTGTGGCGGCTGCGGTTCAAAGGCATGATAATACACGCGGCTTTTCTAGATTTGTCTTTGTCTTCTTGACGCACTTTCATTCTGCACGCACACTGGGTTGTGTTCTTTTCTAGTACCTTTTTTTACTCATGTTATATCTAGTCTGGCGGAGATTCTACACTTAGTACTACTAGTATTAGAGCGAAACCCTTTCCTGTTACACACTTGCACGCCCTCGCTCGGGACATTATAGTGTACATTGTTCAACGTGGGGACGTATGTTCTTGTGGGCTGGTGATGTTGTTGTGAACAATCGATTAGGTCGAGGCAGACTCGGTGGTGGGGGGCGGTTTGAGCCGAGATCCGATATTTGAACGGTATTGATTGGTCGACTGGGCTGTTACCCCTGAGCTTCTGCAGCACCTGAAAAATCCAAAGGTAAGCAAGGGTGATTGGCTCTTGGAGCGTCCAGGCCTAGGGACCTTTGGTGCTGAATGGGCCTGTGTATGATGGTGGTGCCTCTACACAGCTACTGGAACACTCCGAAGGGTCCGACACGTGGATTTCTTGACCGCCCAACTTCTCCGATTCCTTGTGGGCAAGATAGAGACAGACAGCTTGGTCGTTTCTGCTTCCTCTCCCGTGAACCTTTCTCCACATACTACGTACGACGGAGACGAGAGATCATCGAGGTTCCCCAGCGGTACCTCTCTCGTTCTCGGTCGACGATTACTAGAGGGACGCAGCCGGCACGCGCATCATCCGATTCCCACCCAGTCCGCCAGCCGCATCGCACACCTCGAGCGCCATCCTTTGATCGCATCGCGTCGCATCCAACGAGCCACCAACTTGAGGCTACCAGACAAGATGGAGCTCCAAGAACTCCAAACCCACCTGACCGAATGGCTCAACGAAGCCATCGCGGCCTTCCAAAAGGTGCCGGGGTCCGCAGTCCTGATCCGCTATGTCAGGTCATCGTACCAAAACGATCCGGTGCGCTCGGCCATCGAGCTGGTCCTGGTCATCTTCTTCATCAGATACCTTATGGCGCCGGCCTACTCGACTTCGAAGCAGAACTTTATCAAGTTGACTGACGATGTGAGTTCCACACGGAGGATAAGGACTTCAAGAGAGGGAGGTCAAGTGCTGATGCTGGGACAAACAGGAAATCGATGAGCTCGTTGACGAATGGACCCCCGAGCCTCTCGTGCCGAACATGACCGTCCTCGAGGAGATGGAGTCCGAGAAGTTGCCAATCATTGTTGGGTAAGATTTTCTCCCATCGATGCTCACAGATCAAAAAAGAGACCCAAATGTGCTGACACGGGTCGCAAACACAGCGCAACCGGCCCCAAATCCAAGCTCGCCAACGGCCGCACCGTCACCAACCTCGCCTCGTACAACTTCTACAACCTCAACGCCAACGAGCAAATCAAGGAAAAAGCCATCCAGACCCTTCGCACCTACGGCGTCGGCCCCTGCGGCCCGCCCCAGTTCTACGGCACCCAGGACGTGCACATGCGCGCCGAGGCCGACATTGCCAACTACATTGGTACCGAAGGCTGCATCGTGTACGCGCAAGCCTTCTCCACCATCTCGTCCGTGATCCCGGCCTTTTGCAAGCGTGGCGACATCATTGTGGCCGACCGGGCCGTCAACTACTCGATCCGGCGCGGCCTCGAGATCTCGCGCTCCAACATTCGGTGGTACGCGCACAACGACCTGGACGACCTCGAGCGCGTCATGGCCAAGGTGGTGGCCGAGCAGGCCCGCACCAAGAAGCTGACGCGCCGCTTTCTCGTGACCGAGGCCCTGTTCGAGACCACGGGCGAGATGAACGACCTGCCCCGCCTGATCGAGCTCAAGGAGAAGTACAAGTTCCGCATCATGCTGGACGAGACATGGTCGTTTGGCGTCCTGGGCCGAACCGGCCGCGGCCTGACCGAGGCGCAGAACGTCGACCCTACCCAGGTGGACATGATTGTTGGCTCGCTCGCTGGTCCCCTCTGTGCCGGCGGCGGGTTCTGTGCGGGACCCAAGGACGTGGTGGAGCACCAGCGCTTGACGGCCGCGAGTTATACGTTTTCGGCCGCGTTGCCGGCCATGTTGGCCATCATCGCCAGCGAGAGCTTGCATGTCATTCAGGAGAACCCCGAGGCGACGTTGGGCGTGTGCAGGGAGAACATCCGGTTGATGAGGGCGCAGTTGGATCCCAAGAGTGATTGGGTGATTTGCACCAGCGCGCCCGAGAATCCGATTTTGCTGTTGGTGCTGAAGCCGCAGGTGGTGGAAGCGAGGAGGCTGACGGCGGAGGATCAGGAGCGTTTGTTGCAGGAGGTTGCTGATGAGGTATGTTTTTTTTTTTTTTTTTTGTTTTTTTTTTATCCTTCTTCCTCCTTTGCCCCCTTCATTCAATTCTTTTTTTTCCCCCCTTCACCCAAACACTAACACGACACAGTGCCTCGCCAACAACATCCTCGTCACCCGCCTCAAGGGCGCTCCCATCACCACCCACATGGGCCTCAAGGACAACGTCTACACCGCCACCCCGGCCCTCAAGGTCTGCGTCACGTCTGGCCTGTCCAAGAAGGAGACGGAGAAGGCCGGCATTGCGATTCGTCACGCCATCACCAAGGTCATGACCAAGAAGGGGAATAACAAGTTGGGTGTTCCTACTGCTTAGTTGAAGAGCTTGCTGGTAGAGGGTAATTCTTCACTTTCCAATCTGTTTCCTTTCTTTGTCTTTGTGTGTCTAAATGTCACTGCTGTGCCGCCAAAGATATATTTTACTCGGGAATATTTGAATGTGGTTGTGGCAGTGGGAGACAGACATAAAGACAGCGAAAGGGGGTTATGGAGGTTGATTCATAGATGGGATATGGGCTTGTAGGCTTTTTGGAGTGGAATGGGGGACAAAAAAGAAAAATGAATGGTGTGAAATGACATGAATATGAATTAGATGGATGGATGATGGGCTGGAAGCAATGGCTGGCTGCCTATGACGGCGGAATGGTGGATGGATGAATGGATGGATGTCACGATAGACCAAGATAGATAGTTAATACGTAATGTCATGATGTGAATGGTATTGGATACACTACCACTACATAGCCTCGGCGTCGAGTGAAACTGTTAAATTGCGGTATATATAAGATCTTGGGTGGAAGAAGTATTATTCTGCTTGTTATCATTCCCCCCTATGGAGCCTCCTGCCTGGTAACCATTATCCTAAGTACCTTCAGTCTTGCCTATCACATATCTCTCTCATCTACACCTGATGAGTCCAATGTCCTCCCCCTCTCTAATACCTAGATACCCATGATTGATCCCAAGCCAAATATTCGTAACTCGTAAACCGTCCAAGAAATCCACCCAACAAAATGATATATAAATGAATAAGTAGACGTAGAAAGTAGAAGAAGACCCAGACCATCGACCTCACCAAGAAGAAAAACCGAGAAACAAAAACTGTAGAACGATAGGTATCCCCCCACATAACGCCCAACATAGCCAACAAGAGGATATACATAGCCAACAAGAACATAAAAAATGAAGAAAAGAAAAGGAAGAATTATCAACGATCATGTATCCCCCAAAACTGCTCCGCATAAAACGTGCCCTTGTCCGCCTTCTTCCACTCATCATCAAACGCCGTAAACAAGTACAGCTCAAAATCCCCTCCATCGTCTCCAACAAACCCCCTCTGGCTTCCCTCTCTCCAAGCCTTCATCACGCCCTCCACCGCCGTCTTTTGTTCCCATCGTCCTGGAACCGCCCGGTAATTTGCATTTCCCTGCTTGGGCCATCCCGTTTCGGTAACCACCACTCTTTTTTTCCGTCGTTCCCCTCCCCCTATCATGTCAGTAGTCCCCCCCTGAGACAGGCCAGTCCCCTGGGCCTGGGCCTGGGATTTAGGGGTAATAACCTCCCTCAGATTCATCACCTGCCTCCTGACAAACTCCCCCGCCCGCTCCGCCTCCGTATGCGCATCAAAAAACGGATGGACATTCACCGCGCAGTAATCGACATCCGAACTACTACACAGTTCAGGATGGTTTAGGACGGCAACAAACGTATCGACCGTGACTACAGGACCAAAGTATCCCTCCCTTCTCAAAACTTGGCGGACTGTACGCACCGCCGCCAAGACTTGCGCGGGGGTGGCTTGGCCGTTGTTGACGAGCTCGTTGCCGACGGAGATGGTGTCGATCATGTTGGTCCAGACGTCGTCGACGGCGAGTTTTTCAGTCAAGGCGAAGGTCTGCACGTCTTTTATCAAGGTGGTAAGTTGCGAGGAGAGGTCGGATAGAGAAAAGATGCCGAGGAAGAGTTTTAAAGGGGGAGAGGAGACGGAGGAGGCGGCGCGGAGGGTGTGCAGGACTTGGGAGCAGTCGACGCCGTAGATGCGGACGGAGGAGTAGAGACGCGTTTGGGCGATGGTGGCGAAGTCGGAGGTGATGTTGGCGGGGGAGCGGCAGCCTGTGAGGTCGTAGGGGGCGTAGGTTATGCCGGGGAGACGTTGGGGGAGGAAGCCGGGGTGGGTGAAGGTGGTGGTGGTGGTGGTGGTGTCGGGGAGGATTGTTGGTGTGTCGTCGTTGGTTGATGGAGGCGTGTTTGTGAGCTTGGTGTGCTTGATGGGCTTGATGAGTTTTTGGTTTGCTTTGTTGAAGGAAAGGTAGGAGGAGAGGTTGGTGCGTTTGGTTTTTGGTTTGAGGGTTGTTACTGCCGGGGAGGAAGATGAAGACGAGGATGCCGATGATGAGGTTGATGAGGAAGAGGGGGTTGCTGGTGAGATTATGGGGATGATTTTGGTCTCCGTGCTGTCCGTTTGTGAGTTCTCGTCCATGTAGATGGCCACATCTTCAACCTCGCCGGCTGCTGTTCCTGTCACGGCGGTGTCGGCTTGGTCGGTAGAGGCATCTCCTCTTGCCGCCAACGTCACACTCTCAGCCTCAATACTCTTCCCTATGCCCTTGGATGGCGTTTGAGGTTCCAAAGCAGATCTCCTTTCATCATTCTCAAAATCTGCTACGGCCTTTGGTGCGGTGTCGTCCACGTGGAGAGGAATATCCACCAGCCGCGAAGGTTGATAGCGGGTACGAACGTGACGAACTTGTTGATCAACATCGTAAGGATGATCTCCTAATCCTAGGTTTCCTAATTAGCCAATCGCTACCCTGTCTTTGGTTTTCTTGGGAGTTGGGCGACTTACTATCGTTTCCAGCTAACGGAACACACAAAATACGTCCAAGAAGACTGGCCACTAGGACAAGTCGAGAGACTGGAATCGAAAATTTCATCCTCAACAAAGTTATCTTTTGTCCCTCTGCATTCAAGAGAATGGGTGGTAGAAAGGAATGACTGTCATACAAGTTGGCCGAGCACGAAACGAACGAGAGGCACGGTGACCGCTGGAGATATGTACAAGCCGGTTACTTGGTTAACAGGCCAGCTGTACCAACAACAAGAGAATCCAAAACGAAGGTTGTGAGACATGACGATGCACTGCGGCTGTCAGAGACGTAAGTAAGTGCAGTGAGAGGCAAAGTCAAAAAGAAAAAGTGAAGCTGAGATCTAGAATCTTGGAGGAAAGAGAGGGATTACGTCATCTCAGGTTGATGATATATTTGAGTGCTCCTGTCTCAGTTCGACTTCACCACCAATGAATGAACTTCCAGGGCCTTGGAAGACCAGACAACCCCCAGAGCTCTTCCTACAATTGAAGCCGGCGTAAATGGAAGCCGAGATGGTGCCATGCAGTGTACCTATTACTTCCGAGAAATGGAGGGGAGGAGCAAATGCTGCAAGCGACTCCAAATGGAACCTCGCCTTGAATATCGGATTCAAGTCCAATCAAATATAACTGTGTGTGATACCGAGACAATTACGCACTGGTAAAGTGTTGACCCTGGTTGTTGTGTTGTTGATGTTCCTCGTGGTGGTTATCACTGGAATGCTGTAAGCCTACACATGTCTCCGATTGAGCCTTTGATCCCTCGTGCCTGGCAATCACTCGTTGAATAAAAAAAAAGTCTCAGTCTCGTCAACAAAGGCCTACGTACCTCTGTCTATCTAGCATGGGGGAAAAGATTCAGTGATGGTGAAGAGTGCAGTGCAGTGACTCAAGTCTTGAATTGGTGTGGTCCTATGGTAGTCAGCCACGTTCTCGCTGTCACTGACCCAGCAAGAGCAGAGTTGTCTCATGCCGCTTTCAGCGACACTGCATGACAAAAGAAAAGAAAAAAAAAACACCAGTTAAAGCCCCCCTACCAGCGAGGCCATTTTATCCATCGTGATGAACTCACATTCGTGTACACAATCAATTACAACCCAACCAAAACCCCGTTTCACGCCGGCATTCCCATACCTGCTTCCCATCATGATACATTCCCATATCTCTCACCACCCTTAAGCCCCAGCAACAACAGCCAAGCCCTCATAAATTTTCTTCTTAACCGCATAAAACGTGCCACCCACTTTCATGGCCGCATCCAACAATCCACCACTCGTCGTGCCCGGCATGGTATCACTCGGCAATCCCACGCTCTCCAACTCGATCCTGCCTCCCTGAGCTGTTGATTTGCGCACAACCACCACATCGTCAATCAACAGCGTTCCTTCTCCCCTGAACTCGGCCTTGTGGCCTGCGCTTAGCATGGCCCGACGCAAGTCGGCGAGACGTAGTTCGCCTACGTGTAGAGGTTGGGCGGCTTGGGAGCGTAACGAGGAGGCCAGGGTTGGCGGGACGAGGTCCAATGTAGGGAGGGAGGCGGTGGTGGGGGAGATATTGGTGCCGGTTTTTACTAGGGCTGTGGAAGTTGTTGGAGTTTCCGAAGAGTCTTCGAGTTTCTGGCGCTTTGCTGCATCTCCATCGCCACCGTCCACCTCGATCGGCTGGAATTCGCCCCCGGGGAGTAGCAGGCCGGTGACGGTAACGATTCCCAGACCACGCACGTTCTGCCATTTGAGGCCCTTGACGAGCGGGTCGGCTAGTTTCAGGACCCAAGCGTTGGTGTCGACCGAGGCGTCGACGGTTGTGCCCACTGAGGGAGTGAGCACCTCGATGGCGGACTCGGTACCGGTGGATTGGGCGGTGAGCAACTTCTTGACGTCCGAGGCCAGGGCCAAGGTCTCGTCTTTGCCGCCGGCGACGAGGACCAGCTTGCGCGGCTGGATGAGTGGGATGAGCATGGTCAAACTGCGCTTGTCGTGGAGGCCGCTGAAGTCAACAAAGGCAATCCGCAGACGGACGGGAATAGTTTCCTTGGTGACTACCAGCTTGGCGGGGCCGTTGAGGGTCTCGTCCTCTTCGTCTTCGAGATCGGAGAGGTCATCGCCCGCTGGGCCGTTCTCGGAAAAGGGAGCAGCGTCGGCTTCGCCTGCGGAAAGGCGACGGCGGTCATGGTGGTGGGGACGTTTGTTAGGCCCCGCGCCGCCTCTGCCTCTGCCGGCGGTGCCGATGTCTTCCCACTTGCGCTTCTTGCCAAGGCCTTCGGGCTCTTGATTGTTGGCGTTTACTTGGCCGGCTTCTTGATTCTCGGCGTCTTCGCGTTCTTCAGCGCGGAGGTAGTCTTCGGGTCGGATGAGTTCGCCAAATTCGTCGGCACGTCTCCTACGCATGGCGACGGGGAACATGCGGTCTCTGCCCTTGGTGCCGCGGACGTTGAAGTCGTAGACGTTTTCTTTCTTGATGAGGATGGTGACACCAAGATCCTCGTCCCTCAATACTACCTTCTTACGACTTGCTTGGGCCATTGTGTTTGCGATATTGAGAGCCTTTCCTTGTTGCTCCGTATCAGAGCCTTCTGACTCGCTATCGGTGTCGGAATCAGCGTCGTCAAGGACGTCTCCCGGTGCTTCTAATAGATTGGTGCCACCGCTCTGTAGGGTAGCTTGTAGCTGCCGTTGGGTTGCCAGCCATTGTTGATAGACGTTCAGCTCATCACCTTCAAGCCCCTTTCGTTCGGCGGTTTCAATCTCCAACTCGCGGTTACCGGCATAGACCTGCTCGAATGTGTCACCGTTGCTTGTGCGTTCTGTCGCCACACCGTCCCTCCTCTCTTTCCACCACTCCCATAGTGTCCTCGAAATAGATGGTTTTTGGTTCGGCTCGAAGTTGGGCTTTTCCGTTAGAATGACCAAGTTGCGCGCATCAGCGGCAATGGACTTGAGGATATCCTTGGAGAAACCCCAGTCCAGGCTCGTGTCGCTGGCGAGAATCACCTTGGCTCTTGGTTCGGCATCGTCCGACTGTTGCAGGATCTTGTCGATCTGTGCCTTGCGCTCAAGTAGCCTCAAGTATTTGAAGTCGAATGGTCCTGGTCCGGTCTGGTGATTACCCTCATCCCTCCTGTTATTCCTCCTCGATTCATCCGCAAAGGCTTCAAACTCTCTGATGATGCTGTCGTCCATCCACTCCAGCATACTCCTGGCATTCTTCATGGTGCTGCTGATGGTGCGTCCGGCAAGGAACAGCTTGGCCGATTTGAAGACGTCATTGTCCTTGGCGACCTCTTTTCTCCAGGCGTGTTCGAGAAGGTATGATAGCTCTAATACTCTGGCGCTCGAGTCGACGGGGATAAGGACAGTACCACCTCTGGCAATACACAGCTTGATTGACTCCATAAGTTGTTCGTCACGCTTGGCACGCGGTAGGGCGGCGTCTGGAGTACGACTGCTGCATACTAGGGCGGTTGGCTTGCGCAACTGCTCAATCACCTGTGTACCTCCGGCACCACCATGGTTTCCACCTAGCCAAGCAGCGCCGGCAAACACGTTCTCGCGGGCCTGGTTCCAGTCGACGGCGTAGACAATCGACTCCAAGCCATGCTGAATGTGCCATATGGTTCCTCCGAGGGTGCGGCCCGAGTTGTAGGCGGTAATGGTGAGTCCGTTCAGAGGCGGGGAGAAGGGCGACGGCAGCGGTTGATGTGGCTGAGAGTACTTTAAGGGCTGGATTAGAGAAAAGTACTTTGTGATCTCCTCGGGAGTGGGTGGCTGGAGGAGAAAGGTGTTTTCGGCGGAGGCGGCCTGGGAGTATCCCGAGGCATACGACACTTGGGCGAGCGAGGCCGATGATATGGTGGTGGCGGCCAGGGGTGTCGAGGCATAGAGATCCTGCGTCAGGGTACGGCCGAGATCGATGACGGGGCGCGTCGCATAGACGGGAATGCGCTGGAAGGGTGGGAAGTGCTTGCAGCAGTGGGCGTAGGCGGCCAGATGGGGGACGGTGGCGTGGGTGAGGAGGATCAGGGACAGAGTGGGAGCTTGTTTGCCGAGCTCCTTGAGCTTTTCGACGTCAAAGGTCTCGTCCCAGCCGACATCGATCAGGATCTTGACGCCGCCGTCGAGCTCCAGCAGCGACTGGGAGGCTGACGAGTCGGAGAGGGCGCCCTGGAGAGGGCAGAAGCTGAACATTTTTTGTTTGATTTTGTTGTCGGACTACCTGTGGTGGTAAGGGTGAGAGCCGCCCAAGAACTCCATCAGACCGGGGGGGGTGATGATGTAGGATGCCCGTGGATGGAAATGTTGTGGTGATGATGTTTTGTTAGTGGAGTTTAGGTGTTGTTTGTTGTTTGGCGACGGGACGTTGAAAGTGCCTGCAAGAGGCTCTGTTGACCCATGCTGGATTGGCGGTTACAGGGCCCAAGTAGAGGTACTAGAGGTACCTCTTGAATGGAAGATACCTTACCTATGTATGTCACAGCTGGCTGCCAAGTGCCGATGTGATTGGCTGACAGCCGGCAAAGCTTCCTCAAACCAAGGCGTTGTCGGACCTGCATTCCCTTGCTTCCACTTCCACTTCTAGGGGCAGCTTGGGGGGGCACATGCGCTGTTGTTCAGTGGGCTGACATGCCCGGCGATTGACACGGCAGCATCGCGGCCCCACTTTTGGCTGGGCCCCGGGCTGCCTAGGTTGCGCATGGAAACGAGAAAAGGACAGCTCGACATCCATGGTGACACTGGACTGGAGCGGTCCCGATAGAGCCAGATAACCTCCACCGGGGGAAGCAACCACTGTCGCCCAGTTTATATCCTCTGCCACTCCGATCCCCAGGCCTCAACCACTAACAACAAACTTGCACTTCCATGTACCTTGGTATGCGGTGATGCTTCGACGACATAGACACATCTGCTGCTGGGCATGATCAACAACAACAACAACAAAAACAAACTCCGCGTCCTTCCGCTTTTTGCTCTTCCCGGCCTTGACCACGACCCCGACCCGGCCGATCTCGATCAAGCTCCCTCGTCCGAAGAGGTGCCGCCGCCCCCCTATCTTCCATAATACCATAGCACACACGTATATACGACGACAACAGCGACCACGAACAGCAACACCACTCGACGACGACGGTGACATACTAGTCCTAATACAACCCTCCCAGAAACCAAACATGGCCGACTACACCATGTACCACGCCCTCGGTCAGGGGGAGACCCTCGACCCCAACGATCCCAACCGCACCTCACAACCGGCGCCTCCCCAGTTCCAACCGCCAGTTGCCCCGAACCCATATCACCCTGGCGCCGAGTACAATGCTCCTGGTCACCAGCAGCAGCAGCAGTATGGTCAGCAGTATGGTCAGCAGCAGTACGGTCAGGAATACGGCCAGCAACAACAACAACAACAACAACCATACGGTGCCCCCTCTCCCTACGGCGCCCCTCCCGCGCATTCTCCCGTGTCGCCAATGGATGATGTAGGCTTGGCTGCGCAGATGGGTGGCATGTCTTTGGGTGCTGGAGCTGGTGCCGCCGATCACCACGGGAGAAAGAAAAAGAAGGACCGCCATGCTTTCCACACGGTCGAGGCCCCTGCCGGCTCTTCGCAGCCCTTCAACGGCATGCCCCCCGCCGGGATACCTGCAACCCAGTTCCTCAACGCCGACCCCTCCCTCGCCGGCAGGATACCAGGTCCGGGCCATGGCCAGTTCCCCATGCCCGCCAGCCCAGCTTTCGGCCCCGTCCCAACCTCTGCCGCCGACTTCGCCGCAAGGGACGCTACCCAGGGTGTTGGCTCCGGTGTCTTTGCTGCCGGCGGTCCTCAGGGCGGCAAGCCTTCGCCAGACGATACCCCCAGCGTGCCCCTTTCTCGCGACGCTGTCCAGCCTTACTTCCACACCAATGTATACCCGACCTTTGAGCGCCTCGTCCCACCCCCGGCTGTCACGTCTTTCGTTGCCCTCGACCAGGGCAACTCGTCGCCCAAGTTTGCTCGTCTTACCATGACCAACCTGCCAGCAAGTGCCGAGGGTCTCAAGAGCACCGGCCTACCCCTGGGTCTTCTTCTCCAGCCCCTGGCCGAGACCCAGCCTGGCGAGCTGCCCATCCCCGTCCTGGACTTTGGCGAACAGGGCCCGCCACGCTGCCACAGGTGCAGAGCTTACATGAACCCCTTCATGATGTTCAAGGCCGGCGGCAACAAGTTCGTCTGCAACCTTTGTACCTATGCTAATGATACCCCTCCCGAGTACTTTTGCGCTCTTAGCCCCCAGGGCGTCCGCGTTGATCGCGACCAGCGCCCCGAGCTGACCCGCGGAACCGTCGAGTTTGTTGTTCCCAAGGAGTACTGGACCAAGGAACCCGTCGGCATGCGCTACCTCTTCGTTATTGATGTTACCCAAGAGTCTTACAACAAGGGCTTTCTCGAGTCTTTCTGCGAAGGCATCTTGAGTGCTCTGTACGGTGGTTCGGAGGAAGGCGAGGACCAGGACGAGACCGGAGAGCCAAGGAGGAAGATTCCCGCTGGTGCCAAGGTTGGCTTCGTCACCTTTGACCAGGAGATTCACTTCTACAATGTCAGCCCTGCGCTTGAGCAGGCCCAGATGATCGTGATGCCCGACATCGAGGACCCCTTCCTGCCCCTGAGCGATGGTCTCTTTGTGGACCCCTACGAGTCCAAGGCTGTCATTAGCTCGCTCTTGACGCGCCTGCCCCAGATGTTCTCCAACATCAAGAACCCTGAGCCAGCCCTGCTGTCCGCACTGAACGCGGCTGTTGCTGCGCTTGAGAAGACGGGTGGCAAGGTCTTTTGCTCCCTTGCGGCTTTGCCCACCTGGGGTCCTGGCCGTCTCTTTATGAGAGACGACGGCAAGCACCCGGGTGGAGAGCCTGACAAGAAGCTCTTCACTACCGAGCACCCTGGCTGGAGGAAGTTGGCCGAGAAGATGGTTTCCCTGGGTGTTGGTGCTGATTTCTTCATGGCTTCGCCATCTGGCGGCTACTTGGATATTGCTACTATTGGTCATGTCTCGTCTACGACCGGTGGCGAGACCTTCTTCTACCCCAACTTTGTCGTCCAGCGAGATAGCACCAAGCTCTCCCTGGAGATCCACCACGCAGTCAGGCGCGAGACGGGCTACGCAGCCCTTATGAAGGTCCGCTGCTCCAACGGCCTCCAAGTGAACGCCTACCATGGCAACTTCATCCAGCACACCTTTGGCGCCGACCTCGAAATTGGCGTCATCGACGCTGACAAGGCTCTGGCCGTCACCTTTGGCTACGACGGCAAGCTCGACTCCAAGCTGGACGCACACTTCCAAGCCGCCTTGCTCTACACCACCGCTTCGGGCCAGCGTCGCGTGCGCTGCATCAACGTCATCGCCGGCGTCTCTGACCTAGCGCGCGACTGCATCAAGTTCATCGACCAGGACGCCATCGTCTCGATCCTGGCCAAGGAAGCCAGCACGAAGCTCTCCACCACCAGCGCCAACCTCAAGGAAGTCCGCTCCTCTCTGACCGAAAAGACCATCGACATCCTTGCCCTCTACCGCAAGAACCACCTCGCCGTGCCTCACCCGCCCCAACAGCTCGTCATGCCCGAGCGTCTCAAGGAGTTCACCATGTACGTGTTGGGCATGCTGAAATGCCGCGCCTTCAAGGGCGGCAACGAGACCACAGACCGTCGGGTGCACGACATGCGTCTGATCCGGTCCATGGGCGCCCGCGAGCTCTCCCTCTATCTCTACCCGCGCATCATCCCGCTGCACAGCCTCCAGCCCGAAGACGGCTACCCCGACGCCACCACGGGCCACCTGCGCATGCCCTCGACTCTGCGCGCCTCGTTCGCCCGCGTCGAGCCCGGCGGCGTCTACCTCGTTGACAACGGCCAAGTCTGTCTCCTCTGGATGCACGCGCAGACCGCGCCCGCCCTCATTCAGGATCTGTTTGGCGAGGACAAGACGACGCTCCAGTCGCTGGATCCTTACACGTCGACGATCCCTGTCCTGGAGACGCACTTGAATGCGCAGACGAGGAATATCATTGAGTATATGCGGACAGTGAGGGGCAGCAAGGGGTTGACGATCCAGTTGGCTAGACAGGGCATTGACGGGGCCGAGTTTGAGTTTGCGCGCATGTTGGTGGAGGATCGGAATAACGAGGCGCAGAGCTATGTCGATTGGTTGGTGCATGTCCACAAGGGGGTGCAGTTGGAGGTGAGTTTTCGTCCTACCTACCTACCTTAAAACGCTCTTCTTGGGGTAATTTGTGAACAATTTACTGACATTTTGATAGCTCGCGGGCCAACGTAAGAGGGAAGATGGCGAAAGTCACTCGGCGCTGGGAAGCTTTACGGGGTTGAGGCCTGCGTATTGGTAAAGTAAAGGCGCGCACATATAACGGATGGGGGAGGTGAGCTAAGTAGTGGTGGGTGGTGATGGTTGTCATGTTTACAATTACCTCGTGTACCTATTGTTCGGGAAAAAGAAGGTAGCGGAGATCAAGAGGATCAGTAACTGAGGGGTGGTTATTTGTTAGGTTAGCGGAGCTGAAGGATGGCGAGGCGGGAAAAAAAAAAAGAGAATACCATGATATAATTTCACGTTGCCAACGCTATTTCTACAACTTCATTCATGCCTCTTGGTTTTTACTCCTTTTTTTCCTTTTTTTTTTCCTTTGCGTGTTCCGACGCCTTGAGAACCAGGTCACCCCGTTCGTTGGTGATATACTCAAGTAAATGGGACAAAGAGCAACTTCACACCTTACTGTCAAGCTTGAGGAGCTGACGGATCATCGAGACGGGGGACCACTATCGCTAAGCCGATACTTTTGCTGCTATGATTCTCTCGGTTGTTTTTCCGTCTCATGGTCGAATGGATTGACAGGCTATCAGTTAACCGTTCAAGCGGCCCCCATGATTATTAGTTCGATTGATTCATGGATACCTCAGGTGATGTTATATATAGGTATACATGTCACATTGCAGAGGATGTGTATTTGAGGGAGGAAAGGAGTAGATAAAGAGATAGGTGCTTCAAGCTGCCTGCCCTCCCGGTGACAAAGGATTGGTCAGGTAGATGAGTGGATATGGAAAGCAGGATCATAGTGGGCGCGGTGAAATAACAAGATGAACAAGATGAACTAGGTGAACTAGGTGAGCACGGTGAGCGATGAGCAGTGAGCAGTGAGCATGGTGAACTACATGCGCTAGATGAAATACATGAACTACATGAAACAGATGAACTAGGTGAAGTAAGTAAGCATGGTGAGCAATGAGCATGGGTAGGGAGTACTGTAACAACACGGCATGAGTAAGGAGCGATGAACAAGTAACGAGTGGTGAGTTCATAAGTACACCAAGTTGTACGGGGAGAGACACTCCGCGATAATATCGAACCTGGTGGTCACGGAACTACCTATGCATGTATGCTAAACTTGAACATATCCACAGCTATCCATTATGATCCTGTACACTCGATCATTGCTACCTCTATCGATAGATGGATGGATGCATGGATGGCTGTATAATGATATCCTCCTTCTCAATATCTACATGGCAGGCATATGATATATTGGAGTCACCACAGGCAGTTGGATGGATGATAAATCATATATCCATGATGGTAAGCTTCGTAGGTATGTGTAACGGTTTGTTGTATGTTCGCTCATCTTCTTCTCTTTTTTTCTTTGTTTTTTCCCCTCCCGGCAACACGATCACTCACCGAACCTACCTACCTTACCTACCTAGACTTACCTACCCTATCTACAGACCTTGCTTACCTTTCTACTTCACCGAAACTTACACCACTATCTGTCTCTCTCATCCATTACATCATCCACCCATCCATCCGTCCCATAATGGTCTGCCTGCCCAATTATTTATCGACCCAGCCGACCTAAGCGGTCCTCCATCTCCCGAACCGAAACTTTTACAGCACAGGAACCCCAACCCCCCAAGCGTATGTACATAGTATGATTGCCTTGGCGATCCTAATGGTCAATGGTTATTGTACCTACAATTCCACCCGAATGGAGCGATAGCGGAAGACTCCTTCCCTGTTTGGCTGGCTCCCTGCTTCATCTGGTGAATCCCGGCATCTTGCAGTGAGTCCTCCATCCAGTCCCACACACCACTCATCATCAGTCATCAGGGGAGGTATCGGTAGACGGGAAATCGGCAGCTAAGCGTCTCATCCAACTTACTTTTCCGATCATGCAGTCACGTAATAGATCAGGTAGGTAGCCTTCCGGCCTTTCCAGTGTTCCAATTTGGATTAGGGCACGCGGAGTGACGGAAAGATCAACTGGTTCGTGACCATGTCATGTCACGTCGGTCGAGCCTATTTGATCCTGATCCTGATCCTGATTCTATGGTTGGGGGGTTATCTAGCGACCGGTGGAGCCCAACGATGTCGATGTGCTGCTGGTGCTTGGGTATTGCCGATTGCTAGGTAATGGTGATCATGGGTTCGGTGTTCCCATTCTTTTGGTTTTCCCTTTTACCTTGCATATGTGACAGGAAGCATCGTATCAATCCTCCAGATAGAAAACTGAGTAGTAGCAGTAGGCCTCTCGCTTGTCTCGGAGAAGTAGCCGGAGCCAGTCACTAACTTGCCGACGGTTCACCTCCGCCCTCTTTTTGCCGTGGTGGGATCAGATCAAGTAAAGTCAAGCGATATGTGTCAGCTTTACCTCATTGCTTCTTTCCCGACTGCACCGTCCCTTACTTTTTCCAGACCGTTGGGGCTTTCACCGGCTTCATCTTCCCTCCTCATAGGTCGGCCGTCTTTGCCGGCCGATGTTGCGTTGCTTCTTCTTCTCAATTATTCATGCAGCGGAGGAGCTTTGGCGGTTAGTCTTTCCGAGACACATCGTTCGGCTGTTGAATGGTTGGTCTGTTGAGCTGTTGGCAGGGTAATATGTTAGGTGAGATTTCGAGGCCCTCGGTTATCTAGACGTGGAAGAAGAAAAGCAAACAGTGAGCCGGGAATGTGAGATCGAGAGGTTGCATGAGCAGAAAGAGATTTGAGGCTAGGTGAATGATAAGCCCCGCAGTAGCGTGAACTTAACAAGGAAGCGATTGATGTGGTGCTATACTGCTTTGAAAACTCTGGGCAGCAGCAGCAGCAGAAGGAATAGGAGAGTAAAAAAACGAAAGTGAAAGTGATGTGTCAGTTATCAGATTGTTCCGGGTAAACAAACGAGCAAAGGAAGAGGGGAAAAGAGGGATGAAGGACGAACCTAATGGACTTTGGAACGAGTGCCAGCATCTTTTTTTATGGTAAAAGGAAGATGGGGAATTTGGGAAGCATTGGGCATCCCATATGATACGAGTATGAACAACAAGGTTCTTACCACTTACCACTCGCGATTTATCACAATCATTGCCTTCTTACTGGCCACTGAGCGAGCAGAGGGTTTAAGATATCGCCAAACATCTGACCGGGTGCTGTTGTGCTTCCCACGTGCCGCTCCTCTTTTTCTCCCCCACCTTTGGACTAGGAAAGCCGCTTGCTCGTATGTACTTCCTATCTATAAACACACAATGGGACCTGAGGGACTAGATAATAATCCCACACATGTTCCTCCACGACATTGCATACCTGAGGTACCCGGCGTTTTCGGTTTCGTCCAATTTGTCTGCCGTACTTTCTCCTCTTTGTCGGTGGTGGGTAATGAACATTGGACTTGTTGAAGCACAATGTACAAGTGAGATTTGTGTTGCAGTAGTGTAACTGTCTGACCGGCACGTTGGGTCAAGTACTTGGGGGGGACGAGGAAAGATGGATAATCTTTGAGTCAGTGAGGGTGAGGAAGTGGTTGACAATAATCACATGTGCGGCGTGTATGGTGGAGCGGGACACGGACCGAGCGAGAAAGGTTCCCTATTTCCCCTAGTTTTGCTTGTCGAGTGTGTTGTCTGACAGTCGTACTCCTTCCAACCACAAGTGAAAGTGGACGAGAGGAAAAGCAAAGGTTGCATCAGCTGGGAACTGAAGGAAAGCTGACGGACCGGTGACTTGGCATATAGCGTGGATATTTCTTTTTTGTCAAGTATCCGCAGTTGCCGACCAGAATATGCCACGGTATTTTTTGACCTGCTGTGCCTGTTAGCTCTTCTGTCATTCCACAATGTCTCACGCTCTCTCGGTGTAACTAGGGCCGGGTTAAGCTTCTTTCCTGAAAGGTTATGAACTGATAGGCACGTATGAGCTTGCGCTTAACATGAGGCATACTCCCAGGTGCCACATGCTGAATACTTTCCAGGCCCGTGCCGTTGATCATCCCTTGAGCCCTAAAAACCCCCTGTGTCCCTATATATGACCCCAAACCTTGCCCCTGTCTCTGTATTCATCTGGACTTGTCTGTTGGACTGGATCTCTTTGTTCCTGGCACCTCCGATGCCGAGTGCATGTTTGTGTGTGAGTGGGTGAGCCCGGCAGCCATATTGTCTTTCTGTGGTTGTAATCTCAAAAATGGCTGTTGGGTCCCAGGCACAAGGGATGATAGTGTGCACTATTCCGCCCAAGCTACATATGCATAGTGTAATTCTGTTGAACCAGTACCAGCTGTCGGTATGTGGGAGGTGGTTGCGGCTTGCCATGTGTCGTGTCAACCTTGAAACACTGTGAAGTAGCATTTTTTGAGGGGATGACCTACTGTAAAATCGCGTCACGTGGAATTGACCTGGAGGACGAAATAATATAGGTCAGTGAATGGAGAATCGATGGTTTGATGAGAGCCAGAGAGATATCGTACGATACCTAGGCATGATATGATGTCAGTTACTGGACATCCACCGCGAATTGCCTGATTGCAGAGAGAGGGCAGACAGATAGTCAGTTGGGGAGGGAATGCGATTTTAGCCAAAGCAGGGCTGTGTAGTCACCACCTCGTCATCATCGTAGACGGATCAGAGCTCAATTAGCTTCGCCTTTATTACCATCACTCTCTCACCCGAAGGCACACCCGGCCCGTTCGTGATGCGCTGAGTGTCCGCCACCAGTGTGAAGGTAGCTACCGTTCGGAATATTCCCATAACACCGACCTTGCGGTCAACAACGTGTGCGCACACAGTCTCTGGTGGTTTAACGCTTAATTGTGCTAGTATGGTAACACGGATGCTGTCGCATGCGCGGCCAACCTCTTCAGGGTCGGGTCGCGTCGAAAAGAGAGACAAACATCGAGTTCGATATACATCGTAAAGGCGGTAAGTGGGAGACATGCTGTTAACAGACAGGGAGTTGCGGGCGGTAGCTCGTAGATACCTGTCCACTGGGTGTCAGTCCACTGTGGAAAAAAAGAGCGGTAGCCATGTAGCACTCGTGCCATTAAGGTTGTGTTATACAGAGATTCAGTGGGAAAGAGCACTGGGGAAACACAAGTGAGCCATGGTGAGGGTGGTGTGCGAGATCGGGTAGTACAGATCGCACACAAATATGCCGTTTCCCGTTACGAAGGAGTCTACGGGGCTTACAAGGCCAACAAGGCACGCCCACAGAGCGACCAATGTATACCGAGTTATGTAGTTATGGGATGTTATTGCACCGTGTGCTGTGTAACGCAACACCATCACCCAGCTTGGTGTGTTCCGATCGTTGTTAGTACGGTCCCTGTCGTACGCGAGTGAAGGTGAGGAAGGAAGGCCATTGTAGTAATCAGATAGGCCGCGTATCTCGATGCTGTCAATTTCAGTTGAGGTGGACTGGGCCTGTTCTGAATGGATTTGACGGTTTAGAGTCCAAATACAAATATGAAGTAATGGTTGATGTACGTTGTACTGCGTAGCTCATCCAGTCAGCTAATTAGAAGGGAAGTAATTGGACAGACTTACCAAGGCTTACGTGCAGTACCGTATATTCTAGGCGTTCTAACACACGTTTACTCAACATTCACACGGTCAAGTGACAGAGGGTCTTGTATGTTTCCAGTTCCGTGGGGGTGGTAAACGTTAGGACTGGACCGGCAGTCAGTGCCAGGTCTGTTCGAGTGAGCATCCGCTCTCGGATGGGGTAAGCGAGAGCGAGGGCTCCACCGTTTTGTGATAGAGGCGCTGTTTTCTTGACCAACACGTTTTGTGATTGATGAAGAGTGTGAACTCGACTCTAGAGTTGCATTCGACCAACAGGACAAGGTCATACGTGAGCCATCGACGCTATGCTCCCGCCATATTTGCTTGATCACTGCAGAATCTCAAAGAAGACGTCAATAAGGCTGACTGAAAGGTGGTTGGAGATAAAACGTAGTTACCATGCTGGAAAATGACTGCCTCGTAAGGGCCTTTGGGGGCCATCGCGGGACTGAAGGGTAGGGGAAGAAATGCGCCACTTGAGGACGGAAAAGGAGCATGCCGTGTTCATACCCCCCCGTGAGACACCATTGCTGTTCTGAAACAACCGTAGTCCCTTATGTCTTGCTCATTGAGCTGTAGCAATGCCCTGTACTTTGCGAGTGAACTGCGGAGACTTAATCGGTTAGCGCCATTTACGAACCACTTGGGTGCCTTCATCGGCTCGGATCTGGATCCTACATGTTTCTTTGAACTGATATGTTTGTTGTCTGGGGCCATGCTGCGATGTGACTATTGGTTCAAGTAGGTTTGGAGACTACCAAGGACGAAAAAAAAAAAAAAAAGCACTAAAGATGGTATCAGATTAGCTCAACATTGAGATCCCGCAGTCAGTCGATGTATGTACGTTGCTTTTGCGAAATCATACAGGCAAATGGCATGGCTTATTGAAACGAGGCCCCCGGTCGTCCACTAGCCCTCACAAGATCAACACCCCGAGATTGTGTTTTTCACTCTGTCGTGAGTACCAGCGCCGGATTCGGCTGAAGAGATGGACAACAGTGCCTAGAAATTAGGTTCCACAGGGGTACACCTCGCAACGGTCAGGACGTCAAGCTGCGCCATGAATCCATTTGGGGATTCCCGAAAGGTGTCTTGTTTTGCGGGCAAACAAGTTCATCGGCCCGTTGGATTTAGTTTCCTTTCTCGGGATGCCCTTAACTGTATCAACGATGAGAATACAGGCCAATCGCACCCCCAGTCTCCTAGAACCTTCGAAGGATCAATTCTCTATGCGTGACACCTTAGCACGGAACATTGCCTGGTGTTTGACATGATCGCAAGCGTGCTTCACCGGGTTGATCATGCCAGTGAACAGACCAATACGTGACCGGTATGTCCATATACACAGGTGCAATTTTGCTTTTTCCAGTCACTTGAGCAGGATCTGACAGCCAGCTTGATGAGCAAGCCAGGCAGTGCAAGCGGGTCACCTACAGCACCCGCTCACCAAGCTTGTACAAAAACCAAGCCCACTGGTGGTAGCGTTATCAGTAGTTGAGGACCTGAAGTAGCGGAGTATGATGTGCAGTCAGCCAGCGATGTGGAGGAAGTTTTTGTATTCAAAAAGGGGCCCAAAGGGGGGTTAAAAAGAAGCAAGACACCGAAACGACCAACAGCGTACCGCACAGCCCACCATTATGCGCCATTTTGCTGCATCCGAGCCAGACCAAAGAAACACAAACTCCGTTAGGGTGTCTCATAACACTGATACAATCGCTTTCAAAGACCCTTACCAGGGCTCCAGGGTATTTGCCCACCATAGCAGGAGAATCCGCGGTTTTATGCAACCGAAACTCAAACCCAACGCCAACTCCAGAGCACGACAGAACGGAAACGAAGGGGGTCTTTAGCTCGCAAGTAGGTTGTTTAGCCCATACCGAGAATCCGGCTGGCTGACTACTCGCTGAATCTCGGTGTCGTGAAATACTCGGTGAAATACTTCCAAGTCAGAAGGACAAGCCGCGGCAGTAGTGCTGCTAAGCGTTTCTCTGGCCTTCTTGGCAAGATCCTCCAAGATCAGTTTGCTGGTACTTTGATTTGGATCCTCAAACACAAATGCCACGGAGGTGATACGCCCACGCAGGTCAGGGTCATAGAGCAAGACTTCCCGCCACATCTCGGCCACCTCTTGGGGCGGGTTGCGGTAGCCATTGCCAAGGCCGAAGTCGCCAATGACAAGCTGTGTATGGCCGTTATAGGCTGCGATCCGAAGTGCTCCTCGTAACAAGTCTTTCAACATGTCGCGTTCGTTTTGGAAGGAGAACTTTGTTCCGTTCTGCGTAAGTTTAGGCCAGCGGGTAGGATGGACCGAAACGACAGGAATTGACTGCCACTGCTCGGGCGGGAGCTTCTCATATCTGTCGTGAGGCCCTCGGAATACAACTATAGTCACGCGCGGTCAGAAAGTGGTTTATAATATGCCAGTTGGTAATACTAACCGACATCTCGCGAGTAAATACCACCATAGCTTGGGATGGGGTAATTCTCAGTCACCGTTGATCCTGGCGCAGGTGTTGCCAGATTCGCAGAAAGAGTGCTTCGGCGGCATAGGCGTTCCTCATAGCCAACAGCTCCCGTTTCCCAATCCCCGCCTGGTCTTTTGTCGTTGGCCGCGCAAATGAAGGCTACCGTGTGTGGTTCTGCAATCTGCTTTGCCCAGTTCAAGGCACAGTCGACTGGATCGCCGTTGTAGACAACTGTAGCTGGTTATTAGACGGGAATGACATGTCTCAGAAGCGTGGGGGTCTTACAGAACTGGGGAGGGGAAATATCAAGAGGTCTTTGTGGGAAGTTGATCTGCGCTAGCGGTTGATGCAAAAGGTAGGAGTTGATGTCCCACGTGCCCAAAGACCGGATATAGGGGATATGTTGCCTCTTAGTCTCGGCAGCTACTTCAGACGGCTTGGGCCTGGATGATCTTGAGCTTCCGGGAGCCATTGTGAGTGTGCTTCAAGGCGATCGAGGGGTTACTGGAGGTGTTGTGGTGAAACGAAAGCGCAGTAGACGTTTGAGATCAGGTGTGACTGTGAATCATGGTGTTGTGTCGGTGGTAAAGAGAGGATACGATGGCGTTCTTATACACGACCAGAGAAATTCCAGGACGGCCAAACCAAACGGAAAAGACATTGTAAAAAAGCAGCAAGCAATGGCTACCAACAGCCACGGTGAATCATGTACGATGAAGCAAAGCCCAGGCTGCGGCTGTTGGCGAGATCTGAAAACCAACCCCGGATGGCAGGCGGCCTGGTCGGTGCCCTGGGTAGGAATGCATTGGGTGCATATCGAAATGTAGTCGTGTAACTGAGCATGTCTTGTCTTGGACTAGACTAAGAGATATGACGGGCATATGGGGGACTTGGTAGACCTGTAGACCTTGGGCGTGGTTAGCCAATGCTTTGC